GCCCCGCCGAGAGTGATTTAGATCGCGGGCGGCGATGAAATTTGGTCGCGAGCGAGAGAAAGAATTAAAGAGTGGCCTGTCAAAGTGTGATATCAAAACGGTGAATCTGCCGAAACTTCTTTTCATTCACACCTAGCTCTGCACTTGCCGTCGCTGAATTGAAATTCCACCGAGGTTTATTTATTTTTTATCACCCAGCACGGGCTATTGAGTGCGAGAAATAAAAAACCAGAGATTTATGTACGGCCGGCAATTGTGTTGATTTTGCATTGTCCCGTTTTTCTTCGCCAGAGTAGATAATCATTTGGGAAAATACGAATGTACAAGAAGAAGAGGAGTCGCCCACAATGCTCGAAACACATTTTCAATCCGAGATTTTTTAGGTGTTTGCATGTTTTCGTTGCGTGCTGCTTTTTTAATAGAAAATTCTTTTCATTATATTCTCTCGATTCTAGCTCTGCTGTTATACAACTTGTGCGCGCATCTCGTTCTCTGTTTATTTTACGGCGACACTTTGTTATTTTTCACTTTGTCACCAGCAGGGCCGAGAGCGAAAATGCTGCAACTCGAATCCAAATCTCATGCTGATCCTCTCTGGACAAACCAAGTGTGTATTGAGCACAAAAAGAAAAACAGCCGTGTGTGTACTTAAAGCATGAGGTGCGTGGATGCGGCCGTGGAATTTGAAAACCTGCGCGCTGCTTTGTAGGTGACAAATTCGCCGTGAAATTCCTTATTATCGACAAAGCATAAAAATTATTATTGTAGCGAGAAAAGTATCGACAGTATCGTATTAAAAACATAATATTTTGTGTCTCCAAATGAGCAGCAAAAAATTAATCAATCAATTGCAACATTTATTGTTAGATCTTTACCAAGTTTTTCTTCTAAAAAAAAATGACTTCTTTTTTGCCCGGTGATATTCAATTTTCAAAATCTGCCTAAATAAAAATATGTTTTTATTCTTTCATTGGAAATTTTCATTAAAAATGCAATTTATTCAGTTTCATTTGAAGTTCATTACCATAAAAAAAATAATCAATCAATTGCAACATTTTGATCTTTACCAAATTTTTCTTCTAAAAATTACGTTATATTTATGATTCTTTAATCAACGTGAATTTTGCAAAAAAGCAAACGTTTATTAAAAATTTTGCTAGTGAAAAAAACTCTACTAATGGGCAAGGATTGTTTTCCGCATACAATTTTAAATTAGTTCCTCAAATGAAATTAGCATGGTCATCTCAACAGCTTGTTTTCTTTTGCAGGTGTTGTGTGTGTTCCGAAGAGACTCAAATGCTTCGTTAAATTTATTCATAAGAATAACTTTAAATAAATTTTTCTGTGGAAAGTCCACTTGCGTCACCCCTTTCAATATATGTGATTAATTTATATTTATGCCGTACTTCTGGAATCAAGTTATTTATAGACGTGACAATTATTTCAGTTAACAGGATAAAATTACGTTTGTTTAAATTATTAAAAATATTTTATTTTAAAAACTACCCACATTTCCTCCACATTTTAAATGTTTTTTTTTTACAGAAAAATATTCGTATTGCGTTGAAATTCCAACGAATATCTGTTGAAAAAATCCAGTTTTGCTCGCCTATTGAGAAAATAAGCCCTCTATATAAAATTTGTATGAAAAGGGGTCTCGCCTGCAGCCGATGGGAGTTATTTTCCCAGGCCAAGTGACACGAAGTATGCTTCACCAGTTACGGCTGCGATTTAATTCAGATTTTTTACTTTCCTTCACATAATTTTTCGCCACCCCTGGCGCAAGACAGGTTATTTAAACGCGCAGCTCTCACTCATATTTTCCGCTTACCTGCGCGTGCAAGTTTTACAAATATAATAAACGAGCGTTTTTTTTCTTGTATATAGCAACGAGATTGAGAATTATGATTGTCAGTTGTAATTTACTTGGAGCGACGGTTGGTTACTTGCCTACCTCAATACAATGACACTGCACTTTCGCGTCCACGTTTTTTGTGCACTTGCCGTGTCTTTCTTTTTATTTAATACATGCGCTTTATTTTTTGCAGCCACGATCGCCCGCCGAGGTATGAATTCAAGATGTGCAGTCGCGTGTGAGAAATGGAAATTTTCTCTGATCCCTTCATTACCGCGGATTGTACTTTTGTACAACCCCATTCATTACGTTGCAAAAGGATTGAGCTCGTTAAATTTTCAAGTATCACCCCGAGAGCTTTTGCTTTAAAGGAATTTCATGTGTGCTGGAATTGCTTAATGTGAAATGGCGCGTCTATCGTGCCAGTCATCACGGACAATCTATTAATTTAATTATGTTCCACTCTCCTGCATTTTAATACCTTCATCCTTTAGCTCCTATGAAAACAGTTGAAAAAAGTCGAGATTTGGTTTGGAATATTCAGAAAAATTAAAGAACAAAACTTTAGGCTATTAATTTTATTCTACAATAGAATATTAAAATGTGAAAATTATATTTCAAAGATGATTGCTTCTTATAATTCTATTTATATTGTCCTTTATTTATTAATTATTACTTATAATACTATATTATTTTCTTCAACTTTTTTTACTTACTTTTATCAATTTATTTACAATTATTAAAAATCTGAAGAGACAAAATTGGCACTCCATTTTAATCAAGAATGTTAATAAATAGTTTAAAAATATTTTTATAATATTGAGCATGTTTAACTTTGGGAAGAGATGGAATTTATGCATTGCAACCAAGAGATAATCGTTTGAATCGAGCTCTTGATAGGTCGACAAATTGGTCCTCTAAAGACGGAGATTAATTTATAAATGATGGTGTCCCCAAGGCTATTTACTCTGCGAGTTCCAGCAAGTGCACGAATTCTTCCCTCATTGTCAAAAAAGACGTGTGTGCTCGCGGCCTTTGATGCGGGACAAAAGAAAAGGCATTGCTCCTGCTCAAATCTCCATTATGCCCGTTTTCAATTTTCCTCAAAGAATTTTCAACACAAAGCATTCTCGTTTTTCTTCCCACACGTGGGAGGAAAGACGAAAAGTGCAGGCATGCGACTAACATACGTCTGTGCTAACTATGACGCAAATTTATGAGAATTTTTATATCCTGAGCATGAAAATGACCATTGACCATGCATAATTTTTTATATTAATTTAATATGTACTTCGGCTTGCAAACACAAAAATGTTTATATTGAAGCAAAAACTTATTCAACGACAAATAAATTTAAATCTAAAACTGATAGATATTTTAAATCTCAGGAACGATTAGTCCAGTAAAAATGGGATTATTTGTAAGAGCAGGATAAAAATAAATAAATTCACAAGAAATTTTAATAATTATTGAAAGTTATTTCTTTCAGAATTTATAAAATTAATTATTTAATAGTTTAAATACGTACAAAAGTTTAAGAGAAAAAAAGCTTAATAAAGTTTTCGGCAGGTTTTCGGCTACACAATGTTGTGTTATTGAAAAAATATTTTGTGAAAGGAAAAACTATATTATTTTGAAATATCTTAAAAAGATCAACACGACCCCATAAATACATAGAGCAATCAAAAGGAGTGATGATTTAAAAGATTTGTAAACGAATTCTTGTGATTTCATATCAGTTTCCTCTTCTCTGATTTTCTTCAAATGTATTCACGCATTGAAGATCAAGGGTGCCGCGCGGCAATTTAGCGTGCAAGGGTTGATCAGATTATGGCGTCTTGCATTATTTGATCGATTTGCGGTTTGATTTCGCTCTCGCTCAGTTTTATGCTCGCTTAAATAGAATTGCTCGTTCGTCTTATTTGAAGACGTGAAAAGGAGCGAGGCAGCATTCCTGAGGCCATTGTGCGCGCGAGCCCTTTAAACTTGCGTCACCACACCTGTGCTGCTGCAGAATTAAAAGCAGAGGAAAGACGATCCCTACCTGTGCACTTTGTCGGGCACAAAAACGCGAAATTTGAGCAGGATGTGGCGACAACGCACGTGAATGAAATATTTCCAAGATCCAATAATAAGAATACGACGGTGGGGATTTTCTTTTTTACCTTTTTCGCATTTTCACCTGATATTGAATAAAATAATGCAGCCGAGACGAAATTCCGTCTTTGAGCGAAAAAAAAACTGAATCCTCAGTAACAAGATCAGTGTATTGTGATTTGTTATCGGCGCTGATGATCTGATTATAGGGGTTGGATCTTGGGGAAATATCGCGCAGTTCACATAATGTTCAAAGGCAAAAGAGGAAGCGCGAGATTTTCAATGGAGCGGAATGGGGTAAAAAGTGGTGTTATCTCTCCAATCCGTCAACACCGTTTTTTTGATATTATAGAAATCTGGTTGAATGGCATTTTTGTGAATGTGGGAATATCAAATATTTTGGACCCCTTCTGTCATATCCGTGAGTAATAAATTTGATTTATTGAAAGAAAGAAAAAAATTATCTAGATGCCAAAAATGATTTTCATCTTCATTCATTTTATTTACCTAAGGGAGGGCATGGCAATTTCCTGGTTTTTTTTTATAACTTTCAGCCAAATTGCGAGTCATTTGCAATTCGTAATTTTTCTAAAAACTCGTTTAGTCTTGAAAATTTAAAAGTATTGACTAAATTTCAAAGTCCTTTTCTTTACTACATCGTTGAACTATTTCCATGTAATGTAAATAAAATATTACAAAGCTGAAATCTTTAGACATAAATATCATCGACCAATTGTTTTCTTTTAACCATCGTTCGTATTGCGAGTAAAAAGTTTTAACATTGTTTTATTTTCTTATTATTTGTGAAAATTTCAATTTGTTTCCTATCGAAGGCAAAAAATTTGAAATTATAAAACTCAAGAAAATTAATAAAGTCATGAACATTCTTACAATTTTAGTATATTTTTTTTATAAGAAATAATTCTTGAATTTCCTTACTTGGCAATAATTGGCCGAGCTAATGCTTTCAGTAGTTCCTGCAACCTTCGAGAGATGCCAGTGAATAACCTCTTGATCGAAGCGGCTTCGTTCAAACTTTTCATTCAAGTAAACACAACCACATGTGAATTTCAAATAGTCAACTAGTCAGTGATTTCCTCCCTTGATCTTGCAGTATGAGTAGCGACTCAAATTTGGATTTCGTTGGAGACAACCCCGGGGCAGTGCGTCACGGAAATTTCATCAATTACTATCAATTCCACCCTGCGTCTGAACGAATAGAGAAATTACCTACTGACATTTGGCGGTGCAGTCGAAACAAAGGAGAAAAGTTTGTGTGCCTCGACATTGGCTGCAATACAGGGGTAGGTTTAAAAATTATAATTAATTCAAAATTAATAACTTTAACTTCTTCTAGGATTTGACAGAGCAAGTTTTGAACTTCTTGAAAGAAAATCTAACCACAGACGATGGGATGAAGCCTGAAATTCATATGGTCGGAATCGATCTGGACCAAAACTTGATCTCTAGAGCTAACGAAAAATTTAATTCAACTCGGGATCTTGAATTCCTCACAATTGATGCAGCTAAAGAGGTAATCCTAATTTACAAATTACCACATTATAATTTACACTTAATTTTTCTAATTAATTTCAGACTTTGGATTCTTTGCTAAAAATTGCACTAAGTCATGATGTGCCAAAATTCGGAGCAGTTTTTCTCATGTCAGTAACAATGTGGGTTCATTTGGTCAACGGAGACGAAGCGTTTCAAGAGTTCCTGAAAAAAAGCGGCGATCTAACGGACAGGTGGTTGGTGATCGAGTCGCAACCGTGGAAGTGCTACCGTAGTGCTCAGCGTCGCCTGGTTTCTTCCGGTGAAGCGGGATTTGAATTTTACTCAAAGTTAACAATCAAGGGGGACAAAATTCAACCATTTGTGGATAAAGTTTTGAGTGAGGAATGTGGAATGTCAAAAGTGTTTGAAACTGATCCGTCCAAGTGGAACCGAACGATTTGCATTTATAAAAAGAGATAGAACTCGCAAATGAAAAGATTTGCATTTTATTTTCCTTCGCATCATTTGAAGTAAAAACATTGGAAAATTCCAACCCACCTGGGTGAAAATTACTTTCAATTGATTTCTTTCTTAACCGGAAGTCCTCGATCGATACGGCCGCGCCAATTTAAGCCAAACTAGAATTTTTTCAGCAAAAATTAAATAACATTTGAAAGAGAAAGATAAAAAAAAATCTCGTCCTACCTGTCAACAAGGGATGCTCTGAGGTCTCCGCTGATTGTGCTGGCCTTGGCTTCGTTCAGGTGGAAAATGCTCTCAATCACCGATAGCTCTGTACTCGTCGTGTCAGAACCGCAGAATGCACAGAAATCGTTGACCACTAATCCTCCAGCAATTACTTCAGACCCCCTGTTAACTGTACCAGCCTGAAATTTTTAAATTTTCTTGATGAATTAAATTTTATAAATCTAAAATTATTTAATGTAGAGATGGAAATATTAAGATAAATGCGATACATGTTTAATGTAGAACATAATATTTTTCTTTTAAAATATTTTTTTTCTTCTATTTGATCAAACTATCTAAAAATTGAGTAAATAACTACAGGTTAAATAGAATTTCAAAAAACCTTTTATCAAATTATTTGAGATTTCCAATATAAATGTGGATGATGTATTTCTCTAAAAAATTTAAAACCTACCACAAGAGGAACTTGCAGGAGAGAGGATAATTCCTCCTGGTCAGCAAGGGATGTTTTAGGATGGACGAGGCCGCCCTGGTCATTGAGAACGCAGTATGTGCCAATGAGGGCATTTGAGGCAACTGTTTGTCGGAAAACTTCAACACCAAGAGTATCGGCTAAAACTTCTTCAGTTTCCTGTAACGATAAAAAAATAAATTAAGCAATCATATAAATACTCAGAACTGAAAATTAAAAAAACTTTTACATGACGAGATGTAAAATTATCATTCTATAAACCTAAGGTGACTCATACTTACTCTATCTAGATCTGGGTGAACCAAGGCAACGTAATCGTTGCATGCTATGACGTTACCAAGGGCGGACAACCTTTCTTCAACTCTCTGAATTTTGACCGAGTCGGGTAACGAATTCCGCAAATGCTGGAGTTCTTGGTCTGTCGTCGAACTCGGAACAAGGAGTCCATTTTTGTTTCCTGTAAAATTATGACCTTCGACTCTTGTTTTCACAAATAAAAATTAGCAGAACTTACCAACTGTGAGACGACCGACAATTCTGCAGCCTGCAATGGATGCGTGAACGACTGGAATGGTCTCGCCCAATTCAACTTCGAAGGCACTGAAATGCGCAGTGACGAGATGAGATCAATAATGCTAGAGAAATTTCCAGACACACGAACCTGTAGAAGTTTTCCGAGCCGCCGATGCCGACAAGGCAGTACGCGTTTGTGAGCTTGGAAAAGACGCCGATTTCGTTATTATTCTCGAATTGCACTCTTACTGCCATGGTTTCCTCAAATTTCTTCTACGGACTTGCTCAAAATTCCACAACAAGCCAAAATTTGGAAAAATAATCACACCACTCTTGTAACACGAGGTTTCTTCCGCGACGAAAACAAGCAAACGTGATCGCGAAGTGCTGCCAACTTGCAAAATAGCAAACTTTTCAGCTTGCTTTTCAGTGGGAGTGGGCGGGAGATACAAAATTGTAAACACAAGGACTGTGAAAGTGATGCAAAGGAATGAAATTATGTATTAGATTTTACTTTTATCAAGGAATAAACTAAGGAAAAGTCATGCAGGTCTCCTCAGCCCAAGGTGCATTACAAAAAATAATAGTTTTAATATCATTAATAATAATACAATCATGATGTTTGTTGTGTTTTTGAAAATTTTTCTCTCATTTTCTGGTTTTTGCAATCTTCTGTATTGTTTGTATTATGTGCAGATGAGGAGGATGACACATTTAAATGCGGTCGCTGCAAAAATGAATATCGCGACTATGAATCTTTCAAGGTTCACAAGCAAACGTGTCACATTCCCAGCCACTCAAAATCACCTCAAAATGCAACAGGAGCCAACATTGGAACTTATCACCATAATCTCTCAGAGGATCAGGCAAAGTGCTTGGAGGAAGTTCTGTAAGTTCTTGAGTTTAAAAAATAAACCCTTTTGATTATGTTTAGTAATTAATTTTATAGAGGCTTTAAGGAGGTTGACGCAGCCGACGTCCTTGCGAATCAGCTTTCGAGCTTTGCCAGCTGCAAACAGCCGATTTTTGAGGTCACAGTAGCCACCTCTACTGAGCCCCAGGGACACTTTGATGATTTTTTTGAACAAGGCAGCGTCAAAATTGTTGAGCAACCCTCAGACGGAGAATTTCAGAGCCCCGTAAAAGTTATTCTGAAAAGTTCGGTCCCTAAAACAAAACCTAAAGGGTAAACATGGACAATTATACATATAATAAACTAATATTCAATAAAATTTCCTGCAGGAAAAAGGTTGTCAGGGAGGGAGATAAAAATCACGCATGTGAAGTAGATGGATGCAATTTGGTTTTCAAGTACCTAAAAGATTTGGTTAGACACAGACGAGTTCACACAGGTTTGTAACAATTGCTATTAAAAAAAAGTTATTTTTGTGATCATTTACTTTCTTCATAGGAGAAAAGCCTTTCATGTGCGGGCTTTGTGGTAAATCGTACAGCAGAGCAGACAAATTCCAGCTCCACTCGATGATCCACAAAAACATCAAACCTTACGCTTGTGGGATTTGCGAGTATAAGACCGTCAGCAGTTCAAACCTGAAAACACATCAAATGGTTCATAGCAATGAGAGGCCTTGGAAGTAAAATCATTCTCATCCGTCGTTTTGAAGGAACTAACAAAAAATTGATTATTTTCTTAGATGCCAAGTCTGTCCTTACAGAGCAAGAGGCTCTTCTCAGCTTGCAGTTCATCTCCGCAAACACACTGGTATTTTTAAAACTATAAATTTCAACCAAAAAAGCAGATTTTTTTATTTAAACTGTATAGGTGATCTCCCATTTATTTGCACTACCTCCGGCTGCAACGCCCTTTTCAAGACTGCGTCCAATCTTCGGCGGCACCAGAAAGTCCACAGTACTGAAAAACCATTTGCCTGTGATGTTTGCTCCCATCGCTGTAATTTAAAATGTATAAACTTCAATTGTTTATAATTTTTTATACTAACAAATTTTTCTAGCCAATTTAAGAGCTCACATCAAGAAAATGCATCTGAGAGGAAATTTTCGTTTCAAATGCAAACGCTGCTCGAACTTCCAAGCAAGAGGTTTTGAAGAATTACAGGAACACAACATACAAGCCCACAAAGGTGAATTTTCTCATCAGGCTGTTGTAATAAATTTTTACCGTTTAATTTTTTCATAGAGCCTCTAATAAAATGTGATACTGGAAGCTGCAGTTTCTTCTTCTACAAAGAAAGTGGTTTGCGAGACCACAGGAAAAAAAAGCACTCGGATGACACAACCAGACTGTGTTGCACCTTGTGCAACTTCTCATGTGCCACGGAAAGTAAGGATTTGTGCATATTTGTGGAGAATTTTTAATTAAATTTGTTTTTGGAAAGGTACCTTTCTTAAGCACGACTCGTTGAAGCACGCAAATCCTAATCGGTCTCACGAGAAGGAAAAGATGAGCCAGCTGGACCGGCAGTTCAAGTGCACCGAGTGCAGCGCTGCTTTTGTAAGAGAAGATTCCCTTCGAGCTCATTCAAAAATGCACCAGAAAGTTGATTTTGTTGCGAACTTTGACGTTCTGAGTAACGCTCAGATCCAGATACAAGACTTAATTTTGGACATACAATATACTTAAAATTTACATTAAACGCAATAATTTTTTTAAATATTTATTTGACAGCTCTGCATTTTTTTTTTTTTTTTTTTTTTTTTGTAAATTTTGCCACCGTTTAAAAAAAATCAAGTAGGCACTGGAATTAATTAATCTGATTAAAATAGAACCGACTGGAGAGAATAACTCTAAATTCCTTGGCTCAAGTCTCCATGACAATTTGAAGGCCAAACTTTGTAACTGATGCCGTAAATTCAAGTGCGCTGGCAATTTAATAAAAGAACCCCGAAGAAAGAACTTTGATAAAGCACGCAAGTGCAATTTGCCATATGATAATTCACCTGCCCGCAATAGACGTCTAAGGGCGGCGGGCATGCGTGCTGCACAAGCACATGAGCGAGTACGTAGTTGGTACTGAAAATCAATGAATTTGTCTCCCGTCCTTCAGCTTGGTCTCTCTGGCAAGCGAGGAGATGGAACAGACGTTTGATCTCGGAGAGAAGTTGACTATTGAGCCGACGCTGCTGCGAGCAGGTAAATTTATTGAAAAATTTGGAATTTGGAGATCAAACCATATTCTCACTTTTACTCACTTTAATATATTTTATATTACCTACAATATTATAGTTTTGAATATTCTAATTATTGCATAATTATTATTGAAATTTTGATGCTCTTTTTTCGGCACGGTGGCGTATAGGATTCAAATGTACTATTTTTAACAATTAATTAAAATCTTTTTTTGCAAAATTATTTAAAATATTTTTTAAACAAAAAGTTGACGCTGGAAATTTTTACTGTAACTATATTAATTATGCTATGCAAAATATTTTTATAAAAATTGTGATTTTTTTAAATCATGCATTGATTTTATTTTGAAGAATAATATTTAAGTTCATAATCCCGACGATTATCCTCTATCCGAATAATTTCCATCGCGCCACTTTTTACACAGATTATTGCAAACGTTGGTATAACTTAAAACTTTGGCACGTTGGTAGCATCAGCATGTTTATACTCATTTACTTTTGTTGATAATAAAAGTGAAATTTTTTTAACTCCGCAGTCCGCAATGCGACTGCGGCTGTCGTAAAAAGTATTTTTACCATTTTTACTTCCAAACGCTGTTATAAACACAGATAATTAATATGTGATCGTGTGGATGGGTTCAAAAAGACGGCTGATTAGATAAAGTGGATCAGGTACGAAGTTTTTGAAAGCAATTTAATTAAATGACAGTTCTACACCTCCCTTTTTGTTCGCATAATATATCTATGTCTTCCTTTTTTTTTCAATCTATTTTTTTATTTATTTTTGGAACCTTTTTTGTCCTATCCATTTTGATATGAACGAAAATCATTTTTCGCTTATGATGTGTTTTCATGAATGTTGTGAATTTAAATTGTTAAATACCTTTATCGACCTTTATATTCTCAAGTTGCATAATTTTTATTGATTTCATCCAGTTTTAGACATTTGAGGCATGCAAACCGTGTGTTGTTCTCGGCATTTTGTTTTAATTTGCATCTTCCAAATGTGAATGATGGACGTTACAAGCCCCGCAAAAAGCTCAGTTAAGTCTGAAGATGACATATCCGCCCTCGAGGACGTCCTGGACATGTGGGAAGAGGTTAGACGACGACACTTTTAGCACAGAATTTTCATAATATCATCATAATACCATGTTTTTATTTAAACAAAATTTAAAAAAACAAAATAATAGGAGTGCACCAAACCCAAATTGCAGGCAAATAATGCTTCACTCACCGCCGAGTCAAAGTCCGAAGAAGAGAGCCCCGTCAAAACAGGACCAGAAATGCCACAACTAGGCATGAAAAGAAGGGCTGCTGAGGCCAATGGTATAAAATAATATTTTAATTTCCCATTGTTTCCACCAATTAAAATTGAAATGTTTGATTAGATATGGCCAAGAAAAAGCGCAAAAAGAACAACGCTTTGGGCCCCTTGCAGCCGAAGAATGCTGTTTGCGCCCTGAACGAACTCCGACCTGGTCTGGAGTACAGCATGGTCTCTCAGGAGGGTCCAACACATTCACCCCTTTTTACAATGAGCATTGAAGTAGGGTTTTATTTATTTAAAAAACATTTTTTCTAAATTCTTGTGCAGGTCAACGACCAGAAATTTGTCGCCACAGGTCGATCCAAGAGACTGGCAAAGCAGGCCGTGGCAGAAAAGGCCCTGCAGAGTTTTCTGCAATTCAAGAATGAGGCCGACACCAGGCAAGCCATGGGACGTCCTGTGCACCCTAAACACATGGACATTGACTTCACATCAGACGTGTCCGAATTCGACATGACTCCGTTTGACCCGAACGCCGTCAAGGCCCCAGGAATCAAATCCGCTCCAATTCCACAGGCGAAACCGACTGTGGCCCCACCAACGTCAATTGCAGCTTCGTCTGCAACCAGCAAAGCTCAGGAGCAAAAACCAGGCCCTTCAAATGCAGCAGCAAACCCTGTACTTACACTGCAGCAGCAGAAGCAGGCAAAACTTGCAAAGATTTCCCCACTGGAGAAAAATCCAGTGACCATTTTGAATGAGTTGGTGCCCGGCACCAAATTCGAGTGTGTCGGAGAGAGCGGGGAGGCCAACACAAAATTCACCATGGCTGTGACGGTCGAAGGGCAACTCTTTAAGGGATCAGGTATGTCAAAATATAATTAATTTCGATTTTGTTTTAATAACTTTAAATTTATCATAGGACCAAGCAAGAAATTAGGAAAAGCAGCTGCCGCCAAGGGAGCCTTGTTGAAACTTTACGATTTGAATTTCTCCCCTTTCCAAGGGATTCGCTCACAGCCCAATCCAGCTTTGGGTCCAAACCAGAATTACGTCACTCTTCCTCAAGTTCTGGCTGATCATATCGCAAAGTAAGAATGATTTTTTTTTAAACCTAAATAATATTTTGTTTGTTTTATTATCTAGTCTAGTGCTTGAGAAGTTTTCTGCCCTGATGGTAAGCAAGCCCGCTCATTCTGGCAGAAAGGTGCTGGCTGGCATTGTGATGACCACCGGCTCGGCCATGGATGACGTGTCTGTGATTGGAGTCACGACTGGCACAAAGTGCATCAATGGAGAACACATGAGTGACTTGGGCAGCAGCCTTAATGACACCCACGCTGAAATCGTCGCCCGCAGATGTCTTTGTGATTTTTTGTACTCGCAGCTTGAGCTTCACACCAAACCAGGTGAAAATATTTCCAAGGCCAAAAACGTGACTTTACTTAAAAAAAATTGTATTCATTTAGAAACTGCAGCAGAGTCGGTCTTGGAGAAGAAACCCGATGGAAAAGGTTTCAGAGTGAAACCTAACGTAAAGTTTCATTTGTTCATCAACACAGCACCCTGTGGAGATGCAAGGATTTTTTCACCTCACGAGGCTGCCAACACTGACGAGAGGGTGGACAATCATCCCAATCGGAAAGCAAGGGGACAACTTCGAACCAAGATCGAGTCTGGCGAAGGAACTATTCCAGTGAAGAGCTCGGAGAAAATCCAGACTTGGGATGGTGTTTTGGAAGGAGAAAGGTAAAAAAAATATTAATAAATTTGAATTAATGTCTAAATCTCAATGCAGATTGAGAACAATGTCCTGCTCTGATAAAATCGCTCGGTGGAACGTCCTGGGTCTGCAGGGTGCTCTTCTGTCTCACTTTGTAGAGCCAGTTTATCTGACCAGCATTGTGGTCGGCTCCCTTTTCCACCCCTGCCACATGTACAGGTACGATTGTCCCCAAATTTGCCCGTTCTTGCATACTAAATAATGAGTGCTCTTGCTTTGGCCTGTTCAGGGCTGTTTGTGGTAGAATTGAGAACACAGTCCAGGGACTGCCACCTCCTTATCGCCTCAATAAGCCTCATATGAACCTGATTAGCTCACCTGAGGTCCGATTACCAGGCAAAGCTCCTAGTCATAGCGTTAATTGGACAATAGGTATGCCTTAAAAACCAATAACTTCCTGTTCAAACTAAAAATCAGCATCTAGGCTTGAAAGTTTTAAACGATCCTTTGATAAATCAAAAGAAAAAATTCCCTGTCCACTCCCTTGCTTGACTTGAATAAATCCTGACAGGTGAGGAAGGGCCTGAAGTCATCAGCTCCATGACTGGCAAGAACGAAACCGGAGGCGCCTCTCGACTTTGCAAGAGAGGTCTGTTTTCTCGATTCTTGCGCTTGGTGTCTACGTTGCCAACAGTCACCGGAATCGGAAGTCCAGGCAACCCTTGCCCACCAACATATTGTGATGTCAAGGCAGCCATGCATGACTACCAAGTAAATATTTAACTAAAGGATAAATAAGGCTGCTAGCTAGAATGAGGATTTTATATCTATAGAGTTATATTAATCTAAAAAATATACTTATAGAGTTGTTAAAAATCTTGAAAATTTTCAGATGGCTAAAAAGCAGCTCTTCATTTCTTTCCGGAAGGCTGAGTTAGGAGAGTGGTTGTGCAAGCCTGTGGAGCAGGACATGTTTGAAGTAACGCCATATGGTGCAAATGGCGAGCAAGGTAACGAAAGGGCGCGTTTGATTGCTGGAGTGGGCGAGTGAGTCGCACGATGGGAGGGCAAGGCGCATCCTCCAAATGCGCCGAACCACTTTTCTGTGCAACACGCCAACGGGTTAGGGGTCTTTGAGTAGAGGCTACCCAGTCCCAAGAGAATTATTGATCTTCCATTGCGTATTTTGCCTGTATTATGACATTTGGACAAACAAGTTCCTTTATGTTTTTAGAAGACTGACTAAAAATATTGCGCCGCCTCAATATATTTTTTTCCGTTCCAAGTTCAAATCTTGTAACTTCAGGTTTTAATTTCTCCTGAAATCGAGTAGATGGAAGTCTTAGGACTAATAGCTGACTAGCTCAAATCACCCTAGCCACACCGTGTCCTTCTCAACGTAGCGACCCGCTCACTATCTCCGGCTTCAGAAAAGAAACACCGAATATATCTGTTTAAATACCAAGCTTAAAAACTTTTTCATCGTGAATTTTAACGTCTGATCTTAACCACCTTCGTAAGAAATAAAGCTCTCATAACCGTGATGTAACAGGAATTCAGTTTGCAGTTTGATTTGAAACCAATGGTTAGTGTGTGTGTGTGTGTGGGGGAAGGTTACACGAATTACAAAATTCAGATTATTTTACACTTAGAAGATAAATATATTTGGCAAAAATTTTGAATAACAAACTATTTGATCACATTTATGTAAGTTTTGTCTACAGTTTAAGATTTGGAAAAGAGATCAAAATTTAAATCTCCTACCTCTAAAAGATATGATAAGTATTGCAGTAAAAAAAGTAGTTAGATCCGCTATATTTTAAACTTGTGTTTCGGGCAAATTTTCACCGTTTTCCTTGATTTTCGCATCCAATTGTTCAGGCGTGTGGGAGGAGAGCGAAAGTGCTGAGGAAGCAGAAGACAAAGTAGGTGGGGAAGCAATTGTGACAGGGATAATTGCAACAGGGGAAGAGACTTCAGAAACAAGAGGTGTGTTCTCGTCCGCTCCGAGGGGTGGTTCGTCATGATTGTCCTTTGAGCGAAGAATGCGGTCCCTGATTTTCTCCAGGCTTGAGGCTGGTGTCATCGAGGGAACAACGGCTCGTCTCAGGGCAGAAATGCGGCGAGGAGAGGCAGGAGGGGTGGAAACGTCAGGGAAGAGAACAGTCTCATCCTGTGGCGCGGCCACAAGAAGGGATACGGGACGTTTGTTCTTGTCCGATGGCCGGAGCAGCCGCCTCGTACTACCAGGGGTGTCAACTGCAAAAGGGTCAACAACTCTAGTTGTAGAGACATGACTTATCTTCATCACCTTGACACCAATGAGCATGCAGTGCAAATTAGATGTGTTTTTAAAGTGCGTTTTATTTACAGTGTGTTTATTGAGTGCCCATTTCACCTATTTACATGCCATAATAAAGGTTTAGGATTGAAATAATATGATTATTATGATTTAAGTTATAAGTGGCTAAATTCCTCGGTCATGCCAGGAGACTCACTCTGTGCTGGAGAGTTGGTTGTGGTAAGAAGGGGAGTGCCAGGTTCTTCCATAGCATCTTCAGTGGCTTCCTCGCTCAGGGTGCGCAGCGCTTTGGAAATCATTTGCTCCTCCATAGATACCTTTTAATAAAAATAAAAATAGTTTTCAAGTAAATCAGGAGTAATAGAGCCCTTACTTGTTTCTCCAGCATAGTTTGCTTCTGCCGAGAATCAATTCTTGATTTTGACTCTTTTGAATCACCGGCCATTCCAGTTTTTCCACTCATAGAACCTGATAAAAATAATATTAGTGTGAAATTGATTATTAAATTAATTTTTATTTACTTTTTCTTTGAACTGGAGCAAATCGAACATAGCTCTTCTCCTCAACAGGATTGACCTCCTGCTGTCGCAAAGACATGACCAACCACTTGAATATCTCCCAGTCTCCAAAGTTTAGATTCAACACCTATTGATTATGATATTTAAAAAAGAACATGCATTTTTAAAACAAATTTCTACCTGCTTCAGCTCGTTCAGTTCACACAGCGCCAAGACCTTACCACCAATATTGTTCTCCTTCAACGACTTCTGCAAGGCCGTGACTGTTCCTGGACTCAAGTCGTCAACAGAATTCAAAAAGTCGCAAAATCCATCGACTGACATCCCAGACAACTTGGCTTCCTCCGGATTTACTTGGATATTTGGCAGTGGCAGAGGGGGTCTTTGCTGAATGATTACAGGGGGTTCCCAAGGATTGGGCCAATTCAAGATAGACTGTGCCTGGGGTGGAATCTGCTGGGGGATCTGAGGGTAGACAACTGCTTGACTCTGGGGGGTCTGGACAGTTCGGAGTGAAGATCTCTGCCTGCGGAGGATGGCTGGAGGTTTTGAGGCCACACTTGGCCCGTCCTGCTGTTGGGCTTGAGCGGCAAAAGTTTCTTCCAAACCGACGTTTTCCTCTTTGATGACTTTCTTGAGGTAGGGGTCAAGGTTTATGGTGAAGGGTAGGTAAAGACGCATGTGGCAGACGAGCAGATTCGAGCGGTGGTTTGCCAGAAAAATTTCCAATTTTTTCTCGTCCGCGTCCATTTCAAGTAGAGGTTCAGTATCTCGGCTTGCAGGAACATATGGTTTAACCCTGGCACACACAAAAATAAAGACCAGAGTTGCATATTTGATGTCTAGCAGAAAAAAACTCACTTTTCATATACACTTCTAAGTGAGGAAGTGTCATCGAGAGCTTCTTCAAAAGCTTCCATGTACAAAATCATCCAGGAAAGACGATAAGGCCATTGCTCTGCTAAATTAATCCAGATTGAGACGTGGTACCAGCTGACTTCTATTTGGAACGATCTCAAAAGACGAACTGGAACATAATTTATTAAATAAAAATTTAAATTTTTCAACAATAAAAATGTACCAGTTATGTGCATGACATTCATAAGTCTCCTGAGTGATCGAGGATTGACATCCGAAAAATAATCGTCAGTGAGAAGAAACCCTTTGTGACCTGCCTCCATGCCCATTCCTGCCCTGTTCAGATTGGACGCCAAGGAACTGGCTACACTCTCACTCGACCAGAGTCGTCTGGTGCTGCTCGACCCTTTCCGAGAGTTGCCTGGAGCCTTCAGTCGGTCTCCTCCACTTGATTCAGAGGAAAGGCGCCGAGAAACTGTCACAGTTGAGTCGTCCTGTCGGCGAGCTGCCCACTGCTGGGCCACCTTGGCGCGGTTGATTGCCGAGTTTTGGAGGTAGAACGGCAAATGCACAAGGTTCCTGACATATAGGTTGCCAGAAATTGGACCGTCGGTAAAGACGCGTTGGGTGTTTGAGTCGAGAGATCGTGCTATGATGTGAGGGTCGATGGCCAGGAGAACTATGAATGGTGCGTGGGCTTCATTGAACAGAATGCTGATGGCATCCAGAATCTGCAAAACTTTGTCTTGCTCGGCCGTATCAAGACCGTCAATCACAGCCACCAATCTTGTTTGTTGCTCGGAAAATGAGTCCAGGCACTCCACCTGTTTATCAAGAGAATGAAATAAAAAGTGTATTCTTGGTTATTTGGAAAATTACCATGTTGGTCAATAAGCTAACTTCTCCTCTCAGCTGGTGAATGAAACCTTCACCTTTACTCTTGGATACAGCATTTAGAAGTTGCCTCTTTTGCGACAGCACTAGACTTTGGAAAGCTCTTCCAACAGTGAATAGATTTGCAACTACAGCCACACTGATGACTAGACCTAAAGTGATCACTGCTGCTTGAATCGTCCATGTTTCAATGCTGAAATTTTGAAACATGGAAATTATTTCCCTTATCATCATTATAAATTTTGAACTGACATGTTTGCATCAGCAGATGCTCGAAGCCAAAATCCAACCCCGATGGCCAGCAGCAAGCCACAGGCAAAAAGGATGTGCCAAAGAACACAATAGGGCAAACAACATAGTCTTCTCCACTGCCATGAAGACCTGACTGGTTCTGGCCGGAATGCCCTGTAGAGTCTCGGAGCCCAGGTGCCGTAATCTTTTTCAAGAGCGTCATACAAAGAGCCAATCATGTTGAGGAGAGACGATTCTCTCCCAGCTGTAGTCGAAAGTTTTGCTTGGTCACTGAAGTAGAATCGTATTGGGTTGGCGTTTGTGTTTTCACGGTTTTGGGCTGCCGGATGACAGAACAAAACTTCCAGAACAAGTTTGATTCTCGCAAGACGATATGCCAGAGCAACACTGGTGTTATATGGCCAATACCAATCCAATCTGCAAGAAATGGTGAAAAGATGTGGAAAACAAATTTTTCTTATATTACCTTTGAGCTCCGTACCAAATAAGGAGCAAAACGATGTAACAGCCGATGAAAAATCCCACGCCAACCGAGCAGCCAACAATCCAAGAGTTGGCTGCCAAATAACTGGCCACTGCCAGAAGAAGAGCTACGTGTAGCACCAAGAGGAATAAAAGTGGCGTGAAAGCAAATGTAGGCTCCACCCACTGCCGAGCAAAACCCTTCATCTCCTCTAAAAATCAATTAAAAATTTTAACCTTAGAAAAAAATGAATTCACCTTTCAATTTATTCAGCAGAAATGATTTTCCACTACCCCATTTGGCAAAAAGTCCAACAATTATGGGCATGGTTAGGAATGGTTCGCTGAGGGTGTCTGCGATTGCAGTTCCATAAAGATCGTACCCCAAAAGCTTTTCGTTTTCTGAGCTTGAATTCAGACGTCCTAAAAATTAATATTTAGTTTTGTTCTGGTTAAAATTTATAACATACTTTGTCCAAACATTTGGCCTAAAATGGTTTTGCTGTGTTTCATGTCTAGATTGTAAGGCGTTTCGCCATCCTTGTTGGGTCTGTAGAGGAGCTGACTGTGCTTAGGATTCCTCAGCAGCACTTCGACAATGCCCTTGGACCTGGCGCGCATTGCAATATGCAAACAAGTGTCGCCTTTTTTATCAGCCGCCGTCACCTTTGCCTTTTTATCCAGCAGCAATTGGACGATTTCCGAGTTTCTGTTCCTGACAGCTTTCATGAGCGCAGTGTCTCCATCCTTGGTGGCCACTTCAAGATCCGGGTTTGCCGAGAGCAGCAGTTTGACAATGGCCGCGTTTCCTTTCTCCACTGCCCAGTACAAGGCGGTTTTGTGATCCTAAAACAAATTTAATGTAAACACACGCTAAAGGTAAAAAAACAACAAGTGGCCCACTTTTCCCGGGATATCTGCATCGGCGTATTTTTTCAGCAAAGCCTCCACCACAGGGCGATGGCCTCCCTTCACAGCGTGAATCAGTGACGTGTCGCCGGCCCTATCTTGCACGTTAATGTAAGCACCTTCGTTCAGCAGGGCATTGACAATATCTTCAAATCCCTCTTTGGAAGCGACGGCCAAAGATGTGCAGCCATCTTTGTCTTTAACGTTGATATTTGCTTTTGCCTTGAGGATCAGAGCCACGGCTTCAGTGTGTCCCCCAGAGGTGGCCACCAGAAGAGCCGTCCAGGAATACATTCCCACTGCGTCAACGTTGGCCCCGGCCTTCAGCAAGAGGGCCACAGAGTCGGGGTTGCCATTTCTGCAAGCCCAGACAAGAGCCGAAGTTCCGCACTAAAATTAATTAAAAGAAAAAGAATTGCTCAATATTTCATAATTTAAAAGTAGAAACAAATGAATGATGGTTTTAGCTTCTACGCACTATAAAATTGCTCTTCTTTAAAAGGTATTTATAAAAAAGGAATCATTTTCATTACTAGATTTAAGTAATTACAAATTTTTGCTTCTTTTATTGACTAATTGAACAAAAAATGGATCATAAATAAATGAAAATTATTTAAATTTCTGCTTCTTGAAGAATTTTATTTTACCTTATCAGCTGTGACCGCCTTGGCTCCATGTTCAAGAAGTTCTCTCACGATTTCGGAATGTCCCCTTCCCGCCGCCCAAATGAGAGAGGAAATATTGTAGTTCCCCTGGGCGTGCACGTCAGCGCCGCGGGCCAAAAGCAGCGCCGCAGTCTCAGTGCGCCCTTTGTAACTGGCCCACAGCAGGGCCGTCCAGCCGCCCATATCCCGGTGCTCCAAGGTGGCGCCGGCGTCCAGCAATCTGTTGCACACTTCCGTGTGGCCTTCCTTGGCCGCGCAGAGCAGGGCGCTCCAGTTGTCCAGGTCTTCGGCATTGACCTCAGCACCAAAATTCAGCAGCTCCTTCACAAATTCTATTTTGCCTCGAGAGGCTGCCACTTGGAGAGCAGTCGTTCCATTCTAATCAGACGATTGAAAAGAAGAAAATTGATATTTAGCGTAAATAAAATAAAATAAAATTTTTTTTGTTAAAAATCAAAATACTTCAATTATATTGTCTTTTTTTTTAGCAAAACAGTGCGAAACTACATTATTTCCTTAAGATTTAAAAATGAAAATTTTTACAATTATAGCGAATATTTTATAAAATAAAAATAATAAATATATTAAAGTACAACGTGTGTTAAGGATTTTATTAAAAAATTTTAGTTGAATTAAAATATTTTTACTGTAATTTGACGAAAATTTTATCTTACTTCATCTCGGTCGTCAACGTTCACCCTCCTAGACTCAAGAAGGGCCTGCAAGCCTGGCAAGTCATCATCGACGATGAGGTTGACGATGGTCCTGTGGCCGATAGCCGCCATGACCGGGTCGGGCGATGCGAGCGTCTGCAACACCAGAGCCAAAATAATTACAATTTTATAAAAAAAAAAGAATTTATAAAAATTATCAAATTTCTATGGACATGCGATGAATCTACGGCGTCACAGTTGAAGATTAGTTGGAATTTATTGTTGTGTTAATCGGCAAAAGTAAAATAATTAAAAAACAAGGGTTGCGGCTGCTCGGTTAGCGCGAGATTTGGTCGTAGGTTAAATCGGAGGCAAACAGCACACACGAAGACTAGACCTGGGACGAGAAGCGGCGCAGGCTGAAGCTGAAGCGGCGTCCGGAGTCGCCGGCCGGCGAGCCGAAGGTGGGCAGGTGAAGCAGGGAGGCCGTCGGCGAGTGGCTCAGGAACATCTTGAGCGAGCCGAGAGAACTGCCGCGGCTCCGCTGGTTGGTCGGCGGAGGCGGCGGCGCCGCCGGCTCCGGCATTGAGCACGCCGACGACGACATGGACGGCGCCGGCGTCACCGACAGCAACGGCAGATTCGCGCGGCGCTGCTTCTTCGACGACTCCAGCATGACTTCTTTCAATCAAGAGGACGCACAGCGAAATGCATTGATTCTCAGCAGCTCAAAAGGAAGAAATTGTTGGTTTCGTCACACCACTGATATGAGGCACGCACACAATAACAAAATCAGGGGAGAGAAAGGGTTAATCGGCCGCATTTTTAGTACACGGGGGTGAGATTGGACAAATTTGTTTTCGTGTTTGTGGAAATTAGGAATATATTTTTTCATATTTTCCAGTGTTATTAGGGACTCATTTTCGGATAGTCAAGACAATAAAAACGATAGAGAACATTTTTGTGATTTTTGAACTTTTAATCATTGATTTGGCTATGCCAATACGGATTACATAATAAAAAAAATTGCTATGGCTTTCTAAATTCCTTAAAAAATATTATTTTGCTGAACTCTAATAAATTTACAAAACAAAACATTTTTCGCAAAATGAAATCAACAATTCATTTTATTTAATTTTAAAATTTTGCAAAAAATAAAAATTATTAATTACAAAAAAGAATGTATTTTTTAAATCATTTACAAAAAAAAAAAAAAAAAAAAAAAGAGTGTAAAAATACCTATCTACAGTTTAACTTTCCGTCTTTAAAATTAATTGCAAAAGAGTTTGGATTAAAATAAAATATAAATTCCCAAATTTTGGAAAATATTAAAATATAAATTTGTTAAAAAAAATAATTAATTTAATATTTGTTGAAAAATTATACTTTTAGCGTTCGATAAAGCATTAATATTTATAAAATTGAATATTATGAAATTGGAAAAAATTAGAGTGGTTTATTTATTAGTAAAAGGCAAAAATTAATGGGTATGTTCATTGTTTTAAATTAATTTAATTTGAAAAAGTACTTATTTTCAAAGAATTAAATTTTAACTGGATTAAAATATATAAAACCGAATGTAATGTAATAAATGTACATAAAAATAACATTTTTAACTGGGTTAAGTATTCGTTGAATTAAGTTGAACCAAGTTGAACTAATATATTCAAAATCTGAAAAGATCAAAATGTTATGAGAAGAAAATCTATCAATATTGGAGCTTTTTTTACATTTTAAGGCCTGTAAAACAATTTTATCAAGCGACGATTATGTAGACTATGTACTTAATTCTGTGGATTTTTGTTGACACAAGATTATTATCATGTTGTTTGATCTATCGACCACAAAATTATGTTGACATGAAAAAGAAAAATGACAATTTCTAGATCAATAATTTCACTAAAAAAATTTAACAAATGAATTTTGAAAGGAATTAGTTTTCATCAAAATCAGATTTACAAAATATAAAGCAATAGAAAATTAATTGTTGAAATTAGAAATTGGACCTGCGAGGATCCCGATATGCTGGCAATGGCCGGCGCCAGGAAATTGTAAAAGGTGGACACGGCGCCGTAAGATCGGGTGGACGCGTGCTTCTGTATGATGGGCAGCGTCTCCTTGGCCGAAGTCGAGGCCATGGTCGGTCGGACAGCCGGTCCGAAAGTGGACAGTTGGAAAGACACTTTGCCTCTGTTCGAGCTGCGTGACCTTTCGCCTCCCAACGGCGAGTGACTCACAAGAGAGCTTCAAACGAGCCCTAAATCTATCTCGTGCTATCTGTCGATACATAAATAAACAGTGTGGTGTCGTTTGCAGTAAGTGTCCGCGAAATGAAGAATGTGTGCAGTATATGATAAGAGAAAAGGCATTTTTACGGATAATGAGCGAGACACAGACGGTGGTCACGGGGGCAAAAACGACAAAAACGCGGTGGTTCGGAATCGGAGTGGAAAGAGAAAAGAATGCGAGGAATGTACCTGACGAGGAATTAGATCAATCCACGGAGTGTCCTGGCCGTTTCATCGCTAAATTTTTTCACAGAGTCACAGACCTGTGACTTCGACCTACAGTCATGAGATTTTTGTAAACAAACTGTTGCCAACTTTACAGAAGAGCATGTAAAAAAGATAAAAAATACTGAAAATATGAACAAAAATCATCTCAAAAATCAAGACAAATTCAAAATAATCAATTTATTTAAGATAAAATGTTTTTATTAAATTCTGATCGGCTGCAATCCGTTGCAAATTTTAGTGCGAATTCTGTTTGCTTTGCGTAAAGAGGTCATTCATAAAAAACAACATAGTACGGCGGCTGCGGCGCCAGATGTCTCTGACGTCAGTGCATTGAGATTCTCACTACGAAAGCAGCACCACTTTGCTCCTCCGTCCAACAATTAAATCATCAATTCCGGTAAGATTCGCGGCCCGAAATTTGCTCGGCCGGCGTTTGTGCAGCTAAGGTCGCGGTTCAACTCGCGGGGCGCGAGTCGGACTCGCGGATTGAGCCGCGAAATCTCCTTTTTTCATTCAGCCGCCGCATAAAAAAGCACGGAATTTTTACAATTTACGGCCCGATATGGGCTAGGCCGCCGAAAAGGGTGTGACGTCACCAAATTTAATATACACACACACACACACACGTCCGGCCGATCGAAGCTGAGAAATAAATATTTAATTCCGTTCGCCGGCGAAGGGGTTAAACATGATACGCGAGCCGCGTGCTCTTTTTTCACAATTGCCCCCTCCCCTATTCTCGGCGCGGCTTGATATAAATTGCAGCCGGCATCGCTAATCCTCTCTCATTTGCCAATTTCAGACGAACACGGGCATCTCTATCTATCTGGACGATCATGTCTCTGGACGAGGTAAGCGCACCAGCAAGTACACTTTTCTCTTCCTACTCGGAATGAGTTTTGCATTTTTCATCCATTTACGTAAGGCGCGCATTTTTCATTATTATTTTGTGTTTGTTGTTTTGCTTAGCACGTCCGCGCGCGATTCGATCGAATTGTGGTCGCGGCCTTCGAGCCGGTGACTCGACACTTTGTTTTGTAACAAATTATGTTATTATTATATCGACCTTTTTAAGCCTTGAGTTTCGCGGTTTGCTTTAAAAGTGAGAGTTTGAAATTTGACAAGAACAAATTAAAGTTGCTCTTTTTTTATCTTATCTGCTCGTAAATGAACCTAAGCAGACTTTAGAACTTCCGAGATAATTTATTTTAGGGACCAAAAGGCACTTTTACTGAGATTCGTCTGATGATCTTATCTCCTGAATTTATAAGAACAAGTTAAAATAAATGAAATGTGTAGGACAATTTTTTTTAATCTTAAAAAAGAAATGAAAAATTTATAAAAACATATTAGGCGATTAAATTACAATTTATTATGTATAATAATTTTTAAAAACAACACCGGACTTAAATTAAATGGTCCGTTATTTAAAAATTCTCTGAATGGTCTTAGCTTTTTGCAAAATGTTTAAAAAAAATTGAATTTTCCAAAAATTTGAAGGGACTCTTCCTTTTCTGCCACATTTTAACCGTTGAAGTTAGTTTGAAAAGTTTAGCAAACCACTCCATGCTTTTAAGCAAATTGGTGCCTCCCCCGCCGGTTGAGGCCTACTTCCTGCGTCTACCGGTAAAAATTGTTGATGAACGGAAGTAGAACACACGAAATTTTAAAATTAATTAGTACTCTGGCCGCTCATTTTTTTCCTTTGAAAGAAATTTGCTTGAAATAAAACCGCACTATAGAAATGTTTTAACAATACAAATTTAAAAATTTGTTGCGTTTTGAAAAATGAAAAATTTAAAAGCGGTTAATTTTGCAGAAAATCTTATTAATTTTGTCTTTAAAAGTCAAGCAATTTATTTTTAAATTTTTAATACATTTTATTTTAGTTTTTTTCCTTAAATCTTATTAGTTTTCAAGCAATTTTGTTGGTGCATGACAAAGGCAAAAGTACAGTTTGCACTTTTCCGCTGAACGCAAGGCAATCGTCATCGTTTGCACGGAGAAGGCGAAACTTGCGTTTGCTGGATTGCCTTGTATTGCAGATGCATCTCGATCGCCTTGCCTTGGGCAAACCTTCCGCTGTTTCTTTTTTTCTAACGGCTTCGCGTGAATCGTCGGCCGTTGCTGCAGCTCATCAGAAATTATATAGTTTTCACATCAAATTCACGCCGCTTGTGCAGCGATGCAGCTTGTATGACTCATTACAAAACCTTGAATTGTAGAATAATGTTCTTTATAATCACAATAATTGAGACAGAACGGTAATTTGAAAATTATAAATTAACTAAATCTTTTGTTACATGCTGAAAAAAATGCTATTTATAAAGAGATAAAATTTTCCTTACAAAATATATCTCAATAAATATTATTTTTCTATTTCCCTTGAATATGATTAAATTTTAATTTTTAAAATAACTTCAAACAACTATTCTCTGGTTTCTGACACTAAAAAATTTAAAATAATAATTTTAAAAACGCATTAACGTTCAAAAATTTCATTCTACTGAAAAAAGTAGTACTTTGAGATTGTTTAATTTGTGGCACTTTCCATTTTGGACCACTGGAATAAAATTGAAAGGTTAGATAACGATAGAGAGAGTACGTTGCATGCAATCTCGGTGCACATTAGCCTCTCGTTGAAGATAAACAAACGGTGTGTGTGTGTCCTTTTGAGCCGCTACGTGATGTTTGCGGCGAATGCCTTTTTGAGCCTAACCTGTGGATCGCCAGCAGCATTGTTTTATTTAACTTTTTCCTTGCCATGCTCCTTTTCTGTCGACTAACCGACTCGTTGTTTGAGCCACCGCTTTACGAAAATTGTGATTGCTTGCAATTCTTGCACGCGCTTTTAAAATGATTAGTGCCGCTTGAAAATTATACCTTGCTAGAAATCAAATTGGTTAAAAAAGTGATGAAATAGATTCAAATAATATTTATTTCAAATTGATTCTATCCAATGAATTAATATATTTTGAATTTAAGAAAACGAGCAAATATTTTTGTCAGAGGAATTTTTCTACTGCCCGAAGTGTCGGTTTCATTTTTAATCGGCGTTAAAACAAAATCCTTCTTTGTTCTAACATTCTTTTTGCCGCGACCGCATCTCCTGTGTGTAAAAGACAAGCCGCGAAATGTAATGCCTTTTAAATCGTGAAACTAGAGCTCACTTTGCAACTGAGTGAAACGTGATACTGCACCGCCGAGTTAATTGAAACCCAAGCCCATGTATAATATTTGTGCCGTCCGTAGAGTGCAGCGTCTGCAATTTCAGTCTTGCATTTTCCTTTCGTTTGCGTTTCATTGAGAAATAATACACCTATTTGCACTAATTACTAATCGGATTGCTCTTTGCAGCGTTTTAACAAGGCGGCCGAGGACGTCAAGAAGCTTAAGACTTCGCCCAGCAACGACGAGCTGCTCGATATCTACGCGCTTTTCAAGCAGGGATCTGTCGGAGATTGCAACACAGGTATATAGTTTTCCTATCCGTATTAAAACTTCAGTTAATTAAAAAAAAAAAGTGGAAAATTAAGTGCTTGTGTAAATAATTCACACTAAAATGTGAGTAAAGAAAATATTTAGATGATTAAATAAAATAAAAACGCCAAACCCAATTAATTTTTCAAAATCAAAATACATCTTAATTAATCTTAAGTAGTTACCAAATTTATAAAAAAAGTAATTAAATAATTATTTTTCCCATTTGATATTCAAATTTAATTTCACATTCAATATAATTAATAAGTATTTTTCACGACAGATAAGCCTGGCATGCTCGACTTCAAGGGCAAGGCAAAGTGGGAAGCCTGGAACGCCAAGAAGGGACAATCTCAAGACGCTGCCAAAGAGGCCTACGTCGCAAAGGTCGAAGAGCTGGTGGGCAAATATGGGGTCAACTGAAACATATTTTTTGTCAATTAATTAACGCTTTAACAATTATCATGTCTGTTAGATTTTTTTATACCTCTTGTTTATTGTAAAAGAAAATATATCTTTAGTTGAAATTTGGAAAGTTAAATTTGTTTCATATTGAAATTAAAAGCCCTTTACAAAAACAAATAGATTTTACTTTTTTACTTAAAAAAAAAAAATAATCTAACTTTTAAGCCAACTGTTTCAAATGCTACGTGCCAAGGAACACTCTTGTAAACCATAAATATGAATCAAGTTCAGAAAAGAGGAATAATATTAGAATGAAAGCTGCCGTTTATCTAAGGAAAGAGAGAAAAAAGCAATCTAACTTCCTTCTCCAGTTAATCAACAATGCAGCAGCGTGATGTTAAATTTCCACGCTTCGGAATTACTCCGAAGTCCATAAGTGGGCAACTGTGGGTGAAAAAATGCCCAAAATAACAGGTGCTCTTGCGTGACAGTTGCTCATAAAAGATTCCTTAGCGCCTGCAATTCAAACAAGAAAAAATAAAGAAGCGGACAGAGACCGAAATGGAGGAGTTTGATTGATTGATTTGGCCTAGCATTATTTGGTGTCGCCTTGGCGACGGCTCGAAACTCGTCGGACCGCGACAAAAAAGCATTCTATTGCGAGAGAATAGACCGCCGTTTGGCCAAGAACAGGTAGGACTGTTTGTTTAATTGAATTCATTTTGCGTGCGGCGCACTTGACTGCGTTGACACCTGCTTTGAGCCAGGGAGCCCCTGGCACCGCACGCCGTTTCCGACCGCAGCACGATGGCAATCCCATTATTCCGCGACCGACCATGGCTCAGAGCGGGGCGAAGGTTTCCTAGCTTAGTCCCGGGCTTGTTACCCACACGAGTCATGCAATCCGGCTTTCAGGTTGCTGCCCTTGCGCGGAGGATGGCCGGCAGGAAGAAGGGTGAGGCGACCCAGCTGCAGATCGAGGTCACCACCGAGGAGGAATGGGAAAAACTCTTGCAAAAGGAGGGATTGATTGGTGAATTTTCTCCACGATTTTCCAAATGCACATAAAATTATAACGTAATGACTGCAGCTGCAATGCAGTTCCCACGCATTGTACCATTTTAGTTCTAGTTAGTTTGGGAAGTATGCAACCTGCACGGCATGCATGTCACGCCGACGGTATTCCCCCAATTGGCAGGCGTGCCAGGCAAATAATTTGTCTCGTGCTGGCTTTTCAGAAATTTCACGTTAATTTGTACTGAGGGTCTTGTTATGACGCGCAGTAATTAATTTTCTAGTATGTCAACTCATTAAGCAAATTATACTGAAATTCCTTATTTTCCTTATTCAGCACGCCATAAGTTCAAGAAACTAATTATAAAAATATTAAAGATATAGAAATTTTTGTTGCGTTTTTTTTTGTCGACAGGAAGGGAAATAATATTTATGAAATATCTTTAACTTTAAATATTTTAAGTGAAAAGTTTGGAATTAAAGTTGACACATAACATAATTATAATTAAATATTGCAATGAAAAATAAGTTCCCGGCAAAGAAAATTATTTAAATTAGATACACACTTCACACTCTTGTAGAATTGAAAAAGTTTTTTATTTAAAAAAATAATTATACACTGTTAGTTGTGGACGTGTACACCGGTTGGTGCGGTCCGTGTATTGGGATGCTGGGCAACCTGAAAAAGATCAAACTGGAGATTGGAGGCGAGCTGCTCCACATGGCCGTGGCCAAGGCTGACGAAATTGAAACCTTGGCCAGGTTCAGAAAAAAGAGCGAGCCCACGTGGATGTTTATTGCCGTAATTTAATTTCAGAAACTTTCTTCAAGCCAAAAAAATTTTTAACTGAGCTCAATATTAGGGCGGACAAATGGTGAATTTAATGTTTGGTGCAAATGCTCCGAGACTTTGCCGCATGATTGTGGACGAGTTGGCCAAAGAGACGGCGGTCATCAATGGGGAGCGAGAAAGAGAGACGGTTAGTTTTCAATTGAAATTTTTTAGAATAAAAATATAAAAGAAAAATTTATATAATCTTTATTTGAATGAAACTGAAAGTTTAAAGATCAAACTTTTATTGAGTTCAGATTCCATTCCACGAGTTAACTCCGGAAGAAATAATTCGCAACGAAGAGATCGAGCGGCGACGCTTGGAGGCCCTGGCGGCCGAGGAAGAAGCGACCGCCGCCAAATTAAATGCCCTCCGTTTGCTTTCACTGGCTCGCCGCGACGTCGACCCTTTGCACCTGGTGCTGCTGCCTCCACACGTGGTCGCTGCCGGACCTGACACCGGCGCCTGGCAGGAACTGACCGCAGCCTTAACCACTGCCGGTGCCCTTATTCTCGAGGAACATCAGGTTGGGATTTGTTATTTTAAATTCTTTTTTTTGTTTACTTAAAGGTCAATATTTTTAAAACCAGTACATTTATTTTAAAATTTGTTCAAGGAACATTACAGTCTTTTCTATACTGATTTTGGCTAAAAATTTTTACGAGAATTTGAATTATTCATAAATTACTATTCAATTTAATAAAAATTATTAAAATGTTAATTTAAAAAAAAAAACTTTAGAGCCCAAAAATTAAAATTAACATTTAACATTTATTGGATATTTTGCTAAAAAAAGGGCATAAGAATGTTTGAAAGTAAATTTTAAAAAAAATGCAATTAGTGTATTAGTTTTCAATTAAGATTTGTGTGTATAATAAAATAATGAAGAAAAAATTTAAATATTAAAGGTGGAATTGGAACCAGAAACCGCAAGTGCCGCGCTGGACTTGGGCGCCGAGGGGAGCGAGGCGCGCCGAGAGTGGTGTGTCGCCCTCCAGTCCGGGCCCTGCGTCGCCCTCCTCCTGGGCACGTTGCTGGAAACCACTGAACAGGGCGTCACCCTGGGAGAACTGCTCAAGGAGTTAATCGGCCCCGCCGTGCCTCTGGAAGCCCCACCCGAGACCCTGAGTCACAAGTACAAGGACGGCGATCACATTCCAGGATTGTGGGCGCCGTGCGAACCGGAGAAGAGGGCTTCGGCCGTCGCCCTTTTGTTTCCGGAACTGCAAGAGGCCGACGGTGGAGCGGCGCCCGTCGAAGTGGCCGTCGCCCTGTTTGAGGCAGAGAGGCAGCAGGAAATCTTGGCAGGTCTGCAAGGGGTGGCCGAGAAGATTTTGGCCGTGGCGCTCAGGCAGCTCGGAGGGCATGAGGAGACGGTTTTGCTCGGCGCCGAAAACGCAGAGGGCAGACTGATGTAATTAAAATCTGTTAGAATCAATTTAAATTAGTTTAAAGATCAGATTTATTAAGATGAAAAAATATTATTATATAATTATTTTTTGGATATAAGTGGGGAAATTGGGTTAAAATTGAAAATTTTATATAACTTCCGTGCATCTAAAAATTAAAATTTCAGGTAAAATCTATTGTTAGTAAACAATGTTGCAATTGGTTTTGATCAAACTTTTTCATCTAGGATGATATTATTTTAGAGCACTGTCTTTCAAACGTGTTTCAAACCACAGAATAGAGAAACAATGTATTTTAGGCCACTTTTCATTAAAATTATATGAAAAAAATATTTAGAAAAAATAAATCTGCTGGCCTAGAGTTATAAAAATAATTAACTGAAAAATTCGATTGGAAAAAATATAAAAAAAATAATTTGAACTCTTCACAAGAAGGTTTTTGGGAAATAATATTTTATAGAAAATCGAACAAAAAAATTTTAAAAGTAATACATCTTTTTTTAAACAATGTATCGAAAATCATAATTTTGGAAACTAATTTTTTAGGGGTGACAGGTTGGTGGTCGCAATGCGCACAGACGGGGAGGACAAGGCGGAAGCTTTTGAGGCGCTGACCCCTCTTTACATAAGTTCCGACCCCGTGATGGGCGTTAGGGACTTCCAGCTGCTTTTCCCAGCCACAGACAAACAGCAGGACGAGGAGGAACCTGGTGAAACCAATGAGGACCAAACTGAGGAAAAACAGGAAGAGCCTGCGGAGGAATAGCAAAAAAAAAAAACGACCAATTTTGAGATGCATTGCTTAAAAATTTAATCTCTAGCACTTAATTTATACACCTTAGCAATATCTGTGATTTAGTTTTAGTTATACAATAAAATATGATTAAAATGTAAAAACTAGAATTTGTGTTCATTATTGGGCAGCGTTTGCAAATACTCTGGCGGGGGCATTGGGATTGGAAGCAGGTACTGATCCTGGTCCAACATTTGCACCTCTTCCAGGCCGACGGGCGGCAAAGGTAAATTGACTTCGAGCGCGCGACGGTTTTGGGGTGCCGCAGTTTGCAGGCAAAAGTTGATTTCGGGGAATTTTATCCGGTCTTTCGGCTCGCGGCGCCAGCATTTCAGCATTATTTCCGTCACTAGGGGCGGACACAGCGATGGCGGAGTTAGCAGAGATCCTTGGAGGATTAATTTGACTACCTGTAACAAATTTAATAAATTTTAAGTTTTATTAATTTTTTTTAGTATTATTATTGATTAAGTAAGGGTGATATTTTTAAATTTGACGTGATAATTTTAATTTTTGTAAACAAAATTAAAATATTTTTCAAAATAATTTCCTAATAAATTACTCATTATTTAATTTTTGAAATAAACTTTAAAGGAAAAATTTAAATTAAGATATAAACATTTTACCTCCTCATTGGTGTATCCGTAATAGGGTTGTCGGCCCAGACTGAAGATTTCCCAGAGAACTACTCCGAACGACCAGACGTCAGACTCGAGAGTGTACCTTCCGTACAAAATACTTTCAGGGCTCATCCAGCGAATGGGCAGGAGTCGGGCGCCGCCGACCTTATAGTAGTCGCACGTGTAGACGTCGCGACTCATGCCAAAGTCGGCGATTTTCACGACGAGTCCGTCGCCGACCAGGCAGTTTCTGCACGCCAGGTCGCGGTGCACAAAGTGCTGCTCGGCCAGGTAGGCCATGCCCGAGGCCACCTGCATTGAAATCGCGTGCAGGGACGCCGGACCCAGCGGTGGCAGTCCCGGCGTCGGACGACGCAGGGCGTGCGAATTGGCGCGCAGCACGTCGGCCAGGTCGCCGTGAGCCATGAACTCAAACACCATCCACGGCTCACCCAAACCATCTGTTGTAACAAAAATTATTCAAGTTATATTATAAATTATTCTTCACAAAAATTCCTATGAACTTTTATAATTTCAATTAAAATTGCTTATTTTTAAAAGAATTAAATATTAATGATATATTCATAAAATCCACCTTAATTTACCTTCAGGTTTATTAAATTTTATGTAAAAAGTTTGTTTTTAATTTAAATTAGAAAAATTGCAACTTTTATCGATTTATTTTTATTTAATTTGTTGCGTTGCATACAATCTTCTAAAAAGAGCAATTCAAAACTAACTAAATCACTGAAAAGTAGGGAAATAAATTTACCTCTGAGAACAATGCCAATGAGGTTTAGAATGTGGTCGTTGTGGAACGAACTCATGACTTCGACCTCTCGCATGAAGTCTTCCTCAGCCTCGCGACTGGCACTGCTTTTCAGCATTTTGATAGCGACCCTTGACGACCCGTCTTCGTTGAGCAGGTCACCTATAAATACCAAACACACAGTTTTGGAGATAAATGTTGTTTTAAACAGCTACATGAGAATTATCAACCATTAATCATCTTTGTGTGTGCGAGGACAAGAAAAAACAAACAAACTTTGACCCATAAATAATATCTATTTTCTTGTCCATTCGCCAGATAAACAAAACTGAGACAATCCAAGAGAGTTCGAGTTATTTTCTCGCGTTTGAATTTTGCAATGTGCATAGTTTTTTTCTACTTTCTTCTCACGCAATCGCGCATTTGCTCATAAACAGATTTCTTTCAAGTCAATCCTTTGAGCGCGAAACAAAAAGCATTTGTTGGTTTCTTGATTTGTGTGATTCGGCGCCGTTTTTATTTTATTGCGCGCAACAGAGACGTGCCTTGTATTCCGGGCAGTAAAATCAAAACGAAGCAAAATATTTACTCTTTTGCCAACACATGGCCGACGGATTTAGAAACAAAGCGCTCTGCAGCTGCCACCGGACAGGGTGTCTTTTGTCTTTTCTGCCTTTGTGTCCAGCCAGCAGATCAGAGACAAGAGAACGAGAGAAATAAAACATGGTACCTTCGAAGACTTTGCCGAAACAGCCCTCGCCGAGCTCCTTCTCCAAATTCAACTTGCTCCGCTCGATAATCAGAACGCCAGGAGGAGCACTCGGCATCTCCTGCATGGGCACTGACGTTGAATACTGGGGGTTTGCTGCGTACCTTTGGGCCATCAGCACGTTTTTGTTTAGTGGAAGTGGCTGGTGAAAAAAAAATTAAAAAGATGAGAAAATAAATTAAAAATTTTTAAAACAATTTTTTTTAATCCGTCTTTTACAATTTAAAATTTTGAATTTTTTTTTATTTCTATTTTGATAAATTATCTTAAATAAAAAAAATTATTCAAATTCAGGAATTTCCAAATAATCATACCACGTTTGACTGTTTTTTCCGCCTCTTGAAAATATCGTTTGGCCACTGCTTGCACAAGTAAATTGCAAGGCCAACGACGACCACGACGGCCAGCACAGCCGAGGCGGCCACTGCAGTCACGACTTCGGTCGAAAACGGGTCAGACGCTCTGGACACGTGCGGTCCGGTCTGATTTTGATGGGTCTTGACCGAAGAAGTTCCATTGATGCGAATTGCACCAAACGAGCTGTTTCTGTTGACGACTGTAAATAATGAAATCAATTGAAAAAAAAATCAGTTTCTGCCAAAATTCCCAATCTATTTACCATTATTTGAACTGCAAACGAGATCCTTGGAGGGTCCATTACCATCTGGACATATGCACTCTATGAACGTCTCATTGAAGCGTGAGCAGGACGCCTCACCGCACGGCTTTGGACACTCTGACCTATCAATTGCGCTGCACTGGCCTTTTTTGTTGCACTGGCCACGTCGAATATGTCCTGAAAAACGAAATAAATTGTGACATAAAAAAATTAAATGCTATATTATAATGGCAGAAAATTCTTACTTCTCAATATTAGAAAGATTAGTTATTTGGTGGGATAATTAATAATTATTAAAAATTTATTCTAGCATTAAATTTTATTCAATTCTCATAAAATTTGCCACCATTTTTCAGTATAATGAATATGAGACTTCATGGCTTAGGCGGCTTCAAAGGTAAAACGTTCCTGAATAAATCTTGAAAGTACAGCATTATTTTTTTTTTAGAAAACTTTCAAAAGTATGATAATTATAATTTATTTCAATGCTATGGAAGCTAAAGTCGACCTGATCGCAATCCTGCAAGGTGCGCGAAATGTAGAAAATTAAACCAATAAAATATAAAATTTTCTGCTCCAATTTAATGTCTGCAAAATTTACATGCTATGAATTCAAAAATCGAAGTTCAGACAGAGAAGAAGAATAAATAACTGGACTTTCCAGAGTCAAATTTTAATCTGTTATCATTTAATGTTCTCAATGATATTTTCCAATGTATTGCACCATTGGCCTTGCGGAAGTAAAAAAAAAACTATATGGATTTTTGCCTGTACGAAACCCAGTTAAAAATATGTTTAATTTATTCCCATTTGTTTGTTTAACGTGCTAACGACTAACAGCCGGGTACTTAAAGGGAAGTGCTTTCGGTTTGTTTGTTATGTTCGCTCTCTGTATGGCTCTGGTCAAATGATGGAGCTGTTGAGGACGAGCAGCTGCTGATGTATCTTGTCTTCGCGTTTTAATAATCCCAACCGCGCACGGCGATCGCGAACACGACGGACCACACGCGCGCGTGGACCCGCCGCTCCAGATCCTCGACGATTGATGCACTTTAATGCGAAAAATTTCAGGGGGGCGAAAGTAGGGTTCGGACGTAAAGCTAACTTTCAAGGGGATCTGTTCATTACAAAAATTAATTTGAATCTAAGCAAAGAAATAAGTTTTCACTCGTTGCATGTAAATTTAACACTACGCAGTTGTAAAAAATTAAGTTCACAAAAAGAATTTTGCTAATTTTGTAAAATTTCTTATTTTTCGATAATGACGGTCATTATATACTATTTAAAACAAAATTTTATCTTCATTCTTACTGGCACACATATGGAAATTTGGGAAATTTATTAATTTTAGTTTTATACATTATATCATTACTGGACAATTATGTAATATTGTTTTCTGAAAAAACTTTTTATAAAAAACTATGTATATTCCTCCTGAATCACTACGGAGCATGGGGTCTTTTTTATCTCAGGAGTTTAGCAAAACTCTTGCTAGCGGCGTGCCGTTTCGCCCAACAATTTCATTTAATTAAATAAATTATGCTAGTACTAATAATAAGAAACATTATTAGATCTTGAAAAACATTGCAAGGATTTAAATTACCAAACAAAGCTAAATCAAAGTCAAGAAAAGAGAAACGTTTTTAAATTTAATTTAATTATACTATATTAAATAAAAAAATTATAAACAAAAAATTAACATAGTTTTACCGCATTATATTTGAAAAAATTCTTGCCGATTTGGCGGCAGTTGTCTGCATGTGATAAAGGAAAAGGCTTCCAAGGCACTTTATTTGCGATTAGATAAACTTGTGGGGAAGTTGCAGATGTCAAAAGTTACGTGCCCGCGATCATCAATTTTAACACGCGTGACGTCCAGAGATTTACAAAATTTATCTTGGCTCGAGACAAATCATTTTTCTGATGGTGAAGGAGGAAATACATGAGGGTGCAATAATCTGGAATGGGGGGCTTGTGCCGGCGTTTTGTATTTCAACGGTTGCATTAAAGATATTTTGAACAGGGGATGAAGGGATGTATTTTATTTCTTCCTCTGGCGCGCGACAAATGGTGCGTGTCTCTGGTCGTGTTAACGCGCACACAGGTGGGTCCAGCCGGGCCCGAAAATCTCAAGTATCACGTGCCCCGTCTTTGGCCGCACATCAAACAACGGGAGAAGCCGCACTGCAGCGATTTTCAAAGAGAAAACGCAGCCGCTCTCGCATTTAGTCTGTTGTCTTTTCATGAAGTCATCGTTAATGGAAAAATTGAGCACTTGAAATCGTCGTGAGTTTGGTGAAAGACGCCGTGAAATGAAAGGAGAGAACGCCGCCTTTTTAATAATAGAATCCCGCGCGCGCTCGCCCGCCCGCCACTTGAGGCAATACGGGCTCATTAGAATATTAAGTTTCCCAAGTCCAACTAACAGCGGTACTTATTTCAAAGTGACACGAAAAAAACACAAAGCGCCCTTTTGTTCTGTATGTATTACGATACAAGCCCCGTTTTGTTTGATTCAGCTTTGAAAATGAAATTTAATTAATTCATTAAAATTTTCAGGTTTTTTTTCACAAAATTCTCTAGATTTCAGCCAAAAAAACATTCATTTTGTTCCAGAACAATTGAAACTGAAATAAACAGGATCTTATCGTTACTTCTATTTAATGAGTCTCCTTCTTTAGCTGGACTTTGTTCAGTAAGCTCAGAAATCATCTCTATAGCTGGAATAAGAAGAAAGAAAAACGTCTGGGCCAAGACAGATTTATTCATTATTTTACTAAAAAAAAACTTTCATTCATATTCATAATTCATACTCAAATAATATTGCCCTAGAGTAAAAAAAAAAAAAAAAAAAAATGGAGAACCCTGACAAGAACAAAGCATAAAATTGATACAATTACAAAAACCATACATAAAAATAATAATGGCCAAAATTTCTATAATACATAATAAATTTTGCAAACATTTGTATGGTATTTTATATTTAAAAATAATATCACTTAAAAAAAATGATAGCAAAGTTAATGATTATCATTAACAAGCTTTGCATTAAATTTACTTCCTGCTTAAGTAATAAAAATTAATATCCAGCCATTCTATCTTATCATAAATTTAATAATATTCAAATTCAAAGCATACATAGATTCATCCTGATATTTTTCGTAAATTTTTTTCAAGCCATACAACTATGCGCTTATTTTAAAATACTAATAGATTTTATTATAAAATCGAATAATTCATTATTAAATACGAAAGCATCGCTGAATCACAGTCGGAAATGTATCAACTACACTTGATACAATTTCGGTGCCGAAAAGGCGATGGTCATAAATCACAAGAAAGAGTCTAATGAAGTGCATGCAGAGAGTCTGGCTTTGATAAGCAGAGGGTCAGGGGTCGGCGGTTGGAGCGCAGTGCATGGCTGCAATTAAACAGTGACCTCGCCTATGGCACCGCCGTTGCGCTCGCGCACATATGCAGCTCCAAATCTGATTAGGGAAAAAATACATATCATCACATACGCGGCCGCTCTTGTTACGAAACAAACAAAGCAGGCCCTTCTATTTGAACACTCGGCCCATTGTGAATTAACAAAACTAGCCGGCCGAGCCTGGAGTCAAACCGAAGAATTGTGCGGCTTTTATATTCGATCAGAGCTCAAATCGGATAATCGCGCCTAATGACAAATTGACAATGCGACGACGGGCCTATCTGTGTATGTGAATTTGATCGTCTCTAAGTGCTGACGCACTATTTTTATTAGCATTCCCTATGCACACATATGAATTGAAAATATAAGTTGTTGAAAATGAGGACGCATGCAAGAACAGAAGTTTCAAAGAGAAGATATTGAGTTTAAATTTATGTTTTTGTTCTATATTTGCAAGAAGCTAAAAACAAATATTAAAAATTGGAATTACGAAAATATCCCATTTTAAATAATTGCCATCAATACTTATTTTAATTAAGAAGTGAGTAAAATTTTACATATTCACATTTTAAAAATTTATTTAGCTCAATTTCGTTAAAACTTTGTACATGATTTATTGTTTGGTAGTTGAATTTCAAAAGTTTTTAAGTTTCAAAATTTTAAATTTTTTCTCCAATTTTTCTGATTTATTTTTTAATTTTTCCTTGCTCATGAAACGTCACCAAAACCTGTAAAGCCAATTAGTTTTTATTTCAACTAAAAAAAATTGGAGAGGACAAATCATTTTACTCTATGAGTGCCAACTTTGTTACACAATTATTAGTGTAATTATTTCTTACAAAGCACAATTATACATTAACATTATTTTGAAACTACATTAATTACGTTACTTTGGAATATAATCTCGAGCGATACAATTTTTAATAAATTTTTTATTTATTTCAAAAAGTTTGTTCAAAGATTGATAACTTACGAGCACATACTTAACAACAATATCTGAACTCAATTGGAATTCTTTCAAGGAAAAGAGTTTAAAAATTTGTTTGCCTTATGAAACTTGTTAGTAAGTATGATAATAATATTCATACAGACGGTGCTCGTCAAAAGAAAAATCTTGCCATTGGGCGGACATCAAAAATAATCCTTCCTGAATCAAGCAGAGTCTTTCAAGTGAAGGCTCAGAGAGGTGGGACGACAGTCAAAATTTCAACGTTTTGAGACGTGTGGGCAGACGATGATTGGCAGTGGAGGAAATTAAAACGGTTCTACGTAATTAAAAAAAGTGCTGAATTTATATCTGATTCACAATGCGATAAGTATTGTACATGTAATAGTGGAGAGCATTATCAAATAAAAGAGGCACTTAAAATTTATGACTTTTGGGTCGCACGCGGGTTAAACAAGTCAATTTGAGCGAAAGATAATGCATCATTAGTAATTATGCAAAGAGTTTTATTACAGATTAATTTTTATTGACCGTCTGCCATAGATAAATAAGTAGAACTAAAAAAAATGAACGTTAGATCAATTCTAGGAGGAATTGCAAAAATTTGGATCTCATTGTTTTCCGTAAATCTTCCAAAGCTTTGAAAATTGAATTTTATCAGATTTTCAAATTAATGTTAACTAAGATGTTAGCAAAAAAATTCAGAATTCGTAAAAGACTTAAAACTCACTGCCTTGGTTCTCCATGGTGATGCTAATTTTGTTCCGTGTCATCGGCGTGGCCAGTCGCTGCGAACCCGGCCGCAGCTCATCACTCTCCTGTTGGCCCTATTTTCTTTGACTGACACGCATCTTTCTCTCTCTTGTGCTCTCCGGGCCCGTCTCTTCCCTCCTCCAGATCCCTTCGCTGGCCCCGCCTAGGGTCGCCGCAGCACACCCTTCCATCAACAATCAACAACCCTTGTTTAATAGCGCGGTTTTTTCTTCCTCCTCCTTTTTTTGTGCTCCGCTTAGACCGACAATAATTAAAATTCGGAGAGGTTTACACAAACAAACATCTTTATTTTAACGGCTCATTAGAAATGCTCCGCTCTCTTGGAATGAGAGCCACTCTTCTCACATTTCACCTCAACCCTCACCCGCTTTTGGCGCGTCTTTTTTCTCTACAAAATATGAAAAAAATTCGTTCTTTCGGCCCAAGAAAAAAATCGAAGGGTCTCTTGGCCAAAGAAAGGACAGCGTTGTTGGCGCCCAGTTTCCTGCCTTTACACTGTGACTAATATGGAGTTTCTGACCAGAACTGGTTTTGTTTGCAGGCAAATAATAAAGTCGACTGTTGTTGTTTTGTGAATTTTAATGGGCAATTCAATTGTGTTAGTAAAAAAAATACAAGCAGTGCTCACTTGACACAAGGTGAGATTTGATCTGGAGAGAGACTTCTCGTCTTCATACATTCATTTAATACTATTGGTCCCGAACCGTTTTACAAATATATTTGATCAACATACAATTTCTTAAGCTAACAATTAGTTTAAATCAGTGCTTATATAAGACTTGCAAGTTTCCAGTGCAATTAGCTGATTACTTCTATAAATAATCTTTGGCAAGTACTCGGACAAATGCATTAATTTTGTGAGGAAGTTATCTCAGTCCTTAGATTCATCGCCAAGGCACAACAAATTGTTTTGCAGGGCGCAAGTTGCCTCCGTCAAAACCGGAGCTCTCTAAAACAAAAGTTATTGTAGGAATTAAAAATAAAAATCTTTCACAGTGATACTGTCAACCATTTCAAAAAATTCAACTGACAAGAATGGAAAAAAAATCTAGCCAGTCATTTCAAACTTAGTTTGAATTAGTTTTCTTCGGTTAAATTTTTATTGGTCATGATTATTAGAACAGAGATTTCCATTGAACTACTAAGATCTAAGATAAATTTTTTATTTAGTTGATATGTAAATGAATTGAGAATTTTTATTATAGTTTTCTTTTTCAATTTTACTTATCTACAAGGAACTTGAGAGAATGAACAAATATGGACTGAAATAAAAAAAAAATTATTTTCGAAATTTCACGTTACTTAAATTTTTATTACCATCACATTCCATGATAGTGGAAAGAGTTCTGTCTACGTGTGATTTTTTTTAAAATTGTGTAGTAATGTAAGAAATTCACCAGATTATAATTAAAAAATCTCTTACCTGTCAAAATTGATCTAGTGCTGTCGGCAGACCTCACAGCACGTCTTCGGCGAATTTCCTTAAGCACCAGTAAATCTCTTCCAGTTTTTGGCCTGCTCAAAGCAAACAAACAAAAAAAACTCATTTTTTTGTATGTCTTCAAAGTTACAAAATAAAACATTACGTCAAGTTCTCTTGCTGACTTCGTTTTCGCATTTCCTGTCTGCGTTCAGTGGCCGAAGAGACCTTTCTGCCTGACGAGGAGGACCTGCTGCTCAAAGAACCCCTCCTCATCCTCTCCCGGTCCGAAGCAATGACCTTCAGCATATCAGTCACGCCGTTGTCAAAGAAGAGCGAGTGCAGTTCACAGAGGGACTGGTCCAGTTGCTGAATCAGGCGGCCGTGGAGAGTGATGTCTGCGGCGCTCAAAGGTTGCGGCTGCTCGTGCATGTTGATGGCCAGACACAGGGTCTCTTTGATTTGCGCCTTGATGGTCTGGACGCGCTCAGTTTTGTGGAGGCGTCGCACAAAGTAGCCGCGCACCAGAGCTGCTAAGGGCAGCTGTGACATCCGATTTGTCAAATCGTTCAAATTCTGAAAAAATTGCATTTTATTTTAGCGATTTGAAATTTACAAAAATAAGGATATAAAAACGATTATTAAAATCCAAATTAATAAATTTTCAAATTTAAATGAGAAAATAAATATGCCAAATATGACTTACTTTTGAATATACCAAAAATGGGCTCTTTTCAGATTTAATCGGAGGCGACGGTGGTCTTTCCGGTGAGGAGCTGATGTTCAGTTTTTGGAAAACTTCGTCCTGCTGTTTCAAAAACTCCTCCCTCAGCCGCATCTTCTCTTCTTCCTGCTGTTGACGCAGCCTCTCTAGTTTCAATTCATACTCCTCCTTCATGCTCTGGATCAGATTGTGCATGTAGTCCCCTTCAACAACGGTATTTTCTGAATCCTCAGACTCCACCTCCTTCTGGACCACCCTTTTCTTCATAGGTGTCTTCTTCTGCTTCTTTGGACTAAAAATAGTGGCAACTTTGGCCGATTTCTTTCGGACGCACGTGAACTTTGGAAGAGATTTGGGCCTTGATTCTGTCAGGGTAGGAGTTTCGGACACCTCTGACTCGGCGACCGAGTTCAACAGAGCTTGACTAGGAGTTTCGACTGTGTAGGATTCGCTTCGGACGAGTCGACTTCCGGGACAGGGTGTGAAGGTTGCTTCGCTGCTGGTGTCCAGCTCGAGGTTCATTTCCGTGCTCTCTGTAAACGTTGGCGACGCGGGAGGTTCTTGCTGCTGTTGAAAAGATGACTTCTCTGCAACACTTCTGTCGTCGATGTTCACTTCGATTTTTCTATCTCGTATTTTCAGCTCAATTTGCAGAGCCAGGTCTCGGTAATTCTTCATCTCCTTCCGCTGCTCATCAGTAAGCTGGAATTACAAAACAAAAATTATTTTTTCGTTTTTTTCGTTTAGATCTTCATAGTTTCGAAATTCCAAAATTATAATAATTACCAACGGAGGAAGAATAGGTTTTCCGTTGATCTTTATGCAGGACACGTATATTTCGTCCATTGGAGCTCCTATGACATTCAAATTTTTGCCGGCTGGAATAAATCACAACAAACAAATCATGTATGTGAATAATACTGTACCAAAATTTGTACCCAGGATATCTAATTTTCCCTGGAATAAAATAAGGCTTCAAACAAATGGAATGTATGTATAAAAATGATTCCTATAAAAAAAATGTAAACAAAACAAAAAAGCGTTTGAAAACAGAGAGAATGCATTATGCTGATTTTACTAATATATTTTTTCATAGTTTATTCATTTTTATCGGTTAAAACGATTATATTGTACTTAAATATAAATTAAAAAGACAAAAAGATGGAAAATAAAGTTTTTAGGAAATATTTTATTATCTAGTTTGAAAAATGACTTTAACTCCTTGATAAAACTCCTTTTGAACAGTCGCCTGAAACTTTCACTAAAATTAGACAGAGTCGCACCTATCTTACATTATTAATTTAAAAATTAACCATTCAAATCAATTTGAAGTCAAACGTTTTGCATACAAAAATTTATTCGGTAGCAGAAATTAAAGAACAAATATTTTTTATTTAATTTATTATGATTGTATTTTTTGTTTGGTTGGCAAAAGAGTATTGGCCAAATGAGCTCTGGCAAGCACATAAAGCGACAAATTGCAGAGCGCGTGGAAACCAAACTATGCATTAGTTATGTACTCATTTGATTTATTTTTGGTGTCTTGAATTAAATTAAATATTCAGTCAAAAACAACTATATACAAGTACGTGTTTACTACAGCCGATCTTTTGAGTTTGACTTGGCACTTGGCTTTGGAACTATAAAAGTTAAAATAAATGTCTTTTTCAGTGAAAAAAATTGTTTTTAAAGTGAGTATTAAAAAAGTAGAAAATATTTTAAATGGCTATTTTTATAAACAGATAATGTGTATCATTATTAAATAAAGATTTATATAAAGAGTTCATTAATTGCTTTCCTGAGTCATTGTGGCAGACTCTTCAAGTAACACACTAGGAGGTGAGAAGACAAGATTTGAGGTGGCATCTCGTAACTTCAAAATATTTGCAGCCTCGTCAAACAACTGAAATAAATGAACGTGAAAAATTTATTGAAACTTCTAATTAAATAAAATGGAAGCCCTACCTCTTCAAAATGACAGTCATAAAATAATTCTTGCAAGCTCTTTCGAGCTGTCAGACGGTAAGAGGAGTTTTCTAATAAATTGCAAACATCGGAGTACAAGCATAAGTCTTGAAATACTTGAGGGCACTTTTGCTTTAGCCTGTAACAAGATAAAAGAAAATCATGTATATTTTGTGTAAATTATAGAATTTACTTACTGTAATAGAGCTTGCTTTGAAGATTTAAACCAAATTGGATTGCTTAGTCGCTCAGCATGCTTTAGGATTTCTTTTTTTACTGTACACTTGGATAAAATGGCATTTTCTTCGCATTTAATTTGACTCATATCTGAAATTTATTCATAATTTTAATTCAGCCTATATATCATTAAATAGATTTTACCAAGTTCGAAATTGCTTATGCTGAAATTGCTATTTAACGTTGCGGTTTCCAGAGTTGCAGAATTTAGGGTAAAGCTCTCGATCCGGAAATCTTCACTACTTTCAGTGTCTAAGGGGAAATTAGAATAATAAAATAAGATATTCCTCTGTTGGCAAAAATTACCTGTTCTTGTGTGTCTGGAACTGGTTGAAATTTTACCACTTCTGATGGGTGTACGTGGATTTTGAGTGCGGTAGGAACAGGAGATGCACTTAATAGAGTCGTGCAAAATTGTTCCGTCAAAAGAACGCTCACTGTCAGAGTCTGGACTCTCACGACCATTTGCATTGCCTAGGTAGAATATAAAAATAATTGAAAAAAAAAATGATAATAATTTAAAAAAACTTGCCTGCTTCAGGAACTTCTTCCAACTCACAAAAAGACTCTCGGTCCCGACGTTTGCGTTGCAACCGAGTGATGTAAATTGGCTGCTCTTTTTGAAACATTACGCAAATATCAGCGGGTAGGGCAATCCCTTTAAAACACGGCTCAGATGACAGCTGCAAGTTTATCAGCTTTGGGTAACGGCAGATTGAGTTCAAGGATGAAGGCGCTCGGCGAAGTGGCGTCTCCACTTCAGACGACCTAATTATAAATATTAATTCCATTTCTATATACTGAATCTGATTTTTGCATACCCAAAGGGCTTTAAAAATTTGCTCGAGATATTTGAAGTGTCACTATTAATCTCGGAAATGTCACCAAGTCTGTTTGGAAGAAGTCGGAGGGCTGCAAAACCCTTGATGTCTTGCCAACTTGTTGACAGAACCTCCTTGTTGGGCTCGTTGATCGAGCCAATTGGTGACGCTGTAATAAAAATATAAGATTTTTGAGATAGACTTTCAATTACAACAACTTACAGCTTAAATATTCATCAGTATTTTCGTGAGTTGAATCGTCGATTACAAAGCTAGGAGCGGTACATTCAGAATTTACAGATATGCTTCTAACTCTTGGACTCCTTTCCGGCTTCTTATTTGGTTCCTTGATTTTTGGCAACTCTCCCATAACACTGGAGTCTCCCTTGGTGTCGCTGAGACTCCTCTTGTGGTGCTTTTGGTACTTTGGAGGCTTAGAATGCGGAAGTGTTTGCGACCTTTGAGAGCCGATGGACAAGAGTGGAGGAACAACCGTGCTGACACCATTGATCTTGGCTGGAGAGGCATTGGCGGAGGAAGAGATTATTTGATTTACTGCACAATCAACCTCGTCTTCAAAAGTGATCACAGGGCCAGCGCTTGCAGAAGAAGAGCAGTGACTAGTGGAGCGTTTGCGGCGGTCTACTGGAAATTCAAACCAAATTCCGGCATCGTCTGTAACAAATTTGAAGTCTGGCTCTTCCGGTGACAGATCTGGCACTTGGATGACAGGGTATTTGTCATTTCGAGCCTGCCGCACAGCAATCCATCCTTCATAAATATTTTTTATTACTACTTCTTGCAAGTTTATAAATTAAACAAAAATCACCTGCACTTTCCAGCTGAGAACATCCTAGTTCTGTTGTTGCCAAAAGTGAGCAAGCGTAAAAAGCAGAAGCTCGAACTCCATAATGGGGATGATCAGTTGCCAACAGTACTAAGCAATCTGCCAGAGTGACTGGTTCGTTCAAAGACTCAAGCAAATTGATTCCCCCAACAGAAGAACTAATGTGGCTGAGCGCCCAAATTGCAGTCTTTATCTTGGAAATGTCTTCTGTGGCATTTTGCCTCACATCTATAACCTGCAAAAATTTAAAAAGTTAATAAATTTGTTTATTTAAACAAGAATATTAAATTACCTCAAAATACTTTTTGAGCAAAGCTGTATCTTGGGAAATAAGTTCCAGGCCTTCTTTGTGTTGGACAAGTTGTCCATATAAGTGAGACGGCAAATAAAAATCTTTAACTGAATTTTTCACATTGCTCAGTCGTCCAACGTAAGAACCCTCTTCATTCTTTTGGTGCATGGTGAGCGCCTCATGAAGTCCTGCTTCAACGATTCGCACATACCTATCATTTGTTTTATAAGCTAAGTTTTAAAGTTCAATGAAATATTTAATATTTTACTTTTCATTGAAAGAATGTTTCCAAAGCTGAAGCTCGTTTTGGACAAAATTAGCATCATTTAAATATGAGAATCCAGACTGAGTAGACAAAAATCTCATCAACAGCAGTCGTCCTCGGTCACCCAATTGCAACAGGGTTGGTCTAAGTTGAACTAAGGCTTCCAAGTAAGGCTGCGAAAAATTTTAACTAGTTAAAAAAAATTCACTGGCAGAAATGAATAATCCTTTCAGGACTTTATACACCTTAGTTGCAGACCTTGCAATTTCCAAGTTTTAAATCTAGGCTTTTGAAATACACACCTTGTAATCACAAGCCTCATCCAAAATTTCAGAGGCAGCCAAAGACACTTGGATATTGATGTCGTAGAGTTGCATCACTAACAACTCCATCCCCCATTCTTCAAAATCTTTTACATGGGCCCGAACAAGAACCAACAAGAATTTTGTTGCATAAATTCTCGACGATTCAACGGGTGATTTCAAAAGTTTGCCTAGGATGATTCTGTAAGTTTAAAATTAACATACAATTTGTTATTATAAAATAAACAATTTACCTAGGCATTCCATCATTGGTGAAATCAAGACTTGACACAACTAGTTTCACATAACAGTCGTGTTTTGTTTCAACGATCAAGCTAAGAAGGCTGAAAAAAAATTTAATTTTGAGTAAATATGAAAAGACATGAGGCACCGACCTTTGGAAAATGCTTGCTGCCTCAAGGACTTTCACCCCCTTACTGAAGTGGCACAGCCTGCCGATAACAAGAAAATACACTTGGCACATAGAATGAGTAACATTGTGAGGACTAAAGAGGCAGTCGTGAGCACTGTCGGCTTTAATAATGGCTTGAATGTGCTCGCCAATGTCAATAATCAACTCGGTTAGTAGTCGACTGGCTTCTCCCTGTAAAAAAAAATTGGTAACAATCTGAATCAATTTAGCTGCTCAATGTTGAAACCTCATCTGCTTCCACTAGATATTCAACTACTTCACAAGCAACAAGAGTATACAAATGAGAGTGAGAATGGCCCAGCTTGATCTGGCTGAATCTATTATTGCTTGGACGGAAAAACTCCACCAACCGCCGCACAAAAAGTTTGTAGTTTGAGTCTTCAAGTTTTATTAGTGAATCATTACGGCTCTGAAAACATATTTTAATTTTTTTCATAATTAAATTTATAGGGAAAGGTGAGAATAACCTTTAAAATAGTGAGCACAACATTCCAGTTCCAAAAGAAGGGGTCCTTGTTTGCCAGAACTGCAGATTTCTTGATAGAGTCTTCAATGTCTTTGGACACCAACTGCAAACACAAATTTAGCAAATAAAAGATAATATGTAAAAACATGTTCTGAATAATTGAAATTTTAGCACAATTTGTTCAAAAAGTTTGGTTTTAAACGAATGCCATATAGTGTGAAAAGTATTATCAATAAAACTTTTTTAAAAACGAGATACATTGCTTCATTAAATAAAATTTTTTAATTTGAAATTAACCTGAAGAACTGTTGACTTAGGAACACTCTGGCCAGCAACCAACTCCACTTTGAGACTTCCTGAGAAATACAACAATTGTTGCAAGAATAAGCTAGATGGAGTGGGTCGTGTCTTCATCATTGCGTTAAATCTTGAGATGACGTTGAGAGCGGAAAGAGAGCGCTGCTGCGAGGACGCGCAGCTTGAGCCGCTAGCGTAGGATATAAGGGTGGGCAAACTGGGCAGGGCGCACCCAGTTGGCAACAAATTGCGACTCATTTGCAAAATTTGGCCTGAAAGTTTTTTAAGTTGTTTAAAATGAAAATCGAGGAAGCAGAATCTTATACCTAACAAAATAGCAGCCCTTAGGGAGATGAAGGAGTCGCTGGTTACGATGACTTCGATAAGTGCCTCCAAAAGGTTTGCCTCAATAAACGTCTGCAACAGCAAGGCTTTGTGGATTTCGACCATGTTAGGTCGGAATACTGAGAGGTGCGGCAAAAGAGATTTGCCTTCGAGAGCCACAAAGCCATCCGACAACTTCCAGGCGTCCTGCATCTTGGCCGGGTCAACGTCCGCCAAGGCTACACTCGCCTCGTCCGTCCAGGAAATCTCAGGCACACCCAGCAGGTCGTTGAACAGGTCAAGGACGTTTTTCCTTGCCTCTAAATGCTGGTACCTGAGAACATCGACCAACGACTTGATGCCGCTGGCCACCTCGGTTGGGTCACAGAAATGCAGGATGCCAGGGAAGGAACGCAGCACAGAGAGCAGGGCGGTGTGGGTGCTGCCAATTCGGCAGTCACGATCTTCCTTGTTCTTCTCTTGTGACGCCCAGCCGTGGTGTTGGTAGTGAATGTCACAATACGGAGCCGAGAGGACGGTAAGATCGATTTTGGCACTTTTTCGGGTTTTTTGATGGACCAGCAGAAAGAGGAGAGAACCGACCAAGACTTCAGTCACCCTAGGCGAGTGAGACTCGATCAAGTTTCTACTAATTGCAGCAACGCCACCGTTTGTGATGAATGCATCAGGACACATAACAGCTGTAAACAAATTGCAATTAATATTTTGACTACTACAATTAAATTTCATTTAAGATTTACAAAAAAATATAAGGAAGTTATCAATTCACATTTATGCTTAATCCAAGATCAATTTACCAAGTTCAGCAAGGGTTGCAAGACATACTCGCAGAATTTTGTCCTTCTCCTCTGCACCTCCATTTGCTAAGGACACCAAAGATCTGGCCAATTCGTTCGGAAACAAATTGGGCCCACAAAGAATTATCCTTCGGCAAAATCTAAGCGCCTGCACTCGCTCCACATCACTGTCAGAATCTAAAATTCTTTAAGAGAATTATAATTAGATTAAAAAAAAAAGAAACAATTCTGAATTTTCATTTCAGTCCTCACAGAAGGACTATTGAATAAAAATTTTTGGCCCATAATTTACCTAGCTACCAAGTAAGGTATTCGCAGTCTTATAATTGCTGCCACATCCTGATCATCTTTAATTAAACGTCTTATTGTTCGAATGCCAGTCGCCCGGATTCTGGCTGCATCATGGACCAAAGCAACCCTCAAACTAAAATCATTGTTAAAAATAACAAGACATTTCAGATAAAAACACAATTTTTGCAAAAATTATACCAGCAAAGAATTTCGTCAAAGTTGTATGATAGATTAGCCAGAACTTCTTTTGTGAAGAAATTGGTGCAGGCGTTGAGATAACCAAACTTTTTGGCCTCGGAGATTCCTAGCCGGCGAGAAATGTTGACCAAGATTTCAGTTGTCATCTCATTTGGATCTGAAATGAACAAAGAGTCAGTAAATTGAAGGTAAATAACATATTATTTTAATTGTGTACCTCTTGTTACGTCCAGCCGGATGTACTCATCTTCGCTGTCTCGTCGGTCTGAGCATAGAATCGCGATTAATTTATTAGATTTTATCAATGAAATGAACCCACTGGTGCGGACAGAAGATGAGTGGTTGGAGCGCATACTGCGGCCTCTGTACATCCAGGATGACATTTCCGGGCTTGTAATTAACTCACGAGGACAAATGTAATAATGCTCTTGCAGCAAAATTCAATAATGTCGAAGCTATGTGTAAAAAATACACATAATTTTATTGCTGAATATTTTACAGCTGCAGAGCAAAACGTGCAAAGCTTCTTTGGCTATGTATTTTATACATAAATGGTCACGTCCGTTAGCGAAATCATTCCTTGTCGGTGCACGGCGGGATCCCCATGGCAGAAGCGTGAGACACCGACGGACGGTCTGAGTTGGCAAAATCGAAGGCCCTTTTTGTCAAATAATTGCAAACATCGACAGCCCACAGAGATCTCGTGAAAATTGAAAACACACTCGTACTACGAGGGAGGGAGAGGGGCGTTGACATTGCGGCTTGCGCCGGCTCGATTTGTTTTCCTCTCCTTCTTTTCGAGTAAAGCAGGTTGCCTATAGTGCAAGTTGGTTGCATGAATGGATTAAAGCTGGAACGCAATTCACACCGCCGCCCGGAGTCACTCTTTTAAGGCCATCATGAAAAAAAATTATATTCATCTTGAGTAGGTGTATTTAAGAACTTTTTGGACATAATATTGACTTATGCCGATTGAGAGGGAAGAGCAAAAAAAAAAAAAAAAATTATCAAAATTATATAATAATATGTATATGATTATTTTTGGATATGAGAAAAAAATAATACGCTAGTTTTATTCCATTTTGGTATGTGACTTTTGTATTTTGGTTATCTGGATAATATATATAATATAATTAGTTGTTACATTATACGATTCAATATGTACACAGTAGCGTCCCACAATAGTGTTATTTTTTTCTTCAGATACAAAATTCCAACAAAATCATAGAGGCTAACAAGTATTCACTTTTAATTTAGTTTCTTTGACAGGTTCATAGCGGCGGCCGAATTTTTTTTTTGTGTTGGAAATTTTTGGCGGAGAGATTTTTATTTGATAATGAGAAAAAAAAGTAGAGGTCGCAGCCAGCCAGGCTTTTTTAGGCCACTTAAAAATCAAACCAGCCGCCGCGGCATCAGGCTGGATATTTTGTAAATCAATTTTATATGCTGATAAATTGGCCAAAATTGGAGTACTATAGTGTATAACGTGCTTTGGGTAACAATCAGTAATAACACTGCTGATTTGGGGTCATTGTAACCCTCACACCCCAGGTCATCATTCACTTATAAAACAAGTGATTTTTTTTCATTCAAATGAAGTTTTACGGCCAGAGCGCACTTCCAGTGGAGTGCAAATGATAGCAAAAGATTTCAAGCCGCATATGATGTGCAAAAATAAGTATCACACAGGAAGATTCAGGAAAACTTGTAAAACATAATATGAGAGAATGACTGAGAAGAATAAACAATAGTTGTAAAAAAGAAAGGTGTAAAAAGAATACTATTTTTAAATTTAAGTACAAAATTAAAAATTTCTAAAAATAAAAATGTTTGACGAATCTTTTCATTTTATTCTTTGGTTTACTCGTTTCAATTCTGGGAAGAAATTTAGTGTTGCAAGTGTAGCCCAATAGCGCAGTTTATACTTCAAGATTATTAGTGATTGCAATATTTGCAGTATTTTAATTTTATTCAAGAGGCAGCCGAAATGCATAGATATTATTGGGACAGAGAAGATTAGGCTTCAGGGAGGAAATACTTATATTTGACAATCAGAATCAGCCACACTGGCCGCCGCCGCGAAGCTGCGGTAAGACCTCTGATAAGTAAAATAACCAATGTAACTTAATGGTATTCGTCAGTATTCGTAAATTATTACAACCACGTTGATAGAAAATGCGACACTTGGAAGAGGAAAAAGGCAGAAAATTTTTAGGTATATCAGAAGTCTCAAAAATTATTATTCTTGATCTCGGTTGAGATTTCAGGAAGGCAAGAGAAGAAACCAGAGGAGTTTGCCTCCAGTGGTGGTAAAAATAAATGCAATAATTGGGAAAAAACAATATAAATTTGGTGATCAGACAATGCAATTAGTACGAGTGCCACAATTACTTAAACAAAAATGGCACATGCAAATCAATTATCCCGGAGATAAAAATAAATTTTCAGCAAATAATTATGCTTGCCTCAGTTCGGTACAAAATTTCCTTTCCTTTTCAATATACTTTTTGATAATTTTTTAAAACATATTTTAAGTTTTGTTTTGGTATTTCTATGTATATAGGCTCTTTTATGCACTACCTATTGTTCAGCTGAAATTTCACAGACTTCAAGCAACATCATCTAAATGTATTGCTCCAAAGCAGGTCCAACGCATTTGGCAATCTTGACTAAAATTGGACCAGTCGTTTTCAACATTGAATGTGACGAAAATTGAATTATTTTCTTTTGTGACACTAAGTTCCACAATGTTTAAGTTTGTTTGAGGAATTTTGAAGTAGGAAATAACCATTACTGATTCATTTTGCTTTTTAAAGAGGGATCAAAGAGGTTCGGAGCCCTCAAAATAATCAAAGACTAGCAGTGCAAAACAAGTATTGGAATGACACTTGCAAGAAGCTCCCTCACAGGCAGAGACTAATAAGCTAAAAGGTGTACCAAGGGTCAATCCAAACAGTGTTTTTCTTAATGTGGAACTCACTATAGAGCTCTTGTAAATGATTATTTGGAATAGATTTTGCTTGTTAGTTGGTTAATATTGTAGCATATTTTGAATTCAAGAATGATGCAAATTTTCAACAATTTAAAATACTTCACTCATAAAACTTGTGTCTAAGGTCTGGATCAGCGTGCGCATAAAAGCCATTTCTTTTCGCGCATTTTCAATAATTATTCTGGGATCGTTCGACCGGCATCGAAGGCAATTAGGGGCCATTACCATAGCAAGATTGCTCGCATCCATTTTCGTCACTTGGACCACCTCTGGCCTGGCAAAAATCTGAAATGTAAGGCTTATGTTTTGAACGATATCCCAAATCTGTTGTAGAATTTAATTAACCTGCAGGAATCTGACCAGGTAGCACAGCACAAGTCTGTTGAGCTCGGGCAGCATCTGGACGATAGCAAGGCACGACTGAGGATCGTCGTGGCATTTGACACATTCCTCGTACATCGTATCAGGTATGAGGGGCTCGTAGAGCTCTCGGTACCACAGTTTAAGTAGCGACGCCGGAAGGTGGGGGTCGTTTGAGTCATTTAACTGCCACTGATCTATCTGCGACTTCATTGCTGCCACTTCGTCAATATCAGCAGACACTCTGAAATAATTCCAAAAAAAATTTAATCATTATTACGTTATAATTAATTTTTCACGAAACATTTTGTAATGAATTGAGAATAAATAAGCATCTTACCTAAATATTCCCTCGGTCTGTGCTCCTTGAAGCCTGAGAACTTCTTCTGAGAGTGTAGTTTGCACCCAAGGTAATTTTCTCTGAGGATATCGATCTTTTTGCACTTCCATAACTTCATCCAAATTGTTGCCAAACATGCTGGTACGAAAGATTTGCAGCTGAAAGTATTGAAAAAAATGTAGGCTTCAATCAACGATGAACTATTCAATTACTTTAGCCTGCTCAATTTCTTCAATTGTAGGCTTCTTTGGCTGCTTCCTGCCAGTTGCTCCTATCCGTTCTAATCTCTGGCAGCAAATCTTAGCAAAATGACTAATTTGAACCTAAGGAAAACAAAAAAAAAGTGTAAATATTTTTAAATAAATAATGTTCTGTTAAAAATTAAGAGTATCAAAGCTACATGCTCAGAACCCATGTAAATATTTAAATGCGAGAACTGCACTGGTCTGGTTATTTTAACAGACACTTACATGGATGGGCCACTTTCCTACTTCAGGGAAGTTCAAGCTTGGGTCCCTATGCCTGTTCATGTACCCATCTAAGTATTTCTGGAACTTTTCAGATGGCGGAAAGAAAGCCAAGCAAATTGATAAAAGTTCCCATCCTCGCCGAAGGCTTTCCCTATGAAGGTAAAAAATATAATTTTAGCCAAATAAATTAAGACAAAACTGACTTTCTAGGATTCTCGGTTGTTTGCCGGCAAATTTGAATATAAAGCTCGTCACGAAGTCCTGGCTTGCTGTAACCAAGATTGCAAATTTCCAGTGCAACAGAGAATAAAGTGCTGCCTGGTTTAGTTTTGCGATCACCCATGTAAACCTGCACCAGTTTGAAAAGTTCACAGGCTTCTTTTTTAAGGGCCTTGTCATTCAGAACCAACATTGGCTTTTGGATACCATCCTAAAAAGAAAAGTTATTAGTTATTACTCATTTCTTGAACCAAAAACTAATTTTACTTGTGTCCACGAGAGCATGTCACGGATTGCTAGTTTCTTCCTGAAGATTCCCTTCTTATGGAAATTAAGATTATCCTCAGCGTATTTCTCAATGTCACTGTCCGAAGGTGGTCTTTTTTCTTTTGTAGCTGGATTCATGGTGAATTTGGATACTCTTGGCAGCTGGAGGGAGAAGAGGTTAGTGAATTTTAGGTCACAAAAGGTCCAACTTGAGATTAATATACTTTTTACAATAAAGAGAAACTGTTTTAAGTGGCAAAGATGGAGGAGCATGGAACTCACCTGCTCCGCTGGCATTGCGATGGGCTGGAAGACACATGGGCCAACAAGATAAGAGTTTGGGGGTGAAATAGCTATTGGCAGGGTTTGCATGCGACACCCTCCATTGGAAGAGAGACACATCATCTGATGTTGGTTCTGGTGGTGTTGGTGATAATGGTGCTGCGGGTGGTTACTGCTTTGAGGAGCACACAGCAACTGCAGCCAAATATTACAAATTGCGCTTTAGTTTTCTGCCAACTTGCATGCTACACATCCAGATCTTTATTTCATTTTTCATTTAGAGAAAAAGATCCGTGCAAAAGTTGGCAATTTCTCCATGGATGCAGTTAAAATTATCTACAAAAAATCACAACCAAACTAGTCTCGTGAAATTACGCCAATTTTCTATTTGACATCTTAATGATAAGACACATTGTGTGAGACAAAGTTTGAGCACAAGAATTTTAAGCTAATAGAGTGGAAGGATAGAAGGATGATTGTTGAAGAAGAATTTGACGCGAAAAAAATCAATACCTCGTTTTTCTCCATGACTGGAGAGTACAAAACGGGAGGCATTGGCGCAGGTTCCTTTTTACGTTTCAAGGACGCATGCTGAGTCTCAAGAGGGTACAGGCCAGATTGCAGCGCCAAACTCATCCCTCTCACCCCTCCAGTGGTCAACACACTGGCAGAAGAGGCGGTGGCTGCCATTGCGTTATAGTAAGTGGCTTCGTCATCTTTTTTACTTTCAGGGATGTCGTAATTGCCCCTTGACGACTCTGTGTTATTTGAGTTAGTGGAAACGCTTAAGCAGATTAGTCAATTAAAGTATACCCATGAGTGTGTGGCTGCGGCTTGGCTTGGGTCTACCACTGCTAGAGTAGCTGAAAGGAGAAGCCAAATGATGTGGCGGTGGCTGCGGCTTGGAAGAGGAACTTTGATGATGGCTGCAGGTCCGCCTGGGAATTGGCAGATCATTGTCGTCGCTGTCGGGGTCCAGGTAATGCGCGTCATCTAGATACTCCTGAGAACTTGAGTCAGGGTTTGACATGCCTTCATCGTCAGCAAACTCATCACTGTCGTCATCATGACGACCGGCTGATTCCTCCGAGTGGAGAGAATCTTGTTCATCATTCAGGGGATCACCAAATTTGTAACAACCTGCATATAAATAATATTTCATTTTTTCAGTTTGCACATTATCGATTCAAAAATTTAATGTCCAACTTTGACTTTGGTATTCAAACAAATTGCTAACCTGAAAGTTTTGCTTGCTCTAGAATGTATTGCTGCAGAGGAAGTAGGTGGGCTTGCATGGCTGGATCCATTGAATAGGAATAATCAAGATTAGTGTAGAGATGCTTGGAAGTGGAATCGCCAACCACCGAGCGACTGGCTGTACTTGAGGAGGCTGAGCCATTATGGTGGTGAGCGCAATCAGAGCTGCTTCGGATGCTGCCAGAAGTTGCTTCGCTGTCTGATCTATGCGAGAAACTTGGCTCTCGCGTTATGTCGGTTCCACGCCTACAAATTGATATTTTTAAGTATCTCATTATATTAACTTTTATAGTGAAATTTATTATTTTGAATATGTTAAAATCAGGCAAATATAATTTCCATGAAAATTTATGACAGTTCTTACCTGCTTGAACTGCTGCCAGTAGTGTGCAAGCCGGAGTCAGCTGGAGAGAGCAGAGGACTATTAGAAGATATTGACTTATTCAACCCCAGTTTGGTCTCAGCAGCAGTTGCCTCTTGCGCTGTCCCCATCACTGTGTTTTCTGCTCTGGTCAAAGGACTAGAATCGGCCGAGCAAGCACCATCGTGGAGGTACTTTTCCGAGTTAGACGACTTCCTGTGTCCGACCAGAGCCACAGCGGTCTCGGTGCGCAGGTAGTCCTGGCCAGTGGGCAAGTACTTGCGTCTAGCTTGAGGTGTGGACTCGACGCTTCTCAGGCCTGACGGAGAAACCATGAAGTACTTTTCGTGCATGGCGTCATCATCGTTGTACTTGCAGCTGCGACTGTGGTGTTGCTGCTGCTGGTACTTAGTGCTTGACGACTCAGGCCTGGACTGCATGAAACTGTAGCTGCGACATAGGGAGCTTGAGGACAAGTAGTTTGTAGCTGCGTCTTGCTGGGAAGCCCCTCTGTCCGTGGAAGGCGAAGATTTTTCCTTGGCGATGTCAAAACTACGCTGCTTTGGAATCACAAAAGAACTCGGCTGCTCAGAGAGACCGTACCTGTCTAAACTTTGAGCAGCCGTGGAGCTGATGGCAGCAGCGCTGGGGCTCTTTTTCTTGAAAATAGGTGTACTTGTGGAAACCGTGATCCCAATATCGGTGCTGGGGGAGTGTTTGGCATCCCTGAATTCTCTCTGGTGGCGGCTTTGGTTGCTGGTGCGACCACTGCTGCTACCGGATTGAATCTAAAAAACGTGGAAATGAATTTACTAATTTTCTAAAAAGTTTGTATAAAAATGAGAGATCCGCCTTTTTCCACGCAATACTTTGTTTGTATGTATGACAAAAGTTACCTTTGGTGTGGATCCAGGTGGGGTTTTCTGAGATTCAAACGACGCAAAGCCATCGCCGACTGACGCATGCTGGTGGGGAACGTTCGAAGAACTGGCCGACCTGAAGGACTCGGATTTGTTGCCATTTTTGTTGCGCCGACTTCTCCTCTCCGACTCTTCAACAAAAGCTCCTCTTGCGCGGTTGGAATCCTCAGAGGCTGGACTCGCACTAGGAGATGAAGGGCTCACTTGCTGTGTCCTTTTGTTCGATAGAGGGGAACTCGCTGGACTGGTTTGCGTTTGACTGCTTGCAGGTTTGCCACCGGGAGAGGAGCTGCTCGTCGGTGTGGTTTTTGAGGAAGAAGGGGTTTTGTGCTGTGAAAGAATTTCAGTGAGGAGGGTTGCTTGATGAAAAACGTCAAAATTAACTGTTTGGACTGGAGTTGTGGCAAGAGAGTCTTTCTTTTCTGACTTAGGCCATTTAACTGATCTGCCTGGGGTCTGAGTGGCAACCGACTCTTTCTTTATTGAAGAGATCTCGTCACTGACTTCAGTATTATTTTTCAAAGTCTGCAAAACAAAATAGCAAAATAAAAAATAAAAATAGTAAGAAATGGGGCATTGGGGGAGTTAAGAGAAATTATAAATCAGAAAATACTAGTATCTACCAAAGTTCAGAATTTACCACAAAAAATTCAGCATCAACTAAATTTCATTAATTATTGTAGCTGGAAAATTGGCATTTGAGCTACATAAGTGTGAAATTATGAAATTAAATGAAAAAAAAGGAATTACAGTAATAGAATAACACACGTCCATTCAACTAGAACATTAAATATTTATTTATTTTTATGTAGAATGGACGAAAATTAATGGTAAATTCATGAAACCCTGATAACTACATACAAGAAGAAACAACCAGTTTTCTCAATTACCTGCAACTTGGCCAGAGGAATGATGTCACAGTTGTGAGGCCGGTGCCACACAGTCTTCTGCGAGGTTGCGTTGTAGTAGTAGAACCTTTGAGTTGCCTGGTCGAAAAGCTCCCACCATTGATTATCATCAGTCTTTTTCCTAAAAACAAATTTCAATTATGTTTTTATTTTAATTGCTTTCATTCTACAAAAATAATATTCAATTCATGACTATATGAAAAATCTATCTAACATTAAGTGGAAAAACTGACAAACTACACCCTCAGCCCTGCCCCCGCCGCAGATCATTATAATTATATAACCCAATGTTTTGGGGTTTCTTTCCCTCACAAGGATGTGCCATTGCAACAAATAAAAACAATAACATATTTTAATCAAAACAATTTAAATGCAACTTTATAGGAACTATTTAAGGATGCTCTTATAATAAAAAAATATTTTGCAAGTTGGGTTTTTTGCAGCAGCTTGCTAGTAAATTGTTGTCGTTTATGGAGGAAAATGTTCATTAAATTTTTCCCTGAAAATGAGTTTGCAACTTACACAGGCACGCCAAATGGTGGGTCCCAAACACACTCCCCTGTTGAGAGGTTTGCATACATATGCTCCTTTGTGCGAGGCTCGATAATTTCGACCCACTCCATCATTGAATGACCAAGTAATTGCGTCTGAAACAAAACAAGAGCATTAAAATTAGTTTCGAGAACTGAAAAGGGGCCTTTGTGAAAGAGGCAGCTGAAAGAAACAAAGAGTAAACACGTGCATTCATGTGCAAAGGATGAATGTGACGGGTTTGTTGATTGTTCCTGAAATCAGCACACATGCGAATTTATTGTCTTTTGCCTGCGGAAATTTCCAAAATTTTATCGCGGCTTTAGATTCGCCAAAATTAGGCATAAATCAAAAATTCAAGATAAATTGACATTTTTCGCCATAGGATTTGGCAAACGAGCCGTGTAACATTTGAATTGAACTATAATGTTGTGTATACATTTGTTTCAGTGTGTACCTTTCACACGAGAGCTTCTTCAGACGCGAGTTGCTTCCACGAACAAGTGCGATATCGACATTTTTCCGCTGCTTGACAAGGACCTCACTCGGCCGGACTCATGCCGAAACAATTTTGCTCACATGGGCCGAATTTAATCGGCAAAGCGCGATCGTCTTGCAAATTGGGATGGGTCTGTTCACAGCTAGTCCATTTTGAAATGCACCTGGACTGTCTGATGTATTCCTGGGAAAACAAGGCGAGTGCATGCAGAGCTGCCAACGTAAAAAAATAGTTTCAAAAATGATGCCCCGTTGCGAGGGGGGATACTGTTGCAAAAATTCAGGTTGCTAAAAGGGTATTAAAAATATTGGCCTTTTTAATATCATCACTATGATTATCGCTCAATTAATTAATTGAAGACAAAATTCAACCAACGGTTCATGTTACACTGAAAAGAATTTAGCTTAAAAACCAATAATTATTATTTAATTAATCATCTTTTTTGATAACATACAAATTTAAATAGTTAAACTACTTAAGTAGCAAAAATTTTCAGATTTAAATGATAATTTAGTGTCAGTTAGGATAAATAATAAAAAGTATAATTCATCTTTCATATAAGTATTTATTGATTAAATTTTACATTCAATTTTTTATTATTTAATTTTACTTCTAATATCACTTTTGTCAATAGCCAGCAAACAATAATGCCGTGCAGCAATAATTTTTAATTATATTTCATGTTGAACAAAATTCATGGATCGGTACAATTAAAAACTGCGGAAAACCTTCTCGAACAAGCTCATTCTATTTTGGTCCTGCTTGGGAGGATTAGGGCACTCGGCGCCAAATTGGGGAATCATAGAGAAAAAAGTACTTCCACCACTGGGAGGGTCTGGTTGCTCCGTCACTGTAACTTGCTCACTTCCTTCGCCATCACGAACAACTTTTCTAGTCTCCCAGACCTTAAATTTAAAAATAAATTATTAAATAGTAGAAATTTAAAAAATTATTTGTTTATATATTACTCCATCAGGTCTCTGTGTTGTTTGAATTGAAATGGATCTGCTGAAGCTTTTGAAACCAGGTGGAAGCTGCGGAAATTGCAAAGGCAAATCTTGGTGAGGAGCCTGATGCTGATAGTTGCGTTTCTGACGATCTTCCTCCATTATGGCCATCAGATGATCACCAGTAAGAGAACTGTTTTAAAAAGCACCAATATTATTTTAAGGTTAAAAATTTATGAAATTTATTTCTCACCTTCCATCCAAAACTTTGTCCGATTTATCAATAACTGGAGGCAGTGGAGGCTGGGACTGGAAATCTATTTAAATGACGATATTTTACTACACAAAAAGAGATTAATTCTTAATGGATGTACCTTCAAAAAATCTAGGCATCACTTCAGAGAAAAAGCCAGGGTACTGACCAAGGATGTCTCCTAAATTTTGCTCCATTTCTCTGAATTCAAGATTATTATTAGTTTTTACTTTGTTAAATTGCACTGTGATAAAAAAAATACACATACCTCTGCCAGGGCTGATTTGGATGTGGGAAATTTTTGAATTCGTCAAGATCTTGGATTGTTGGCGGATTTGTGCCCCTTTAACAAAACAAATATTAGAAATGTTAATGAATTTACTGTGGAAATAATTAATAGCTATTTATATTACATTATGTATGTTGTAAGATAATAATACATATACAAAATTTGAATAGCTCTTTAGGCATAATGTGTATCATAATATTTTTGGGAGTATAATGAATGATTTTTTTTACCAATAATAATAGCCATCATTGTATTTTTGAGGCGGTGGGATTCCAAAAAATTTCTTGATGAAGTCCATGATGTCAGTATTTCCAGTGGTCTTACGTAGCCTCTCTTCTAGGGTTTGCGTGCGAAAGCAGATTTTGCGGCTTTCGACTTGCCGACGGAGACTGCGTTACGATCGTTGCGTGCTACGCAAGGTCCTGCCCTGCACTCCTGCTAGAAACTTCGAAAGGGAGGAAAGGGTGGTAAAAGTGAAGTGACGTGATTTCGAAATTCACGAGTCAAGTCGAGAGAGAGGTCAATAACAAAGTGTTGCAAACATGATTGAGGTACACTTTAAGCAATTCTTATGAATTTCTTTAGTTGTATGTCGTATAAAAACGAATTTTAATTATATAAAATAACTGAAATCATAATAATTTTATTAATTTAATCAATTTCATTGCACATTTCAAACATTATGACCAGTTGAAGTGTATAATAATATTGTTTTGCAAATTTTCAAATGTTGGCATCACTGCATCTAAACAATTTGTTTTACAACCCACGAATCCCGCCCCTATACGCCCCTATGATTCTCAGCTGGCAATTTTGAGTAAAATGTATACAAAACCAGCGAGATTTTGACCCTTTTTTGTTGACATTTCTCTCCTTCTGGATACCAAGATATCCTCTACAATGACTAGGCAACAAATCTGTTTAAAGTGGAATAGTTTTCAATCAAATATTGTGACGTGTTTTGAGACTCTATGGGAGGAAGAGGGACTCGTTGACTGCACTTTGGCCAGCGAAGGACAGTGCATTAGAGCTCACAAAGTCATTTTGTCTGCGTGCAGCCCGTTCTTTAGACGAATTTTTGAAGTATTATCACAAGTTTTGCCATATTTCATTAAAAGAAACTAATTTTCGACAATAATTTTTAGACAAATCCCTGCCAGCACCCCGTCATCATACTTCAGGATGTCCAGTTCTCAGATCTGGAGGCCCTACTGTGTTTTGTATACAAGGGAGAGGTCAACATTGATCAGGATGACCTGCCAGCCCTCCTCAAAGCAGCCGAGTCTCTACAAATCCGTGGCCTATGCACTGCCAGCGCCCAGGGGAAAGTAAAAGTAAGGCTGCTGAAATTAAATTTAGTGTTTATAATCGTTCATACAGCCCGATTCTGTATGTAAATCAAGTAATTAAATAAACTGGGTTTTTTATTGTGGATGATTAATAGACGAACTCTGTATTTCAGCACTCGCTGATTCCGTCAGAAAGTGGACCTCCGTCAAAGAAAAAGCGTCCTTCCTCGGCCTGCTCATCTCTACCTCCGCCCCCTGCAGCCCTTCCTGTACAATCTGCATTGCACCGAAGTCAGAGCCTAGAGGAAAGCGAGGACATATCTACCTCACTGCAAGCCACTGTCATCCCTAAAGTGGAGCCTAGTTGCGACACAAACTGCGACGACTCCGAATCTCTGGCCAGTCTGCCTCTCGAGGAGTCCATGGATGAAGGGACACCGGAGGAGCTGCAAAAATTCATGCAGCGGCAAGGGGAAAAATTGTCCTTAGCAGACATCAACCAGTTGAAAGGTGAGCTCCCAGTCTAATTATTTACTGTTAATTTGAGGGTGGACACATCATTGTTGGCCGGACAATTTGTCCAGAGCTTAAATGTTTAGTTGTATCTCTGTTAAATGTGCATTGATTAGCTGTGTGGCTTTAGGCAAGTGCAGATTTGATGTGGTTGAGGATAGATCGAGTATTGTTTTTATCAAGGAGGCAGCACCCCTCATTGCCATTGTAAATCTTATGTGGGCACAGTTTTTTGTTTAGTTATTTCATTAAAATCATAAGTTCTTTCTAAAATACTTTCTCATATTCCACTGTTGTAAAGACATAAACCGCTTCAGATCTTTTGAAACTATTTTTTGTTGTCTCCAACCATTCTATGGTGCTTAAAATTTGCTGTATAATACTGGTGTCGTTTTGTTCAAAACAAGTCTTCTACTGTAAGTGTCTATCGGTATCAATCACCTATGCTCCAGCATTTTATAAATTTTTAAAGTTTTAATTCCACGACCCTTAAAAATCATAACGCTTAAAGTGGGACAAAAATTTTTATTTTTAAGCTTCATTTTAATTCTGATTTCATAACTGAAACACTACATTTTTAAACTTACAAAAACTTTACTGCATATATTGCAGGTAGCCAATCTTGCCCAGCTGTTTTTGTAATTGCAGCATTGTTTTTGTGAGGAAAAGTCTGGGTTCTTCATTCAAACATAATTCGCACATCAAGTCGAAATTCCTTCATACTTCCAAATCTTTTTATTTAGCGAGGAAAATTGAGTATAAATGTTAAAAGAAAAATGTTGATGGGTGGACCCTGAAGGAGAGGCTAGTAAAATGCATGACCCTCGATAAGTGGGGACTGATCGCTGGGTGGCAGAATTTTTGCAACTTTTTTCCAGAGGAAGAGGGACAGTGTGCGGGTCACCCGAAAGCTATGTGTAGCGCTCTGCATGTTTGTTTACTGCTTGTGGCTAGAGCTATATATATAAAGTCCGTTGGCCTGCTGCACCCCCACATAGATGGCAATCAAACAGACTCTGATATTGTCCGGCGCCGCCCGCAGGGGAAGACGGTGACGAGGTGCCGCTCGACTCGAAAGTGCTAGCGCCGTGCCAGGCGGAGGGCAACTCGGAAGACGGGCCTGCCTACGAAAAGATGCCCTACGCGTGCCTGCTGCCGAGCAAAGAGATTCTGGCCACGTGGGCCACCGGCCGCACGCTCGAGCAGCTGGGCTGCGACCTGATGAAGCTCCTGTTCACCACCGAGGAGCGCCTCTTGTGCAACGTCAACGGCAAAATGGGCAAGCGCCAGTTCAACACCCACAAAGTCCAGCTCATCCGCGAGGTGTTGGACCACTTTAGCGGCATGACGCCGGCCGAGTTTGAGGAGCAGTGGAAAAGCTGCGTCACCAAAATCGACACGGCCAACCGCGGCCTCAAACGGAACCTGGTGTTGAAAGGGCGGAAAACGCCGTTCATATTGTAGTTGTAGACAAGTTGTTGCTGTGATGTAAGCTGTAGACAGGTTGATTTATATTGACTGCAGCTGTCTCCGAGTCTCAATAATTTTATAATTTTTTAAGTTAGTTTAATTCTGATAAATTAAATGTATTGAGGGTAAAATACATTTTATTCATTAACAACAAATTCATACGACATAACTTTTCATTTAGATTCATTGACTTTTTTAATTTCGGGGGTTTAATTTGATTTAAACTATTCCTCTTATTTTATGAGAGGAATAACTTGTTTTTAATATTTCTGCCAGAGTTTTTGATCAAAATAGTTGTCATCATGTTGTTCCGAGACTTTCGTTGGCAGCCTGCGGTCAATTAATTTTGATTTGACTAATGATATTCACACCATTGTTAATATAGTGCCAATAATGATATAATCATTTGTGGTTGATGTGAGTATACAAGCGGAGAAATTGATACAAATAGCTTCTAAAGACGCTGTTTGTTTGCAAAAGCATGTTGTTGTAAGGAAAAATGTTTATAGAGAGTACTTGCAAACAGGGGTATTTTGTGTACTGATTTTTATAAGTGTTACTAGAGGTGAGATAATATTTTAGAAGCAATATACTGAATATATATATTATACAAAACACACACCGACCGTAAATACTGCTGTATATTATTGTGTATCTGTGTTAGAAATAGTCCAGTAATAAAGGTTTTAACCAGGAAAAATCTTGTGCAGCTGGAATTTCACACTCTTTTTGTATGGGTGGCGTTTACAAAATTGGCAGCCTGTAAGAGGAAATTTTTGGGCCCCAACATAAAGGGAAAGCCTCATTATCAGAAAATACACCTCAAAAAATAATAAATCCAGCCTGGCACAATTTTTTCTTGGATGGCGCTTCTGATTCCTGGACTTAAAGAGCGTAGGAGAAGAAAAATTAATTTTTTCAGTAACAATCTGATGCAAAAGTTTGCGGACAGAAAATAATGAGCTCAAAGTTATCGATCATTTGACCACGGATTTTCTAGTTCATTTTTGGCAAACAATTCGGCCATTTGATTTGTGTTCACCGGCATCATTAGATAGTCAATTCGAACGTTGAAGACGCAAATCTATATAGGTGAAAAATTTAAAGTGTATATCGGTTACAAGGCATATTGCATCAATTTTAACAATAAAACAACTGTAAATGTTGGCTGTGTTACTAAATGTCTTAGAAATTGCTTGTGATGTTGTTATCCAATCAAAATAAAATAAAAACACGCAAGAGATCTCAACAAAGAGTAAAACAATGAGAATGATATTGATAAAAATGTAAAAAAAAAAATGTTCAGCCTGTATGTGCAGAGATAGCAGCAGGACGTTAAATTCCTACTCAACAACTAGCCACTGAAATGAGCCTAACTCGCATTTTAGCCATAAGAGTTTTGGCCAAGGTGACCCACATTGTAAAATTTACCTGGCCAAAAACATCGAATAAAAAGAAAAAAACCTAAAGATGCTTAGATTGTATGTGTTAAAACGCTGATGAAAATCAACCCTTTTAGAAAGTGCAATGTACAAAATTAATGTCAATACGTAAACAAAGAGAAATAAACCATCCAGTTAATAAATAATCTGGAACAAATTTTAAATCATATCTGACCTGAAATCCTTCTTTTTCCAAAACTATTGATGCAAATAAATGTGTTTTAATTTCTCTCTCTCCAGGATGCTGCCGGACAGACTCTCTGGCATTCCACTCTGATTTGAATTTTGATCCCTCTAAAGGTAGCACTACTTTATTAATGATGATTGCCACCAATTTATTTTTTTTAAAAATCCAGACAGCGCTTCATCGTTTCCACCATTTCCGTGTCCCTTCTGCGACCGAGCCTATACAAGCTGGGGATTCCGCAGACGACACATCAAGTCCATGCACACTTCGAGCCCTAAACTGACTTGCAAATGGTGCCCTCAGGTACGCTAACTTATTCAGGATTTGGTTTTTCAATAAACTTATTTTGAACTCAGGTGCTGAACAATCACAATTCGTGGGAGAATCATGTTACCGGCAAGCATGGGTTGGCAGCCGAAGACGCGAGGAACGGTCTCTTGATTTTAGAGGAGGCTCACACTGTCCTGCAAATCCCAAATCCAACCAAGCTGGAGTCTTTGGTGGATATGATCAAGAGAGGAGAAGTTGTCACCGAGCCAGTTCAAAGCCAGAGCGGCGAAAGTAGCAGCTCCAGGTCGAAACACTAATATTCCTAACTGCAATTAATTGTTCGCAAGCAATCTAGTCTCACTGCCATATAAAATTATATGAAGTGCCTTGTATTCTAAAACCGTAGACTGCTTTGTGTTAAAAAAATCTTATGATTCATTGCTATCAGTATATAAGGGCTGATTGTGAGTTTTTGTCGATCATTATGCATATAACAAGCGACTATTTTTGTAATTTTTTGTATCAAAATTTGTCAGTTCTTCCTGAATTTTTCTTTTAAAATCATTATTTGGCCCCATTTGTCCAATAACGGAAACATTTAATTAGAATTTTTTAATTATAAAGGGGCATTACATGTTGTTTAAAATTTAAAACTTAATTATTTTAGTGAATAGTCTTACCTCATACACACAAACTCTCAAGAGTTAGGAATTCTAGCTTGCAATTATACCACAGAAGGATGCAAAATTAGGTTCGTTTTCAGTAGCTCTGTCCATCTGTAGCTTGCCTCTTCTTACCGTGGGTAATTCAAACACTTTCACATACCTTGTACCAAATTTTTTGAAAACCAACCTTTTAAATCATACCAATTTACAAGATTTAACGATGAAATTTTGTTAATTCAAGGATTTATTTTATTTCAACCCGCAGAATTGCCGCAGAAAAAATTGGTCAAATTCTTTAGTTATTTGACTGTTTATATTTACGTGATTTTACGCACTGTCTGTTACAGACTTAAGAAATTAATAAAAACAACATTCAAATTTTTAAAATTTTAACAGTTTAATTAGTTAAACCATAACTTCAGATCTGCAAATTTAATTCAAATATAATTATATTCTATTATTATTATTATTATTTTTTTTTTTTTTTTATAAAATTCCAATATTTTGTTTCCATAAGTCGTTTGTAAAAAAAGTGAGAGTTTAGTCTTGGTTTAATATTTTTAGACTGCGGCTGATTTATTTATTATTGATTTCTGCCATCCGTGTGCTTGCAAGAGCGTGTCATTCAAATGCGCGCCCTTTTACTGTAAAAAAAATAAAGGTACAAATTAGGGGCGTGAACGCCAGGGGGCAGTTGCCACTCTCCTCATCTGGTTCTGAGTTGGGTTCTGATATCAAATCAAAAGTTGTGTTTATTTTTGTATTGTATTTCGGTGCCGAATTTGCAAAAAAACGTTTTTGGATTTATCCGGAAAAGTGTGAAAGTGTTGGTGCGGTAAGAAGGCAATCTAATTGTAAGAAGATGGACAGCGCTGTTGACCAGTTGATGACAACGATCTTTCTGTCTCTGGCAAGCGGTGAGTAAAATCACAAAAGAAAAAGAAATTGTAGTTTTTAATACCCTTTGAATGAAGCGTTGAATCATTGGTTTTAAATTAGAGATCACCTTTTTAGTAGTTTTTTCTCACTTAAATTAACTCTAGCAAAATTAAATTGCGTGTGACATTATTTAATTATCATGCGAGAAGAGGTTTTGTGTGATAGTCGGAATACATAATATAATTAAGCGGCATAAACGCTCTGCCCTATAATCACAGCAAGTTTTTGAAACTTTTTAAAGGGAAAAATGTGGGGAAAATGCTGTAATATTACTTTCATTTTAAATCAACTGATTTATTGACACATCAACAAAGATCAAAGAATAATTGTCAATAAGGATAATAATACCTCATTTGCAATTTTGCAAGCTGCAAAAGTAAATAATAAATTTTGAAAATTCACTATTTTCAAAAATTAAAAATTATTAAATTGCTACATTGAAAATTAAATATCTATGTTTAACAACTGCAAATATTTTATATAAATGAAAGCAAAATAACTAAAAAAAATTAGACCAAAATTCGAGTGGTTTTTGACGAATATTGCTACATTATTTTTGTAAGCCATTAATAACTTGCTGAGCAAGCTGCTTAAATTAATAAATAAACTATATTTTAATAAAATTTGCGTATTAAGTTTTTTATATCATTGCATTCAAAGATCTGCAACGTCGCCTTCCACGATGACTCCCGGTGCCAATTCGTGGCGATTTTTATCATTTTCAAAGCCCACATTTTTAGTCTTCTGCTTGACCACCGCCGAGTATGAGGGTCCTTTGCTCGTCTGGTCCACGTTGTTCTTCTCCCACATGTTGCTATTGTCCTGGTTGTATGAGGAGATTTTGAACGAAGAAGGCGCGTCGTCTGGTGAATAAATGTCATTTCTTTTCATTGAGCCGCGGTTGTAATTTGTCTTGCGCAGCATTCCCTGTTTTTTTAAATTGTAACAATTTTACTGCTAATGGTTAAATAATTTACCTGGAAATTAAAAGTTCCTGTGTCGCTTCCGGACATCTCTTTCCCGATGCTCTTCAGCTCTTGGATGTGTCCAGCCGGCTTGGCTCCAGATCTCGCTGGATAGTTGTTGCTGCTTTCAAACTTTCCTCTCACCGCACTTACTGACTTCATGGGAATGTCGTTTGAAAATTCGTCTGGTCTGGATGCGGCCTATTTTGTTTTGTAAGAAAAGTTAAAACAATTAAGACATTAATTTTATTTGAAATTTTAAAAAGAGTTTTCGATTTGAATATAAATCATATTACAGAAGATAGCAGGCTCCAAAAAATCTATTCTCCTTTAAACCTCTGCAGAGGGTTAACAAAGTATTTCGATATATGAAACTAATACAATTTTATTGAAATTCAATTCGATCTCTTTATTTAAGCCGAGTAATACTCTTTTAAACGATTTCTGTGATAATTGAAAAGTGATCGCCTTAAAATACTGGCGCTTAGATTTATTAATAAAAAAAATATTCTTCAAAATATTTGCAGCCTACACCAATGAAAACAATTTGATTCTTTTAATTTTTTTTTTTAATTTTACTCACAGCAGAGGTGGAAGGTCCGGGTACCGGACTTCTCGGCTTTTTGGGCATTTTGGGCTGATTGTCGAGCAGCTCGCGTCTGTAGGGCGTCTGGATGTGCGGAGTGATTTTGTTCTGCTGGTTCACATTCGCCAGCTTGTCCGCGGCGTGGCCTGCGCCCGTCTGGCAGCCCTGGTTGCGCAACTGCTTCTTGTTGCGCTGGAAGACTTTGTTGCTGTCCGCTCGGCCCAATTTATTTCGCCTCAAGGGTGCGTCCCAGGTGTCGTAGTCCCTTGGGCCTCGTCTGTTGTCCGAATACATCGAGTCAAGCCTTCAAAGATTTGTCACTCAACAAAGGGGGTTATCTTTTTTTTTAAATTTTATACCCAGCGTCCACGGGATCGCAGAAGTGAGACGTGTCGAAGAAGGGCAGCATGTGGAATTGGAAGGGCACTTTTCGGACGAAGACGGGTTGGCGTCCGAGGATGAAAGAGGCCTCGTTGCGATTCACATTCTTGATGTGGTCTTGAGAAACTAGTTGCATTTCCGTTTGTTTCATGCCGTCCGTTGCACCTTGGTTGTACATGTGGACCTGGAAGATTTTTGTTGCTAAGAATAAAAAATCTGCAGTGTTTTTCTCTTGTTCGTACCTGCTGGCAGAAGTAAACCAAGTCCTGTTGTCGTACCGAACGGTACAGCAGCAGCATCTGGAACAAGGATCGTCGTCTCCACCTGCGGCAACACTTTTTCAACAACCGTATGGTCTTGGCGTCGTAGACGTCGGTTCCACTGCCTGAAACCGGTTTGGACATCCCCGTGCTAATTCACTCTTTTGTTAGACAATTAAAATGAGGGAATTGGCGATGTACAGTGTAACTTGTCGTGCGGATGAATTTTGACAAGAGATGAAAAAGAGACAAAAAATGTAAAAAAAATAGTTCTCTTTTCACCCTACCTGTATACTTGTAGCCTTTAGTTTCCTCAATTTCCTTTCGCGCCTTGTATCCCCTAAATTCTGTGTTGCAAATTGTAATTACACTTTGTGTCATTATGTACAATTTCTATAGGCCATTACGTGTTTGGATCGCTAGTGCAGCGTCGTCTTCCGATTGTGGCGGTTTATTCAAAACAGATCTTGGGTCAGAAGCTTTCGCTAAAAATAAAAATAAAAAATAGACAAAATCATAAAAAAAACCTCTAAATGGTTTTACCCACGGAAAAAATGCATGTGGACCGTATTGAGGGTGAAGATGATAATGTGGCATGAGACAACAAAAAGCAAGATTAGAAATTTTCTGCAGTGAAAATGCTGATTAGACACGCCACATTTATCATTGTCTAGCCTCAAAAAAGTTTTGGTCCAACATGACTCGGTCTGGTTGGTTGAAATGAAATGAGAACACACCGCGTCTTCGATAGAACAACATGTATATTACTTTATTGGTTATGTATATAATATAGACATTATAGCAAAATACACTTTGTGATGTAAATGATGGACAAAAATTTGTTTAAGAGCTATATAAGTTTTTCTTTTTGATAAAAGTTCCACTAAAAAGTTAAAAATTTGTCGCTTTCAATGATAAGTGTTGGCGTGACTAAAATATCAACAGCATTTATACCTGTATCAAAACAAAATCGACGGGAAAATGATAGCAATAAAAATTCAGATTTAAAAAATATTTGGTCTATGTAGATAAAAAATATGTAAACTGGAACTGCTAAAATCTCAAAAAATTCAGAAAAATTGTTGTTATAAAAAAATATACACTGTAAAAGTCTGATCTTGCCAAGAAGTTTCAATTCATTTTCTCCAACTGGACGAAAACAATCAATGACAAGTATTATTTATAGTTTGTGTTACTTTTATGATAGGAACTGAAAAAAAAATAGTACTTGACAATTCACGAATTGCGATCTACAAAACTAATAAAAATGAATGGTGGAGAAAAACCAGATGTTCTATTCACAAAAGTATGTGTATATGTGCTTACTACGTATATAAGAGTAACGAATTGAAACTGAATTAAATGGCGATTATTACTCTGAAGGTGGAGAAATTACGATTTGATCTGTAAGTTAAAGGAGAAGGATTTACGATAGTTCTATGTAGTGCAATATATTTGATTATAATTAAAACGTGTCATCTGTGTATAGTATACTGTTTTGCACTTTGAATCTAATGATGATCTCTCATGGGAATTAGTCACATAAATAATTAACTAAAAAGACAAAGCTCGAGTAACGTTTTAGATAACGATATTGAGAAAAACGTATATCTATAGAGTCTAGAGACAGAAATGTTTGTGAAATCTGCCCGACTACCAAACACACAAACACATAGCTAACTAAAATACATCGTCGGAGGCCTCATTGTCGGCTGCCTCCTCAGGAGGATCTTCGAGATAGTCAAAGACCGAATCGAGAGGCTGCCGGAAGCGCGAGATGTGCTCAGTTTCGGCCACCGACGGGCGATCTTTACCGTAATTGGCAGGGGCGTTTGCTAGACTGCCAGGCGTCTTGTCTGCAGCGCCCACCTTCTTCTTGGCCAGGAAGGCGCGCATCATCGACTGTACCTTGATGATCTTCTTCACCTGCTGCTCATACAACCTAAAGAACAGAGTTTTTTATGGCAATGGTTATTAAATAAAAAATTTAGTTTATCGTGAAATGTTTACCTGGCCAAATACTCCTCGTTGTAGTACTTGAGGTACACCTTTGACTTGCCCATGGCGTAGCCCTCCATCTTCAAACGCACCATCAGCAGGCGGCAGTTGGCACCAGTCATCTCGACGTTCTCATCAAAGTCGAAAGCCAAAAACTTGTACCTGATGAATTTTTAATTTAAAATAATGTTGTGCATCATTAACTCCTATATATACCTTCTGAGGAACTCGCTGAAGACAACTCGACATGGGTAGCCCTTCTGGCGAGCCCTCACCGTATCCACAACTCCCAAGGCCCTAAGCTGCTGACGCACGACCTCGGTTTGGAATCCTCTGGGTTGTCCGGTCAACTCGGCGCGCAGGCAACGAACAAAGTGAGTGCCACCAGTGTTCAGAGAGCGCAAAATATCCAAGCTCGCAGCCCTGAAAGTGGTAGTGGCCGTGCGCATACGACGAGTTTGGCTGAATTGACCCTTGGACTGAGTGTTGTAGCTTCTCTGAAATTTGCAATTTTAAATCATACAAAATTTTAATGTGTTTGATTCGTGAGATTTTTTTATGACTCACACTCTGCTGTTGTTTTTCCACGACAAGAGCGGCGTTCCACTTGCTCGCGCGGCGCTTGACTTGATTTTCAGGCATATTTTTCTGCGCCGTGGTCACGTCTACAGTGGACTGAACAAGGTTTCCGGTTCGGGATAGCAAATTGGTGAATAGCATGCTGACAGTGTCATTGGACGACAAACGCAGCGTCTCCGTGATCTAAATAGATTAAAATTTTAAATAACCATGGCAAATTTTACAGTTTCATACTTCAGGGGGAATGAAGTCTCTGTTCTTCTCAGCCATGTCTTTGACTTCGTAAGAGACCTTCCCAGTATAATGGGCCACACTGAATTCAGAATACGAGGAGCTTTGCAGGAATGGAGTCTTCTTACGAGAATTAATGGACTCTATTTTTATATTATTAGTTTTCTGAAGAAATATTAAAATTTATGCAATCTGACCAATAATAAAATCCGCGTTTCGAGTTGTTCTAGTGGCCTCGTCAATGAGCCACATAATACCGTCAGGTTTTCCCATCAGGACATCAACTGAGGGCCTATTGTCGTAGAAAGTCAAGTGCTCACCAGGAACCTCATCTTCCAAACGCTCTTGCTGAAATGAACAACAAAACAATTTTGTAAAAATGAACTTTTAAAGCATCATGTAATTGGCCCATCAACTTCAATATTTAGTCCATTTTTCTCACCATCTCCCATGCAAACAGGCGTTGCGTGTATTGGTACTGCAACTGCTCGTTCAATGTGTTGACGAATAGTTGCTCAATCCTGTTGGTTTGGAAACATTCAAATCCGAAGAGATCCAGAATGGAAATCATGTGACGATCTCCACTACATAGAAAAAGTTATTTTTATTGTTTCTTCAAATTTAAGTTAATTACAAGACAGCTCGTGAGTAGGCGAGTTTAAGGTTGATGAAGTTGACCAGCCAGTCGGCCAGTCGTGAGTACAATGCCCTGGCGAGGGCGTCTCTGGCCAGTTCGGCCTCCTCGGGAGACTGCTGCATTTTGACAGCATTGCCTCTCTCAATCATGCAGTAGTTAACCAAAGCCCAAGCAAATTTCTTTTCGTCAATGCCAAGCAATTCAGCAACTGTTTTTGTAACATGAAGAAAAAAATGAAATAATTTTTTTTTTCATATTAACCAGTAATAAATGAAAGTGGGAAAAATTGGCTTAAAAATTTCAAATTTCCCTTTATTGTATATCATTTGTGATAAGTGTTAATTTTGCTAAAGTTGAAAAATTATTTTCTGATAAAATTTCAATTAATTTTACCTTGAGCAGAAATTTTGGGGTTTTCAATTTCAGCTTTACCGCTGCCACCGTCACGGAACCTGACCTCGCCAAGGACAAGAATGGCGGCCAGAATCTTGTTGACCGTTTCGAGGTTTTCCGTGCCAAATTCCAGGTCGAGCAGGGCCGTCTTGAATTGCTCATACTGCCTGCAGTTGTTGCTGGCCGAAGTTGGGTCTGAAGGCACCTTGTGCTGGCTGCTGAAGCCGCTCGGAGCGCTTACGGAGCGCAGGTAGCGGTGCAAGCGACCAGATTCCAGGTGGTATTTTCCCAACTGCATTTTTGCCTCCATGGCGTCGTAGAAGTAGTAAAACAGATGGAAGTTGCCTTGGCGCCTTTAGAATTCTTTTTTTAAGAAACTGGTTTGATAGAAAGTTGATTTTTTACCTGTCGTTGGTTGTGATTCTCCATCTTTCAAGTTGATAAAGCCAGAAAATAGCACCGCTCACTTTGCCAGTGGACGTGAAGGTCACTTGGGTGTTCAGAACGTGGCGAGTGGAGTTTCCATTGATAGGGGTGCAAGCGTTTCCCACGGCGTGAATGATGGTCATGCTATTCAAGATGCGCACGGCCACAGCAATATTTCCCTTTACGTAAGAAAAATGTGATTAATAGAAAAAATCGGATCCTTCACAGAAGATAATTGTTAAATATTTATACAAGGTTGTACCTTTCCAAGATAAAGAAGATGGCGGAGGAGGTGCATCATATTCGCAGTCTTTCCAGACATGCTCTCGCCACTCAGCACAATATGCTGCGGCTCGTCGTGGTGCAAAACGTCTTGATAGGCACAGTCAGCCACAGCGTAAATGTGTGGGCGATTTTCAGACCTGCTTTTGAACATGTACTTGCTCTGGATCTACAATATATCCAAAGAATTTTTGTTATTTTATAGATTTATTTTTTTAATGTCTACTAAATGTAACCTCGTCACTGTAAATGTTGAGGGTTTCATTGGGATTGAGAAATAGTAGAACGTCGCCCAGAAATGAATAACAGGAGCCCTTCTTGAGTCTATTCTGAAGCTGCTCAATGACCAAGTCTTCCGTCAGGTTATCCAAGGCAGCTAAATCCTCAAGGTACATAACCTCGGGATCAGAGTTTTGGTCACTCTAATAAATATAAATATAAAAAAATACCCTCAAAGAAAAAATTTATATTTCTGTACCTTGAGGAAGTTTCCTCTGACCACTACCTCCTGTCGCCTTTCCTTTTTAACATGTGTCACACCATCGAGCAATGATTTGATTTCACTTGACAACTATAGAGGCTCATTAAAGTTAAAAAAAAATGAGAATCTAGAACTATTTTCTTACGTGAGACGTATTATCAGGGAGTTCAGTGAGGAAGGGATGCTCTACAAGTTCTATGACGACCGGACGGTTTTCAGGATTTTTAACCAAGCATCTAGAAAGTAGCAACAAAAATTAGTGACTCTCACATAATTCACTTCTCTGGCCTCACTCGTTGACAAAGTCATTGAAAATCTGCGACCAATTAGCGGGCCTGTGGAACGATGGCGGCGGATTGCGCACAATTTGGAAAAGTGCTCGTGTCGGGTGGATGTCTTCGAACGGTGCCTTTCCATCGGCTATTTCGATGGCCGTGATACCTGTATTCAGGATTCAGGGTTGGTTAAATTTTTAAGGGAATTTTGTATGCTCGGCCATACCTAGAGCCCAGGTGTCGACGCGATTGTCGTAGACGTCGTGGCCAATCTTCTGGCTCTTCTGCTCGCTGGTGACCAACTCGGGGGCCATCCAACACGGAGACCCCACTGAGGAGCCTCTCTTGCCCATGGTACTACGCAGCTCCCTGATTTCGAAAATTTTAAATTTTATTAACAGAGTTGATATTTTATAAAATTTGTTTTGGCAATTAAAAGCTAGAATATTAAGTATATTGATTTATTAAGAAAAAATATGAAGGGAATCCAAATAAAAATCAGATTTAAAACCTTCTTAAATATTTCAGAAAATGGGGAGTGCTAAATTATTGGAATTTATTTCCACATTGATATAAAAATATAATTTCTAGGATATTAAAGTATAGTTTTTGGTCTTTGGTATTGACTTGTTTTAAATTTTTTATATAAATAGTCAAAGTACATTTAATCAGAATTTAAAATTTTTTGTCACTAAAATTTAAAACAAAACGATCAAATTTGAACAAATTTAAATTATTTTAAAATTTACCAATGTAGGCCTAAAAGTTTTGTTTGGAGCAATACTAAATTGAAGTTCTAAGATACCTGGAGAGGCCAAAGTCAACCAATTTAACTTCGCCAGTTTTCGTCAGGAGAATGTTGCTACCGCGGATATCGCGATGCATGATGTGTTGCTGGTGCAGATAAATCAAAGCCTATAATCAAGTATCCAGTTTTAAAAACAACTTTTTAATAATTAAATTTCTTATTTCTACCTTGATGACCTCCTTCATGACGAACGCAATGTGGATCTCTGTGAATTTTTTATCGGCCTTGTAAAGCCCTTTTACCAAATCGATGATTGATCCGCCCTCACAAAGCTAAATTATAAAATATTTCAGTGAAAAAGACGAATTTCCACTGAATAAATCTTAATTCAAACCTGCATGACCAGCCACAGTTGGTCTCCATCGCGACTCTTTTTGCAGTAGGCACCGTAAAAGTCAATCAAGTTGGGATGATCCGAGTGGTCCTTGAGAACTCTGTATTCTTCCTCCAGGTCTTCCCAGTTCTCGTCGGTGATTTTCTGGATCTTAATGGCCACTTGCATATTTCCTTTTGGTGGAGAAAATAGCAAGATATCGGTTCAATTAAAAGAAAATAAATTAAACCAAATGATTAAAAATAATAATAATAATAATAAGTTAGAAAAATTGCACACCTTCCTTCAAGTCAGTGGCTTGAAAGACCTCGCCGCTTACGCCGATTCCCAGTCGCTCCCCAAGCTGGAAGCGGGGGCCAGGGTCGGGAAGAGAATCCCATTTGATGGCACCGCAGGAGTTTCGGCTCCGCTGACTCATGCTGGATGTTTAAGGTCTGCAACCTGGCAATTTTCCAAATGATAGTTTGTTTAATTGAATTGAAGTGGGATCGGAGAAAAATAAAATTTATTCCAGATTTATTCCTAGTATCTAAATCCGGATGATTATTTCTCGGAAAGTTGAATTTCAAGTATTTTTAGAATTTTATCAGCTTTCAAAGTGTCATGAATTTTTCCCTAATGAGTCAATTTTCAAAATGAAAAGAAGGAGTCTGAAAAAATATTTTGATTTATGGTTTGAAATCTTCTCCATCACGTTAATTTTCATAATTTATTTGCAATTTTAGGAGAAATTAGCAGGATTAAAAAAAAAACTGACCCCATAATCATATTCAAGACAGTCGATTTAAAAATTCGCACATTTTTGCCACCTTTGAAAATTCAGTTAAAAAATCTTAGATAGTCGTTCATAATACCACTAGTAATTTCTCTCATTTTTGCTTGCAAATAATTTTGTTAGCATCTTTGGAAAAAAATAATCCCTTTCGGTTACAATACATAATTGTCAAAATTTACTGTACATTTTCTAACTTGTTGATTGGGAAAAAATTAATTGAATTTGTCATTTTACCCCTCTGATGAAAGAGCAAAGTTTTCACAAGCTATATAAAAGTACGTGCGGTGACTTGGATTTTAAGCCAATTTGCCACGTTGGGTCAAGCCAGCAGAATTAGAAGCCGCAAAAGGTTGCAATTGTATGGCTCCTTGCGTCGACTGGCAGCAATAATGGTGCGATCGGCCGCGCATGTAACAGAGACAACCACAATAGTGCTATCATATTTGGGTCACTGCTCTTGGCAGAAATTCAGTCGGTGTTCAACTGAGTGGAAAATTTTCGTCTGCGGAAAATCTTAAGCAAAATTTCTTCTAGACGAAAACGTATAAAAAGAAAAAATCCTTTAATATGGGATTTCGATTCGTTTGTTTCAATCTTAGGTGAGAATTTTTAAACAAAAGAAAAATGAAAATTTCATCGCAAAAGTCTAGAAGGGTGGAACAAAGAAAATTTTACTTTGCCCCCTTTTTTGACATTTGTACGCAACACGATTTGTTAATTAGCTTTGAGATGTAAAAGAGGGACCCCATTTATTTAATTCACTTGAATTCGCCTGCGAGTTTGCCTTGCCTGGGGGGGTTTTAATATGGTTTCATCCGAGCCGTCGTGTGTCTCTCTTTCTCTCTGTAATTCGCAATCAACCCTACTTAGCGTGTGCATAATATAAGTTGTAATCAGTCCTGTAGTGACAGTCATTCATAACGCACACCTTTGATCTTCCACTCGGCTGCATCTTTTCAAAAACGTATGGGCGTATGTGTAGTGTGCGCACGCGAGCTCTTGCCGCTAATTTCCAGCCCCTTGTCTGTGCACAGACAACGCGCGCTGCCATCGCTGCTGCACTTCAATCCGTATGAAACAACGAGTGAGCGCGCGCGCGACACACACCGAGAGAGACTGCTGAAGGGTGATAATAAAACAACCCCTTTTCACGGAGTGCGATTTCAATGTTCGTGTGTGTCTCCCTAAAAGCTATTTGGTTATATTTCGTATCTCTCCTTGCATAAATGAAATCCTTTTGGAATTTGAAATTCTAAAAAGCACCAAAATTTGAAAAAGGTGTAAATCAGTCTAAAAAAAAGCGGTATTCGGGTCTAGAAAAAGGAAAATAGGAAATAAAAATTTTTTGATTGACTATCTCATGCAGTCATTGCTTTGAAGGGATGGGAAATCTCTATTCAGGTCATTGGCAATGATTTAAATAATACATAGTGGAAAATTATTTCTCCAGAAGCGCTGGAAACGTCTGGTACGTTGCTTTAATGAAATAATAAATTGTGCGCTTTTCCTTTCGTGAATGGAATCAAATCAATTGGATCAAACATTGAAGAGGGACCTGATAAATTTTGTTAACATCTATTCAACAGTAAGGGCTTGATTTTTATTTGTTGCAATGCAGAATAATGAATAACTATTCTAATTCAAAATTTTTCTTCGTCTTCATATTGTTGAAATTTTTGTTACTAATAAAGATAATAATAATGATAAAGTTTATCTAAATTTGTGCAAATACATTAATTAAGAATACACAAAGCTAAGTCAGTAAATGGCTTTTCTTTCGCCTAGCGCGCCTGTCAGTTCGTCAGATATGCAACCTGCATGACTGAGTTCAGAATACAATAGAAAAATGTAATGAATTTTCAGAATATCTATTATCTCCACGTATCAATTCACTTATTTCGTCGCAAAAAGTAAAAATATATCAAAATGGAAATCTTACCTCCAAGCATACGAATGAAAAGTCGAGGTGACTGTTGTTGATGATTCTTCGGTTGCCCGAAGACTGAAGAATTCGCCGCGCGGTAGGGCGAGAAGCAGATTACACCGTTCGTTTATTCGATTAGGTTCTGGCCCCTACCCCTGGTATACCTGCTACACTTTCATTGCTGTGTTGCTCTGGGTGGTGTCAATGGGAATCCATTTAACACACCTTATTTGCATTTTTTCTCTTCAGATCGCAAGAACGAAATCAGAACCGACGTGTTAAATTATATGTAACGTATTTTAAAATTTAAAGTATGTCATTTTATGTCACAAATAATTTGAAAGAAAGATCGATACTAATTTTGTTTTATATTATTGAAGAGGTTAAATACGACTATTAATTAAAAAAAATGATATAATGGAATTTTTCCACGCAAATGAATTTCATAATATTTTTGTGATGATTTTTCTCTTTTATTTTTGCGCTTGAAAATTTCCCTTCTCGATCCTTCTACTGGCAGGCGACTTTGAAGCACACAAAATTCTACGCCGAGGAGAAATCTGTGCCTCTGCGAAATCCTCTGTTTTACCCTGACTGCTAAGGGCGAGTTATTCGTGCAAGCGCGCATTCCTGCTCGCTGCAGTGATGGCCAACTAACTACACAGAGGAGAACTATTTCCCTTTGATCTCTCGCAATGGCAGTGATGTCAAAAAGTTGAAGTGCCTCTCTATTTCGCTGCCTGCAGCTTAACAAGAGAGCAAGCCGCTCTCCGTCGTAATAGGACTAATATCCGCGCGCAGAGTTCACGAACAAATCTCCCCTTTAGGAAGCAGCGTCATTTTGTAATCGTGGACTAAAATAAATATTTTTTTCAGCGCCAGACGGAAACGCGTTTTTCAATAAATGATTAAAAAAAATGAGTAAATTAATTTCAATTTCATTGCTAAAAACGTGCTGCATTTAATTCAAAAGACAAAAAGGAACTGAGCTTGCATTAATATGATAATATTCTATAAATGAGCAAAATACAAAATGAGGGAGGTGTGCAAGGAGACTCACTTGCAAACGGTCACCCACTCTTCGACAGTGCAATTTTTACACATCACTTGGCAGCACCACTCGAACCGGCACAAGCACTTTTCAGTTATTCTCAATCTAATCAAATTATAGCCGCGACCGCAGCACATGGAAGCACACCCGTCGTTGCCTGCGCTATTTTTGTGGCACCTACAAAATACATTTTTTTTCTTCATATAATAGTCATCGATAATTTTATATTTTCTCACCTTCTGCTGGTTGTTCCTGGAAAGTCAGGAGAACTCTCGCAAAAATTTGGCGACTTCTGAAAATACAGCAAATCTGCGACGTCCGGCTCCTTCCGACTGCTCCTCCAAAAGTAACCCCTTCTCTTTCTCGTTTTTCTATCCCTCCTGCCGTTTGTTTCGATGTCTGTATTCAGTTGAAGCGATTCAGGTACGATTTCTTGCACACTGAATATTGACGAAAAAAATTTGTAATTTTTATTTATTTTTGGCTCTTTTTAAAACTCCCACCTATTGTCAGTCTCTTCAACCTCCTCCAACTCGTCGCTCTCTCCCCTTTGGCCAAGATTACCCTGGCCAACGAGGATTGCTGTCCAAAACTGAGACTTCAGGGTGTCGCCCACCTTGCGAAATTCTGGCACTGATCGCCAACATGTTTGAACTTCGCAGCTGCCGGAAAGGCCGTGGCATTTGCAGTGGCGTTTTGCGTTCGCCATCACAGCCTAAGGGAAAAATGTAGAGCTTTTTAATAACTGAAAGGATTGATTTAATTTTATTTCAAGTGTTTCTATTTAAAAAGTAAAAAAAAATGCAATATTTTCATTAAATGGGAAACTTACCACTCTGCCAGCGTTGTTGTTGTGCAAATTAACTTTGGACTGGAGGTCAGCGCCCCTATTTTCTCTGGAGTCCAGAAAAAGCTTCGAAAACTGCATTCCGAAACGCAAGTTGTGCGCGCAACCGCCCCATTTCCAACTACTTCTCGTCTGGCGGCGCAGTTTTTGACGCGGCGTTTCGTTGTCCTCCAAGTTCACCCCATGTTCTGGATCTGCCAGTGTGACAACTTTAATTTATTTGATTATTTTCGCAAATCCGAGCCTACCTGACCTATACTGTTCTTCAGGAAGGGTGCGAACGTCGATAATTTCCTTCTTTTCGCACCCACAATTTGGCAAAATGCCGAGGCCGCACGCCCGAATTATTGTGTGCATCACGCCGGCGGATGAAATCGCAAACGCAAAAGCTGATTCTCTGTAGCCTGTAAAATTTAAACATTTACTTACAGAAATTTAGACATATGATTTTTCTTTTATTAAATGCATGGGTCCAATTCGTATGCCCCACTTCAGGAAGTGTTCCAGGGATTTGATTACAAATTTTACAATCCTTGAACAAGGTAACCGAGCCACAGACAACAATAGGCATAATAGACAACTTTCCATTAATCTTCGTCCACTTCTTTTAAAAGGTTATTTTCTGGAAAGCAGTGATTTATATATTACTTCACAATATTTGCACTGTTTTGCTTCATTTTGAACTTTTGGAAACAAACAATCTGAAAAATTTTACTTCGTCCAGCAAAATCAATTTTCCGTTATTCAATTTTACTCCTTATTGTGCATTTTAATATTCTTCATTCAAACGGAATATATCTTTTTACTTGTTTATATAATTTATTAAAAATTATATTTTTTCCAATTTTTTCGTGTGCTTATTATTAAGCAAGGAAAATTTTAAAAGGACGTCGTCCCCGCCTTTCCATTCTTCATTAAAGTTTGCTTGTTGAAACTCAAATCCTTGCGAGGCAACAAAATCTCAGCAAATCCGGTCGTGCTCTCGACGACAAGGAAATTGTGAGAGGCACTCGGCCGGTTGCGCAACAACCACTGCAGACGACGCCAGAGAAAGGAAGGAAGAAAAGCAGCCGAGAATAATGTATGCTACAAGTTATTATTGTTTTATGCTGTAGGGCTGGAGAGTGGAGGTCACATGTGTATTGTGGCGAGCAGTACGTGCAGCGAGTACTGGCAATTAGGCACTCTTGTTTGCAGCATTTCACGCCCTCAGCGGTCATGCTCTGGAGAGCTCGCTGCTGGCTGGCCGGGTATTTCGGTGTACACGCCGTACTCCATTAGCCCAACAACCAATGACCTCGCCTGCCTGCAGACACCACTTGTCAACTCGCTAATATACTGTTTCAATTTACAAGCAAATGCTAAATTTGATGTTGGCATATAATGAAATGATGAAACTTTTTTTAAGGTAGCTAAGAGCGTTGCGAACTAAACAAAATCTGGGAAATTATAACTTATTTCTTTTGAGGCTGAAAGTTATTAGTTTGTGGATATCATTTCCAAGGAGATATCACAAGAAGTGCAAGAACTGAAATTTTGAGCTCCTTTTGGGAATTTTCAAATATTTTTTTTTTTCAAAATTGGCCAGACAAATTTCATTTCGCCGCAACGGAGTTAGTGTTAAAGTAAAATCAATATAGGTTCTTCACTGTTAATAATTAAAATTAGTCTAACTTACCTGGAAGATATTTGCTCTGATAGTAAAATATTGAATTTGCTAAAAGTAAGTAACTCTTTAAATCATAAATTTGACTTTCCGACTTTTAGTTAATGAACTGTGAAGGAAAATATATTTGAAGAATTTAATAAACTCTCATCTAATTTAATATATAGCTCAATCGTATATAAAAATGCGCCAATAAGTTTAAAAAATCTAAATAATTACCTGTCAATCTACTTCTAAAGCACAGAACAATATATTTGCTCCAAAAAAATTTAGACCTTTCTTATTAAAAGCCGCAAGATAAGTTTTTTGAGCGGAAAACTCTTTTAAAGAAAATCCTTTAGATATACTACAAGTTTTTTTTTTTTTTAGAAACTTTAAACAATAAATTTGCTTATTTTCACCAAGGAAGCCAGATTTTATTTTTTCTGATCATAAATTATTCTAATCGTCATGATCATACAACGCTTTCTGAGATTATGCTAGTCTTTCATAGCACTCGGCAAAGCTTTCCCTGTTCTTTTTTGATGGCGGAACAAGTGGTATAAGATGGAGGGTTTGGCTTATGTTTTGTTATTAAATCACAAGAATTGCGCCGTTGCTCTCATAAAAAATCAAGCAATATGCTTCTTGTATAAAGGTTAAATTCGCAGCTTTACTTGAAGATGGAGAGTTATATTTTAGGATATATTTTTGCATGCCTTTTATTGTATGTGATTTTGAACTTCCAACGTAATTACTCTGGGTATATTAAAATAATTGCTCCCCTTAAGCTCGTTGTTAGGATTTCAACCGCTTTTTTGCGAGATTCAATTTAGTTTTTTCTGTTTTTGAGTCGTGAAAATAATTGTTCCTTTAGTTACACGTTACGAATGAATCTTTGTCGATTTCTCTTCAGAATCGGATCAAATGATTGAAACGCACCTTTTTTAAGCAGTGTTGCGCTGTGAGGATTCCTGTTCTTGAGGCCGCGCAGAGACGAACAGTTCCACCTGTTCCAACGGAATTGGTACTGGCACTCGGCGACGGCTAACTTGAGGCCCTGAAGGGCGACGGCCGTTTCTAGAGGGTGCCGCAGACAGGTCGACGACTGTTCTCTGCTGAGGCCTGGGAAGTCGCGGCAGAGAATCACTCCAGCCCGGCTCATTACTCGAGCTCTTCTTTCTAATCTGCAATCATAATCGCAAATAAAGTAGATCATTACTTTATGAAGCCTAAGCTCAAAAGTTACCCCAGATGAGAGCAGAGGAACTTACAAATTTGTTTGTCAATTTGGAAAGAAATGTACGGAATTATCCTATTGCTTAAATTATTTTAGAAAAAATTGGTTTTAATTTTGGATATCATTTTTATACGCTCAGTTATAATTTTTTATAGGAGAAATGCAGCATTTTCCGTTGAGAATCCCCTATTTGAATTAAAAATTTTATTAACTTTTGCATTCGCTGTTAAGTTGGAGCAGCGTTTCGCGAAATTTGTGTCCACTTTTGGAAGCTTAATAATTTTTATGAATGGTTGAATAGGTAGGAAATATTCAATTTAGGAATCATTTTTAAAAATATTTTATATATATATAAAATACTTTTTACTTCGAATTATTGCTTCCAGACGCGACTGAATACAGATTTAATTATAAGTTATACCGTGGAATGAGATGCCACCCGCATTGAATGAATGCTCCGCGGCACAGTTTCCACTTCTGTGCCAGGCGTACTTGCGTCAAAGTATTTGTTCAAGAGCGTGCATTTATAATCAAGAGCTATTATTATAATGCTATTTTCCAAATAAAGAAATAATTTATTTATTTGAAAAATAACAAAATTATGAAATTCATTTGTAAAATGCTTTTGGTGTAAACACAATTTTTTTGATCTCTTTGATATAGCCAATTATGACTTAATTTCTAAGTGAAATTGTATTTCGGATATCATAATATAGTGATTGAAATTCCCCTTAAGTGGCCACCACTTTTCTCGAATCCACGTTTATGAATAATTTAAAAATTTAAATTTTTAAGAAGTTACTCACTTGTTAGCTAAGGTGGAATTTGAGGGTTGGTGAATAATAGGGAGGTTGGCGGCCAACCCGAGGCCCAGCACAATGCTGACCAAGTGAAACGATATGCGGTACATCTCGCACTAAGCCAGCATCGTCACTGATCCCTCGCAATGATCCGACTTTGTGCGGCGGCTCGAGGGTGACACCCCCAACAGAGATTTAAACGCAAGCGCTCATCACCCTTTGCTTTGCGTTTTGCATCCCTTAATTAGAAGCAGTCGCGCCAAAGCAATGCCGCGCGCATGAAAAAACTCGCCGCCTGTGTAAAAAAAGTTCAAAAAATAAATAAAAGGCTCACTGCAGCGGATGGGGTCTGTTTGATCTTGGAAGTTTAGCAAAATTATTGCTATAGTGCCGTTTTGAAACAATTCAGTTTCCCTCCCGCAATAACTAACTATTTTTCAGTACACAAATTATTTTTATTATTTTGACAAATATAGATACAAATAAATAGGTTTTGTGATTATTAAGGAGAATAACCTACAATTATTAACAAAAAATTTCTATTTAGGGTTGATTCATCGCTTAGTCAATAGAATGTACACAGAATTTATTAAAGTCAATACGCTTTAACAAATTGTTTCATTGAGTTTAAATTCTTTTAAAATACTCTTGGCAGCATAAAATACAGAAATGAAGTGGAAAACTGAAGAGATGATATTCAGGAATTCAATAGACTTTAGAGAAATTAATTTTAAAAAGAAACAAACAACACTATCAGTTTTGGTTGTATTAAATATTTATTTAAACACATAAGTTGTATTAAAGGACTCCTTATTGACATAGCCAGATTAAGTCGCTAACAATGACGAGGCTACAATGTCAAATTTTTTTTCCTCCAAAAATTGTTGAGAACGGTTACTGTTGTTGCAAAAGTTATTGCTTTGACAATATAATGGACTCCTTATTGGCAAATTCTCACAACAGTAGAAGCCAATTTTTGTGATTGTAGTGAAATTTTAACTCCAATTGTTGCAAACACAAATTGAAAAAAATGTATCCTGCATTCATTATAGTCGTTTATAATTTAAATTGTATGATAAAAATTTAAATTGCACAAAAACTTATAAACATTTATTTAGAGAAATTCAAGCAAACATGGTGTTCTTTCAAAATTGGGAGAACGAGCCAACTAACAGTGCTTGTGATTGATTGGAGCAGAGGGTGATCTTTATTGGGTCATTAGGGCACCAGCCGCGCGCGGCGGCTGGTTTATTTAAGACGTACCTTTAAGTACATGCATTGTGCTTATGGGAGAAGAAGTTCCTCTCCCATTTGATTGTGAATAGTTTTTTTTTTAACAAAACGTATACAAATACCCAATATGTAATATTGGAATTGATTAATTTTGCACTTGTTAATTCTGAGTCCGTCGGGCCGAAAATCACATAAATTATTTTTCTCGCAGATTTGAGTGGGTCGGCGCCTTTTCCCACGGTACTCATAGTCGACCGCGTGCTGCTGCTGATCGTCATGTTGATGCTCCTCCAGATGGGTCAATGGAATGCCACCAAAACCTGCTTCTGCTGCTATGGCCGTTGCCTACCTTTCAGTCAGATGCTCCGATAACACGCATCGCATGGCATCAAATGTATTATGTTATTCGGCCGACGATTTTTATCCGGTCTCGCGCGACGGCTGAGCAGGTGAGCAGCACTTAACTCATTTCTCCTTGTAATACTCGCGGCGGCGGCAGTCTCGCTTTTTACCTCCGCCCGCAAAGTGAATTTTGTCAGCGTGTGAGAAATCAAACCAATTCTCTCCCAAGCAAATTGTGCGTAAAATTGCTTTTATATGCCGCGGTTTTTTTTAACTTATTCACTAAATTTTAGTAAATAACCCATTTTAATTGTAGCGAGAGTTAAAATTGAAAAATTTGACAGAGAAAAGTTATGTTGTTGTTTAAAATTTGGTTTGTAAATATAAAATTGTTCATTGTAAATTTTTTTGCTCCCTTCTTTTAAAATCTAACAACAACCTATGGATTTAAAAACAAATTTTCAAACAAAATTCACAATTAATTTATTTAACAAATATTTTTGGAGCCTTTAAAAAAAATTAAATTAATTTCTTTCCGACTGATCAAGCACGTTGAGACAAGCACTGAGTAACAATACTAATATGAGAGACAAAAATAACAAACACACACGGCTGCGGCAGTAGGATCGGTTTTCGTTCTTATAAGTTCTTATAATACGGTCGAGGCGATTAGTCTTTTTCTTTCTCTTTCACGGGCTGCTGCTGAGAACTTTTAAATCCCCGGTGGAACAAGTGGTGCTGTCAGTGTGGATATTAAATTAGTGTTAATTTGTCAGCATGACTACTAAATGAAATTTATATAACCTGCTGAAGGATGGGAGAAATAAAATGTCACTTCATTTGCATAAAACCATACAAGCGTATCATTCGATTAAAAAATTCTAGGTGTGGTGGTGATTCACTGGCCAGCCGGCCTGTCCGCAAGTGCTCGCTCATAAAAGCAGCCAAATGAAATATGAAGTGACTTAAAAACGGCTGCGCATTTTTCATCATAAAATATCACATTATTCCAAGCCGGCTAATGCACGAACGCAAAATTAGCCAGGACGACAGCGATCGATTGTGAATTTATCCTCGTAATAAATATTTTTTTTATCTTAGGTTTACGTTTTATTAAAAAATTCAAATGTCACAATGCGATAATATGTTGAAATGAGTATGTTATTCATACTAGCGAGATATTTAATTTAAAAAAAGCGTTAAATTAGTATAAATTGTTTAGAAGTTCATTTCGTGAGATCAGATTCATAGTGAGAAGAAAGCAAGTAACAATTGCTGTAAAAATAATTATTTATTTATAATTTTTACTTTTGTTTCAATCTATGACTTCAACATGCAACAGAATCGCAACAGAAATGACACAATTTGCAAATAAAAAGTTACATCTGTTAATATTTGTATATAAATTGGAAAATAATTTAAACCCTTTTTCATCTGACCTTTAATAAAAGCATAGATTGTATTACGTCAATTTCTTCCAAATTCATTACATTAATTAAAAAATAAACTTATTTATTACTTAAAATTAAAAAGAGACCAAAGTCAACGACTTATATAGATTAGGGCCTGAATGAGAAATATGAATTAAAACATTTATAGAGGGAATCATATGTCAACGACATTTTCGAGCTATTAATATATTGTGGTGTCTGCGAGTTTAGGGCTCTTCTTTTTGTTCGGTGAAAATAAATGTGCGCGGCTGACACATTCAAGGATCGCTCTCTGTGCGTATATAGCTATGTTTGCGCGTCGCGCAGACAACCAACCGATAATGCATGGACTTTTAAGTGTTTGATAAAAGGACATGCGAAATATGCCGAGCAGTAAAACCTTTTTTCCCTCAATCAACCTTGCCAAAATGATAATGCGCAACTCTGGCTCTCTGTCTTAAAAGCCAGGACTTAATCCTCGCTGCCGTGCGCGGCCATAGGAAGCTTAATGCACACCACACACGCTCGCACACATAAATATAAATTCACTCGCTTCTAAATTTTATATTCGTGCGCTTTTTCACTTCGCCAGCCGTGAATTTATTTGCCGCTGTCCGGCCGCTAAATTTTTGACGCGATGCTTTTAAAACCATATTATTACCCAAAGTGCTCGCGCAAAATTAATTGACGATTTTAGCCACGCATTCAAACACATTCTTTCAACCCAAATCCCCGAGTTCATCTAAAATTTGAAATTCCAAAATTTTTGTTTCATATAAATAAATTTTTATAAAAATAGTTGTTTTAAATTAAGAAATTTTAGTAAAAAATTTAAACCTCTTTTTTTAAGGATTTCTTTAAATAAATAAATTAATTATTGAGAATGAGTTATTTTTCAACTAAACATGAAAAATAGAAGGAAATCGCATTGGGAATGTATTATCCATTATTATAGCGATCCTTGTTGAACAGAAAAACATTGTTAATGGCTTATTTGCCAAATTGTTAAAAATTTTACTTACTAAGTAGTTTAAAATAATCCATTGCTACAGAGAAAACGGCCCCAGTTTTATCAAGAATTGTTCTAAAATTGCTAAAATAAAAATACTCCAATCCGCCGCAGTGAGTCTCTTCAGAAAACTGAAAGTAATTTGTGCGCATTCTTATGTATTTTTTATATCAACTAATCTCTCCTTTGGTTATTTTTATATTATACAGGGCAAAAAATTGCTCTGGAATATTCTTCGATGTTCTTTGCTGAAGTTTACTTTGTCATGACATTACGACATGTAATTTAACTTCATAAAATTCAATGCCGCTGCTTTACTTAAGGGCTCAGCGTAATATTCCGCAGAATTATATACAACGAAAAGCGGCCGAAAATAGAAAAGAAAAAACTCGTTGGCATCAAGAAAGAATGAAAGACCCTGGTGAATAAAATCGCGGAGAGGCCGGAGCAATTATTTGGTAGCCGCGCATAGCTGGAATATTTAAAAAAAAGCAGCAAAGACACACGGCAGCACCTGAAACAAAAGCTCCTCTTGGCTTGAAGGATGGACAACATTCCTGATGCTCGCCAAATAACAGCACATGCAAGTAGTTGTATTTCATTATTCGTAATTTTATTATTGTATATACTGCCCGGCGCATACCATCTCATTTTATTTTTTATCCTCTTGATTCAGTTTATCTTCGAGGACAAATAGAAATTTACTGAAGTATTCCCTTAATATAGAAAATATATCAATTCATACAGAATCCCTTAAAATCCTAGAAAATTGAAAAGGCCAAATCGCCAGATGATTTTTTAGCAAGCATTTGTTAAAGGACTGTACACTTTGAATTCATAGAGGAGTGCACCGGCCATTAGAGCTGAAAAAAAAATTTATTTTTTACTATATTTTATTTTAATAATTTTAAGAAAGAAAAAATTGTCATAAAATAAACTTGGATCTAGGAAAAAAAAGTACAAATTAAAATCAGTAGATTCTAAAGCATACATAGCAGATTAATTGTAGTTAATTGTAAACCCTTTCTTCTCTTTTTTCCAATTTAAAATTTTTGTGTTGACCGAGAAGAATAATTAATAATAATTTCACATGCAAATTTAATTATTTTATATTAATTATTGAGTGGAATGTTGATGTGGAAAATGAATTTTAACGCACTTGGTCTTAGGAAACATGTATAGGAATGGGAGAATGCATAATTATATCAATTTAAAATCTTGAAATTTTTTGAATAAATTATTAGGATGAAGTTTTACTCTCCAGATTTTCAAATCTGTAAATAAATCTATATCAGATCTGGAAAATGATGGCTCAGCTCGGCACGATCTCTGGTGGTTTGTGGAAAGCCTTCTGGAAAAATAAGGATCAGGCTGAAGGCTTTACAGGATTTTATTCCGCCTTCAGAGAAATGGAGATTTTAAATCAAGGAGCAAAAGAATAATTATTATCAGAATTTGAAACCAAAAGGAGAATTTTTGAAGGCGGCTGATACAGAATACAAGTCATGTATGTCATGAGGGAGACAAGTAAAGTGATTTGTGATGCCAACGACCCTTGCCCTTAATATACCTGTGTTTACTGATATAAGCTTTGGTTTGGTGTAGTTGATAGTGGGGTGAGACAGGGTCGGACAAATTGAATTGTTCTAAAATCCAATAGTACAATACGTGAAACATGGCATTTTACAAGTCATGAACAAATAATTTAATTTCTTTCGAAATGAGTGGGCTAGAAAAAATGGCCATACATTTTTCCAGGAGTCCTATTGCCAGATTTGCTTATCTGCAAATCTGGCAATAGTGAATCCGGTCCTCAAAATTGTATATAGTACATGGCACAAAAAATAAACGCGAAGAAAATTTCAAAAGTATCACAAACGTGAAAATTACAAAAGTTAAATCTCTCTATAATATCAGAACAGGAAAAGATCAGGAGAAATCTTTTGATACGTGATATAAGATCGAAAAAAAAGCAAAACATACATAAAAAGATCAGTGCACGTACATACATACGGTTGGGCTTTTTGTCGGCACAAAACAAAGCGAATAAGAGAGGGAGACGACGGCTAGGTGAGCGAAAGGATTGAATCAGTCGTCGGAAGGTAGGGGTAGGCGCGAGGGGAAGGCGCTCGCGGAGCGGTTGCTCGGTGCTGGCGGTCGGCGGCGCGAACGCTCTCTCGTCCGCGCTCAAAGCGCAATTCACGGAAAAATACAGGGGGACCGGTCGGCCCCGATGAGTCCTGCTGACTGGACGGCGCCCCCGCAACACTCGCCGACGACGCTGCTGTGCATGGCCTGTTGTCAGTGAGCGAGCCATGGACCTCAGGTCCCTCGTCATCTGCATCATCCTCGTCTCGCCCGTCACCGGACTCTGGTGGTAAGTCCAGCTCGCATCAACCCCTCTTTTGTCACCCTTTCTTTCCCTTCGCTAAGTGAATTAAATATTCCCGAAGTTTCTCTACAATTTGTGGGGTTCAGTTTGAACATTGGTTTCAATTGTGAATAAATTTGAAATAAATTTTTTAACAGGTATTACAAAAAATCTATATTTTAAGAAAACAGAAAACGAAATTCGGCCGCGACGCTTATTCGTAATAAGTCTCCAAACCGTGGACTGACATGCTTCCCATAATGTACTGCGGCACAGCTTCCACTTCTTTGCAAAGGCGTACTTGTTGTACATACACAAATTTTGTTATTATATATTTTATTCATGCCGGTAGTAATTACTAGTTTAATACATTAAAAATTTGTTGTTATTTCAAATATTTTATATCACATTCAATCCATTCTAACATATTAGCTCAAGAGCCCTGACGTCCATAGGGAGAGTGGGCTTACTATGATATTTGATATAAATAGTTTCGGCACACGCTCTTTATCGTGGAGCCGCGATGCCACTACAAAGAATTGCAAAAATATTTAAAAAATTATTTTATAATAAATAAAAAATTAATAAATAAATTATATAATTTTTCAGGAAAAAAATAACATTTCTCATTCTTTTAAGATTTAAAATATAATACAAGTTATAAAATTGTTATTTTAACATGTTTTAAAAATATTTATTATGCAAGCAACTTATATTTTCATAATAAGCATGAATTTAGGCGTCATCAAGGGACGTTTTTAATATTAATTTATGTGTAAAATTTAATTACATTTTTATTTTCCACAATATTTATGCTTCACAAAATATTTCAGTAATAATTTTTATGGAATAATATAATAATTTTAAAATCAGAACAATTAGGTTTTTAATCACAATATATGTAAATAATTATGCAACGAAATAAATACGAGATTATTAAAAATTAAAAATACAATGCGGTCTTTGCGCTAGAGCTGAGGGTTTTTGAAAATCGTGCGCTTGCGCTCCGCTCGGGTGTATAGTCGTCTCTGCTCTCAGGTCTCATCTCTAGGTTTCTAGGTCACATCTGTGAAGTTGTAAATACGTTTCATTATTTATATTTCGTACTCATGAAAAACACAAAGACCGATTTAGAAATTTTTCTACTTGTTCTGGAAATTTGGAACTTACTTTTTATGATTGATTTTGGCAACTTTTGAATAGCGTCACCAACCGTGCAGGAACGCGATCAAAGCTAAATTTCAGATTCAAATTTTTAAATCAAGGCAGATTTTTGAGCCACGTAAGGAAAATTCATCCCCTGTCCAATTTCAAATTGATATGAAATTGATAAGGGTTCAATTGAAATTGAAAATATTAAATTGCATTTTACGAAACATTTGTTAAATTATCCAACATAAATTATTACATTGAGCAAGACAATTCATATCACTTAAGAAGCTATCCTCGGACGCTTGGTGCTCTAACTTGAGGAGCTTGTGCGGCATCAGGTTGAGCGCCTTGGATCAGTCGAGGATGTATAGCTGCCGTTGCTGACCTCGAGGAACTCACTCAGCCAAATCTTGAATAAAAAGCTTGTCTGTTTCTTAACTTAAGGCGGTGATGCTGAAGGACCGGTATTTACTCACGTCCCTTAATTTTACTGCTGTCCTTCTGGATTGGGGTCAATTTGAAGATCAGGGCGGATGGCGACGACATAGTTCCTCGCTGGTAGTGGTTTGGACACCGCCCAGGCCAGCATGGGCAATCAGGGATGAGGGCGTGAATCATTTCAAAAAGGGGAAGTATTGCCAGCCGATGAGACTTGAAGACATCATTGAAGATTTGAAGGGCTTAAATTATGATAAGATAGAGACTATATAGGTTGATTTTGAAACTGTCTGCGTCGTTTAGGACAATGGGCTAGGAATTTATGTAGTGCTTAAGTAACATTGATAAAGGAAATAAAACGAAATTAATAACATTAATGTCAAAATTTTTAAAATCATCTCAATCATCTATTCAGGTCCATCTAGGAGGGGGAGGGGTGATTCTATATTCTATTTGTCTCAACGCAATTTATAGAATTATTTTTGTATTCAAAAAAAAAGAAGTGCAAAGGAGCATAAACTAAGTTACTGGCAAAATGTTGAAGCACTTAAACCGCCTTTTGAGCAATTTAGATTAGTGACTGTTTACTCTTAATTGTTTTATGCTCTGGAGTATTCATATTCGTAGTTTGTGCGGACATTTCCTAATTAAAGCATTTCAGTTAAACGGCGTTATTCTCAAGCTCTCTCTTTTTTAAATTGAACAAAAATTATTTATAATAAATAATGAAACTGAATCAGAATGTAAAAAATGTTTAGCTCTTTTCTTAATTTACTGTTTCATTAAGTTTTTCTTTATTAAATAACTCTAGCATTATCAATTTGATTGATTTTCAATTTTGAAATTAAAATATTCATGCCAATATATTTGCATAGGAACTTATGAATGACAAATATTTTTATCTGAATTGGCTCATGTGCTCATTATATGAAGTAGATGAAAGCATATTTAGAAGTTTTAAATTCAATTCAAAACCAAACGTGAATTAATTTTTAAATAAAATAAAAACGCTTCACGGTTGTGTCAAATAATTTACCAAACAAGAGCAAATCTTTTAAATCTTTCACGGCCCCCCAAGAGCTCTTTTTCTCGAATTTCATGACGCTGAGGACCGGCTTATTTGGGCTCAATGAGTCAGATGGTCGGAGCGAGGTTGCTGCTGGAAAAAGACAATGCGTGTCAATAATTTGTGGTGGATAATGAGGTGTCGGACACGTCACTGGGGCGGTCGTTCCTCCAAAATTAGAAACGGCCAGCGCGCTCTTGCAGCATTTGGCGCCGGGGGTTTTAAAATTCGGGGGAAAATTGATGCTGCGCGTGAAAGACGCACTTTAAAAACAAATAAAGTGCGGCCCAAAACTCAATGGAGTGGCCGTTAGTGTCAGGGAACTCGAAAAAACCAAACGTGGTCCTGCTCAATTTCCTCGAGAGAAACAATTTATGTCGCTCGGCTGAGACGCGCCACACATGCAGAGGCTGGATTTTTTAACTTTACAACTATCTTGATGCTGCTGTGGGAACTTTCTAGGTGGATTATATTTAAATATTAGCCAGCTTAAATTTTACAATTATACTGTGGATATAACAAATAATAAAACGTCTTGATTAAACTTTGATATGAAGAGGTCTTTGAGGCGAAGTCTAAAAAATTAGCAATAACGTTATTTTTTAGTTTTCAATTTATTTGGTTAATCTTTCAAGGCACATTCATTTCATTTTAATTCTTTTTGCCGAAAGAAAATTTAATGTGCATCTTTCCCATATTATGTGAAAGAGCAAAAATCAATCATTCCTTTTGGAATAATATGTGACTTCAGGATACGGATGCGAGGGATTTACAGGCCGGACGTTCATAAGAATTAAGTTTATTCTTGTTAAACCGTGAAATGACCTGCCACCCGCCTCGAACATCAGTACCGCGGCACAGCTTCCACCTCTGTACAAGGTGTAATTTTGTAAAATAAATTCAAATGTTTATTTGTAAATCTCTACATTCTCCGTTCATTTCCAAAAAATATATTAAAAATTAAAAACATGCGATTTAGTTGCATTGGTGCTCCCTTATCCCCCTTCATGGCTCTAATAGGGTATTTTTTTTGTTCATTCTGTATTAACTTTGTTTAAAGGCTTTAAATTAAAGCACCACAAAACTGATCACTTTATTGAATTCAGGGAGTGGTTTTAATTTTGGGCTGTTATATGTGAGCTGTTCATAGGACGCAACTTATATAAAATATCAAATTTATTGCTGAAAATAATATATTTATTTTAAAATTTACTTTTTATTGTGGGAAAATATTTAATAAAACATAAAATAAGAAAAGAATTAATGAACTAGGAGCCGATCACTGCATGAACCCCATTTCATTTCTAACATAAAAAAATGGTAAAAATAATTTCATAATTTTTCCTTATGCTAAAAAAGAAGAAAAAAATAAGGCAATTAACTAATAAATGTTAGAGCATCAGATTGCAATAATTGCAATTACATTTTGCAAAATATCAATTCATTCCCTGCTGCTATTTTTTTATGATGACTTTTATAATTCCAAGACATCGCAAAGCTGACTAAAAAAGAAAAACTTTTCTGCCCGACAACATCCGCCTTAAGTACTCTTGAATGTATAATCAAAAAAGGCTAATTTGCATTCAGCGTCGAGTCGATTTATGTTTGCAATTACTCGGAGCTCATTTCACGCTTGATTTCGCGCGACCATCAAGTCCTTAGGCTGCGGCCTTGCTACGGATATGTTGACAGAAAGTGAGAAAAATAAACGAGCTGAAAGCAAACACGGCGGCGCGCACTTGATGTATTTAATATCGGTGTCATTGTTTTACAGCGGGCCCGAAAAGCACACTTCCCTCACTTTCCTTCGGTTTTTCGACGCAAACACACAGGAAAGCACACCTTGCAGCGAGAGACACAGGAAGGGCACCGAGGTAGCTGCCTATTTATTTTTCATTAAGGCTCGTTCGAACCGGAACAAATATATCAAATCATTTTTCTCACGGACCCCACTCAAAAAGATTGCGATGCTTCAAGCTTTTAAGAAACGGATTGCATCTAAAGCTCATTATTACACTAAATTGCAGTTAAGTAATTTTGTAAAAAGTAGAAGCTAAATAAATGAAATAAAATTAAATAATGTTTTGACTTATTTGTACTGAGCTGCTTTGTGAATTTTGAACGAGTAATCAGTGTATTAACTAAATGGAAACGCAATTCGATTAAATTGTGATTTTATCCTGTGAAGAATGTAAACATGTAGAGCAGAGCAGGACATAGTTTTTTTCCGGTTTTTTCGATGAAACAATAAACGACTAAAAAATCCCTTGAGGAAAAGCTCATTTTAAATTAAATCGCCAAGAATCAACCCTTAATTGTGAAAGTCTTCCAAAAAATGCATTTTTGTTTCAATCTTGTTTCTTCAACTAGCTTGGGTATGCAATTTTGAAAAAAGATTTCTGTTCTTTCTTTTGTTTTTCTACATTTTTCCTGATTAAACAAATAAATAAAAATAATTAAAAGTTATTTGAATTGACATAATTTTATAATTTGACTATTTCTTTAATCTTCATGGCGCTTTCCAATCTGGTATATTTTTATTTTATTCCAATTAGGCTTTCTTGACACTCAGAAGCCACAATTTTTTCCAATTAGACCAAAATTTTGAAGAAATTTTCCAGGAACTTTATTTTTGGGTTAAATATTTCTAGACTATTACGATTTCGGTTAGAATTCTCTATTTCATCTGTATTTGTGAAATTTTACGCAACTTTGATCAAATATCTCATTGACAGAGTAAGATTTTTTCCTCCTCTTGTTTTTTTTTCACTAGCTCTCAATGTGTAAACTTCAGTCTTCGAGGTTTACGAGGTTATACTATTTGTATTTTTCTCAAAACCGATTCTATAATTCTTGTTTCAAAATTTACGATTCGTTCTAGTTTCTGAGAAAAGCAGACGGAAAAAGTGCCAGGATGCATTAAAAAGAAAGTGCAAGCGGGGCGAGTGGGAACAATTTGTTTTCGCAGCGCAGCTAAATCTCGGGGTGGTGACTTCACCTCTCTGATAGATGGGTGTCAGCCGAATTCGCACGAAAAATTTCCAGCCAACTCGTAAACACACTTCCATCAAGTGTGGCGCAATGCCTCGCGCGCTCTTTCTTTTTATTGCCGGCGCGTACAAACTCGGTCCGTCCGTCCGTCCGCGTGTCTGCTCGGCGCGTCTGTCCATCACTGCGGCCGGATCAGTCATTCGCCGTAACATGATTTACGTCTCGCAAAGCGCGCTTCTTATGCGCGATATGAGCGCCCAACGTCGCGACATTGATAAATAAACGCTCCTTTGCAGCGCGCACGTGTTCTAATATCAAACTGTCTGGAACGCCTAGAGCTCATTCACGCTTTTATTGCTCGCCGCACTCTGGCAATTAGTCTCACACAAAAGACAAATTGAATGTGCTGAAGATTATTAATTCATTCCTCCCAAAAGCTCGAAGGTTCAATAAATTTAAGTCAACTTTACATTACTCCAGTAAAAATAATAGATAATAGTTTTTTTTTTTAGAAAACCATTTTTTTTCTTCAAAATTTGTTATGTGCTATTTTAATGTAAATAGAAAAATTATATACTTTTATTTGATTTATCTTCTCTTGTGAAATAGTGCATTTGGCTATTATTTAAAAACAAAAAAATTCTCTACACGGAGTCCCTGTTTAATCTAGTAATAAACTTCATTTTAGTGCCTCTTTCTGCGGATGCTTCTCATATCAATACATATGGATGAATTTATGTTGAAATTTTGAGTTTCAATCTTCCATCCAAAGCGATAACACAGTTTTCGATTTTTTTTCTATGAATATCTTTTCTTTATTAAAAATAAAATATTGAATCGTTTGTTTTATGCATATAATATATTTCAATAATTTGTTTAAATTGTAGTTTCAATGATGTTTATTTATTTATTATCGGGCATTCTCTGCCCAAATAGACAATCCATAAATTCAATTTGTTATAATTTTCGATCAGTTAATTTAAACTCGAAAACATAAAATGAATCGCTTTGTCATTTGTTGGGGAAATTATATAATTCAGCACTTCTTGTTTCGGTTCTCTTTTATAATTATTCACATCGTCAAATCCACAATTCGCAGCTCAGTGTTTTATGGGACCACTTAAGACGGAGACCTTGCGGCTCAGCTGTTGACAGACGTGGGCAGCCGGCGCTGCCGACAGAACCACGCCATTCGCACGGCGGCTCTTAATGAGCCAAGAATAAAACCGCCGCCGCCGCCTTTAGACTGCGTGGTGTCGATGATAATAAAAACAAATCCGGCTCGCTCGCTCACTCGTGCGCGGCATTTGCCAAAAATGTATCAAAATGAAACTCCATTAGTTTTTGCTTCTCGAAAGTGCTTTTAGTGAACATTCGGAGAAGGAAATTAACAAACTTGTTCGAATTTATTTTTCTTTTGCTCGGTCCTGAGGAAAAAAACTATTTGCATCTTCAATCAAATAAAGAGTTGCGTTTTGTGTGGCATTGTGTGTCTGGTCGAGCAGACGCAACGTTGCTCAACTCAGTCAGGCAGGGGACCCTGAGCACCAGGTCTGGGAGGGAATGGAGGCGTTGCTCAGGCACCAAGCGTTCGCCAATCGCGGCGCCTCGCTCGGCCGCCGGACCCTGACGCAACCACGCCTGTTTGACCGACACGCCGGCCGCTAATTTTATTACACTTTACTACTTAGGCTCATTATTCATTAATTTTCTCACGATTCAAATGTCGCATGGCATCGATTTAATGCTCGAATTATGATGTCGAGGCGGCACCAAGTTGTCAGATACGGTTCTCACGCGCTATTGCTCCGGTATGGAGATTAATTGCTGTCGTCAAAATCGAAATTTCCTTTCATTATTAATAAATTAAGCATGCAAAGATGACAACAATAAATTTTAGCACATTGCTTTTAAAAATGATCAAATTTGATAAAATTTATTTTAAAATCTTTGTTGAATTTGGTGATCCCGGATGTTCCAGGGCCGTGAGCAACCAAGTTTTGGCCGACCCGCACGTAATCTGCCGCCGGACAAAGCGGCTGCGACCACGACTGGCTGACACGTGCCGCAAAGAGCCTGGCCTGGTGAAGGAGTTGGCGAAAGGGGCTCAGCTGGGAACCAAGGAGTGTCAGTTCCAGTTCCGCAACCGCCGTTGGAATTGCACCACCGCCAAACGGAGCCTCAGAATGGTCTTGATGAGTGGTACGTTTAACCAAAGTTTCAGTTTTAAAATAAATTATTCATAAATAATTTCTAATTTATAAAAAATATAAATATTTTTTTATACAATATTTTTACTTTATTATTATTTATAATTATTTTAACCAGATACAAGAGAGAGTGGCTTTGTGAACGCCATCACCGCGGCAGGTGTGACTTATTCGGTGACCAGGGCGTGCACCACCGGTTCCTTGTTGGACTGTGGCTGTGAAAAGAAATCAAAAAGTGAGTTCTTGAAAAATAATAATTTTCCCAAATAACTCGATAATTATTCTCCTTTTGATTTGAAGATCGTGCGAGTAACACTATAAGCGCGGAGCACGCGACTGCCCTGGCGGCGGCCGCCACCCCCAAGCAGCAGCACCGCCTCCACCAGCCCAAGGGCAAGGGCCTGAAGCGGAACAAGCAGCGCAAACTGGCCGCTCTGGATCAGCCAGAGAACTCGGCCAACTCGGACTGGGAGTGGGGAGGCTGCGGCGACAACATCAACTACGGTGTCCGCAAGTCCAGGGAGTGGATGGACGCGCCCTTCCGCAAACGCAGCGACATCAAAACGTTGGTGATGCTGCACAACAACGACGCTGGGAGACTGGTGAGTTCACAAGTTCAAAAGAATATTGCCCTAGAGCAGCTCGTTTTCGGCGCAGGCGGTGAAAAACCACATGAGGCTGGAATGCAAGTGCCACGGTCTGTCAGGTTCCTGCACCCTGAAAACCTGCTGGAGCAAGATGCCAGCTTTCAGGGATATCGGCAACAGGCTGAAGGACCACTTCGACGGGGCCATCAAAGTGCTGCCATCTAACGACGGAAGGAGCTTCATGGCGGCCGGCGACCCTTCCATTAAGCCACATGGGAGGGAGGACATTGTAAGGATTTTATTTTTTATTTCACATTTTTCTTCTTCTTATAACTGAATTTTAGTTAAAAAAGCTTCCGATTTGAATAAAATTGGTACAAAAGCTTGAACGGGAATCAAATTTATCAAGATTGTGTGCCATATTTAGGCAACCCGCTAATCCTGCATGTCAAGAATTGGTCTATTTAGCCCATTTCAGGTGTTTTTTTCGTGCTTCACAGACTTATTGTCACAAAATGTTGTCAAATTTGGTCAGTTCAAGCCCAAACATTGCTCTTGTATCCAATTTGGAAAATCTCTTTTTGTAAAACACTTTCTTTTGCAGGGTAATTTATGTTAACCCTTCGTGTACTTTTTGTGCAGGTCTATTCGGAGGACTCGCCGGACTTCTGCACTTTCAACAACCGCACCGGCTCGCTGGGAACGCAAGGCCGGGTGTGCAATGGCAGCAGTGCGGGGGTCGGCGGTTGCGACCTGCTGTGCTGCGGCAGAGGTCACGACTCCAGGTACATCAAGGACGTGTTCACCTGCCGGTGCCGCTTCAAGTGGTGCTGCAATGTGACCTGCGAAACTTGTCAGGAACGGCGGCCCCTTTACACGTGTCGATAGGCTTATCTTTGATCTTGTCGAGCCACCGAGAGAAAATACGTAAAAATTGAATTAAAAATATAAACCGACGAGAGTGAGCGGCGAGTTGGGATCTGTGCGCGAATGGCGAGTCACTAGAATTTAGGAATTTGCATAAGGAGTATAGATAAATCGCTTTTGTGCATGACACTATCAAACAGACAAAAGTGCCTATAACACCTTCCGCTTGCTGTTTGTAGAAATTAAATCTGTCGACGTAATTTTTTATGATTATATACCTATATTTATGTGATCATTCGATAATTAGCAAATCTGAGAGCAATTTATTTTCAAAAAGTGGGATCGTTCCTGTGCCCTTTGATTGAACTGAAATAATCTTAATAACTTTATAAGGTTTAGTATAGAATGGATTTGTGAATTATTGTGATTGTTGGGAAGAGCGGATGCACCGCGGCGGCCGTGCGTTTCTTTGATGTCGGTCATTTTAGCAAACATCTGCTAGTAATTGTGACACACTTTCTTCTCTCTTTAAAATTTTTGTATGGACTGAGAGGAATTAAATAATAAAGATTTAAAAACATTGGAGACAAATATGAGCTTGAAATAAAAAACAGTTCTACCTGTTTTGGTCTGCAACCCTCTCCCAATCACTCATTTTTTTTTTTTAATTTTTATTGAGCTGGACTTTATTTACTTGGCGACCTGCAATGTTCTAACACTTTCATTCTGGATTTGTTAAAAAAAATGGTTCAACAATTTTTGCAAGTTTTCGTATTATTTTTCTTACTCATCACAGTGACCAAAACTGGTAGAATTGTTACAAAAATGGACAAGTAAAAAGCGAGCTTTTTACTCCAATAACGTGTCTACAAGTGCAACTCCTTCTCTCAAATTAAGAATATTTTATGTCTCAACGTTTGTGCTGTTTATAACAATAAAGGGCCATATTTTATGCTAAAATTTTTTCTTTTTAGATTCAGAAAGGAAAAGGCAGATCCCAGTGTCACTATTTTTAATTAGGGGTACTTGAAAAAAAATCAGTCATCTCTTCTTTCTCTGAAGAAGGAAAGGAAACTCGGCAAATCGGTACTAGATAATTGAATTGAAGTCAAATTCATAATTTAAATTTTGATTTACTTTGGACTTTGGGGATTTTTTATATTTATTGAATACAATTTCAACATGAATTTATTTTATACGTTAATGGGAAAAAATTTAATTTATTTATTTGAGTGCTGCCAAGATTGCTGGAGATTAGGTTGGATGGCGTATTTTTTTCACGCACAAGAATCTCAAATTAGCTTATGAATGAGCGTGTCGCCAGAATAAATAATCCCCTTAGAATTCTGGCGAGTATTATTTTGAAAATGGAGCTGCCAGCAGTTGAGAGGAATTTCCTATTCAGCCAAGAGGCGGGTAATTTTCCACGGTCGTGTGTGTTTTTATGGACTATGGCATGCCGAGTGTATTAAATAAAAAAAGAGAAAATTTCCTTGTGCATAGCATGAAAGATTGTGCGCGAGAGAGGTGTATAAATAAATTTTGAGTTATAGAGCTATCAGGTTATTTGAAGTAAGATTGGATGAGAAAGACGTGTAATTAGTTGGGTGGGGAGCCATATCCTACCAGTATGGACCACCCAGGCTCTTGGGTGTGAAACAACCAATCCACTAACACCTTGCCCGCACACCTTGCAACTCGGCTAATAAATAAACACCAGGAGGCTTCCTTTAGGGTAGAACAACTTATTAAACGCGCCGGAATTTAATAACACGGGGGGCGCTCGGCTCGGCATTTATGATGTGCGTCGGCCCCGCATGTTGGCCCTTTCGACCAAATTCTCCGAAGAGCCCCTCCGCACCTTCGATGCCCATGGCGACCTTGTTATTTTTTATTAGAAAGTTTCATAACAAAATATTTATACATAAAAATGCCAAAGATCCATTAAGTTTGTTAAGAGCAAGATTAGATTATTTTTGCTGGAGACAAAATTTTCACCTGGTCTTTCTAAATTAATTATATCTTTATAATTGTCCATCCCTCTTGGTAATGGCGGCAGCTGAAGAAGTCCAGGGCAAAATAGATAATTCAGCCTGCATGGTGGCTCCTACCTGGGCCATTGGATAATACAGGTTGGAGTTTAAAGCCAAGGAATTGGAAGGTCAAGCGGCTGACGCTGCTGTAGAGTGGGAATGTCCACATGAAACAAAGAAATGCATCCGAAAAATAATTATTTTCGCAGTTTCGCAAATTTTTTTTATCAAAGTATATTTCATTAAAAAGTATAAAAACATTTAAATGGCAGCTTTTGAATTTCGTCGGACTAGAAAAGTATTTTGTTTTGTAATAAAATAAAAAGTAGGCAAAAAAAAACTTTCACTTTGTCTATTTTCCGCTCATTTAGAAAAGTGAAAATTCCTTTTATCAAAAGTAAAAATATGATTAAACCCTGGAACAAGATTTTATTGTAGAACTCAGAAGAACTAAAATTTTGCTTAAAAATTTTAAAATTTTCAAAAAAAAATTGATTTTTTATGATGATTTTTAATATGGTAGAAATAAAACTTATACCAAGAGCTACTTCAAGGTGAAATTTGTGCGTTTAATGAATGCTCTCACGTACGACATTGGGCTTTTAAAAAACGTAAAAAATGACAGCAGCAGTGCACATCTGCCAGGCGTACAACCGCGGTCGGTTGCTAATATTTTTCATTAAATCGTCCAAGTATTGCTAAAAAACTGCACAGCAATCCTTTTAAAGCACAAGCACCAATATCAATATAATATATTAATTAAATAAAAGACGATGATTTCATCTGGAAAACATGAACTAAAAGCGCATTATTAAATAATTACAATGTTATTATTTTTTTGGGACTACTTTTTCTTGAAAAAAAAGTTGTAGAAAAACTTGGTGAAATAAGTATGCAGAAATGCATCGATAACACCTCTCAGCCAAAGCAGATTTTCCCTGAGATGGGAATCCATTATGCATAATGACTGCGGAATTAAATGAGAATTCTCCTTAAAAATTCGTTTTATTAAAGCAAATGGAAAATGTAAAAAAGTATGTAATACGAAATTGGTCAAATTTCTGAAACTAAAGCAGCTTTATTTTGTAATTAAAATTAACCAAAAACAAATATATAACAATAATAATTGTTATATCATCAAATTATATCATGAGTGCTTGCAATATAAAATATAATTCAACCTTAAGTTCCAAAAGTTAAGAAAATTATACAATTGACAGACAAATTTTTTTTATAATTATTATGAGGAACATCAACAAAGAGATTTTCTCGCGGGCTTTTAACATCTCGAGAAAATATCTTAATAGAATATCTCGCAATATAATAATAAAAGTTTAAACACATGTTGAGCGCGTGTGTGTATTTTCTGTAAGTATATACTCGGTGATCGCGTGAAACAATTCACTTATTATGGAGCCGCCACACAGCAAAGCGTTCTCAAATAAACTAATAACCATCGCCGCAATTAATCACCCATCGGCGTGGAATTAATATTAAATATCTGCTTGAACTCGGCGGTGCGTGGGCGGTGCGCATGCTGTCGGAAAGGAAGGTCAGGGGTCGGATCCGTGGTCTGGATGTGGCACCGAGGGCCCCTCGCAGCTTCGTGGAGGTCCTGGCCGAACCGAGGAACCAAAGGCTCAAGGCGATTTCTCTCTCTCTCTCTCTCGCTCGCTCTGTGGCAACGCGCACCAGGGTGGGGCGGTGACGTGTTATTTATTATAGTTTTTAATGTTGCCAGCTGAGTTTAATGATGGCATCATCCTGCGAGACCTCAGGCACCCCGTCGTGCGCTGCCTCATTCCTCTCGGGATTAACCGACCGGATATACAAGTACCGAGAGGACCATCGGCCAAAATTAAAAGTGCCAAAAGGGCAGAGTCCTCCTTGGTTCTGCTCGTGCAGACGTTAAAGTCTCCAGAGAGCACCAAATTAATTTTATCATTTTATTTATTCGTTAATAGCTCAAAATCTTAAATAATATTGTGTTAAGAAAATTTTTTAATTATGTATAATTAAATAAAATTAAATGAAATGAAGAGTAATGAATTCGTAAGCTACAATGGCAATATTTTAGTTACACAGCCCAAAATAATAATTATAAATTAATAATTATTTATTTTAAAATCATTGTTTAATTTTGAAATGTATCTCTATTATCTTGGGTTTTAAAAATACTCTTCGCATTAAAATATTTTATTTCATTTAGACCAGATATATGGTAAACTGCCTTTGGATGCCAAAATTTTGGATTTTCCAAAAATTCAGTTTCTCAGGTACTCTTTGCTGATTACAGTCAATAATTCTTAATTGCATAGGAACCTTGGAAGTTCAAAATATGAAGATAAAATCCTTTTTTTTTTAATCAATGTCTTTGATTCAATAAAATATTTAGCCTAAAAAAAGCGTGTTGAGTGTTTTTTTGGAGGCGCCTGAGGTGAAAAAGCCACGTCACCACGCAAGAGTCTGATTTCGCATAAAATTAATTTTATGTGTTCACGGCGGTGACGGCAGCAGAAAAATGAGCGGTGGCCGGCTAATTTTAATAAAAACAAGTTAATTTGCCTGATGGTGCGCGCCGACCAGAGTGCTGGGTCCAACTTCTTCTTCACTCTCCCTCCCGCTCGCTCACTCTCGGCTCGAAGAAATTATAAATAAAAACACGTTCGTCACAGGTGTGTTTGTTGTGTAACCAAACCATTTTCTCAGCTATTAAAGCAACAGCCTTTAATTACTGTGCATGAAGATCTATACACAATTAAAATTTAAAACAAAAGTAAACTGGTATGTACTTGTTTTATGCCGCAGCCGTGGAGTCATTTTAAAAGCTTAATTGCTTTCTGGCCAGTCTCTGCAGGTCTTTATTTCTATATTAAATTTTCTTTTTCACACTTTGTGATATACTTAAAATTTCAATGAGCGAAATAGAGTTTAATGTCTCATTTTTTCCTTCATTATTTAAAAATAATTTTATTTAATTTTTTAACTCATTTGCAAATAATTATTTTTCCAAATTACATTATTTCTAAATTCTTAGCTTGAATATCCGTATTTCTGAATATTGTGCAATTATTTGATCAAATTAAATATTTTCGCCGGCTGCTGAGACTATAGAAAGGAAAAACTTGGTTTCAAAAATACCCATGAGCCATTCCCGGAAACGGAGCTCGCTCTCGTCGAATCAATTGTCAGAAAAGCATGCAGGCGTGCTCCAGCACTCATTCGGTATTTTGAGAGGAGACGATTTTTCATCTCGAATGTCAATCCCACGAGAAGCGCAACAATATAAACCGGTACAGCGAGATACAAAATTCAAACATCCTAATTAGCTGCGCGATCAAAATCCCGCGTGCCATTCGTTTCTCCCTTTCTCTCTGCGCGCGGACGAGAGCGAGCGGGCGCACGATTAATAATTTATTTAAAAACCCATCTAGCTGCGTTGTAAGTGGGCATCATCAATTAGCCAAGAATATGCTTGTATAAGCCTACTAATTGTGGGCCTGTTTCCAAATAGAGAAATTGATAGCCCTAATGCTCCACATACATTTTATTATATGTACATAAATTTTCGGCTCCGCGCAAACTTTCAACTTTGACAAAAATGAAATATTTAAAATATTAAGTAATAAAATATCTTAATAAATAATCATGAAGAAAATGAAAAACTTTCTTAACCACTTATTTTATAAACAGTGCTTTTAATTTTTTTAACCTTAACCTATAATAATCTCAAGAATACATAAGATAATGACTATATTTTTAAAGTCCAATGCAAACCACTAAAAGAAGCAAAGGGGGCGAATCATCATCAAATTTTTACTTTTATTAAAATTTCCAAAAAAAGAGAAACCTTCCCCTTAACCTCTACGATTTTGGTGACTACATCAAAGTAAATGCAAAAAAAAAATATTGAGGCACTTCAACATCACAAAATGTTAACAT